GGCCCGGTCCATGGCGCCCGCGCCGCCTCGGCCGCCCTCTCCTCCGCCCGCGCCGCCGCGGCCTCGGCCTCGCGCTTCTGGCGCGCGCGCTCCCTGTCCCGCGCCAGGGACCGCTCGTAGGCGCTGTCCTGCTCCGTGCGCAGGTTGCGCGCCACCTCGTTGGCCCGCCGCTCGGCGCGCACGGCCTCGATGTCGGGCCCGTACTTGTCCATGGCGCCCTGCAGGCCCTGCACGTAGACCGTCGGCGTCAGGGCGCCCACGAGCCGCTTGACGACGCCCATGCGGGTGCTGCCCTCCCTGGGCGTCAGGCAGACGAGGCAGGAGAAGGGGAACTTGGTGCACTGGTACTCGAGCGAGATCTGGTAGGCCTCCGAGTCGCGCACGTTGCCGCCCCAGAGCACGATGTTGTTGGCCGGGTCCTGGACCAAGTCGACCACCTCGGGCGACAGCAGCGTCTCCCGGACGAACGGCTCGCAGTCGTCGTGCTCGGGCGCCAGCAGGACGACCAGGAGGAACTTGAGGTCCTTCTTCGCCGCGTCGTAGGCCTGCGCATACCCGCCCTCGAAGAAGGGCAGCTCGCTGGCGCCGTCGGCGCCGTACTGCTCCTCGAACTCGCGCCGGAAGCGCGCGGCCGTGTCGCGCGGCAGAAGCTGCCGGCGGCCGTATGCCGTCCTCGCTAGCGCGCCCGTGACGGCGCGGGGCCGCAGGGGGGCCGGCAGGAAGACGAGGACGTAGGACAGGGCGCGGAACAGCGTGGAGAAGAGCCTGTAGCCGATGTTGAAGGGGGCCAAGATCACAGACAGGAGGAAAGGCGGGCGGTATGTGGCCGAGGGCTGCCGGGGCACGATGCGGGGTGCCGGGTCCGTCCCTTGCGCTCTCGGTCCCCTGCCGGCAGGAGCGCCGGCTGCGGCGTAGAGGCTTTCCTGCAGGTTCTCGTGCCTTGCGCCTGCGCGCGGGATGTCGTTCTGCGCTGCGAGGGCTTCGGCTACGGGGTCGGGCCCCTCGCCGTCGAAGAATTTTGCTATGGCAATCTGGGTTCGAGGTGGACATGTGAGCAAGAGCAAGAGCTCGAGACGGGGCTGGGGCGCCATTACGAACCTGCACATTCCACTGTGACCGTTGTAGTAGGGGAACAGCATCCTTGACCTCTTGGTTTGTGACAGCGGTGTATTGCTGCAGAGCTTCTTGTTGGCTCTCGGACAGCTGGCCGATGTCGAAGTCGCCCTCGCTCGCCATGGTCTGAATCGGACAACGTGGCGTGTGCCACCAGTGACTCTCGGGATGGTCGTCCAACGACTAGTAGAGGGCCATGTGTTGTGTGAGATGATCGGAATTATTCCGCAGAATACCGTCAAGGAACAAGAGCCGTGATCAACAGGTTTTCGAAGTCAGTCGGTCGAGTCGAGAACAAGGGGAGGGCTGTGGCGTTTAGAACGAAACACGGTTGCCTCGGATTTTCGGGGTCGGCAGTAGGAAAGCCAACGCAAGGCTGTTGTAGGAGGGAGATGCCCGGACTGATCCTTCATTCAGCCTTGGGGTTGATGGGACTTTTCTCGCTCAAAAGGACAGGCTTGGCCGCAACGAAGGGGAAGGGCAGTTAACAGTTAGGTAAGTATGGTAATTTGGGAGGATGACGACCAAGCTCCAGATGTGCCAAGTGGGCTTCTGTAAGCTCGGTAGATTGACAACGTTGAACGGTTCCGATAAGATAAAAAGTAGGTACCCAGGTACAGGTGTTGGGGGGTACAACTACCTAGGTACCTAAGGTAATCCAGGTACAGTACTGACGTCGGCAGCTGGAGAAGTCTACTTACCTACCTACCTTAGGTACCGACTCAGGTTCCTCCTGAATGAATGACTGATGCCAGCTGGAGGATTTAGAATTCAGCAGTCACTGCCACTGCCAGTCAGACCATCGGGGGTATCAATTGCTCCATCTCCATCCTGCTCAATCATGTCCCAGCTCAACACCTGTGATCTTCTTGTCTGGATCAACTATAGCGAGTCACCTCAAGGTAACTTTCACTCACGGCCGCGCCTTTCTTCAGCACAGCTTCCCTGTCACCTGCCGCGTCCACCCACTCACATGGAGACGCACACGCACGCATGCGCCACCCATTGCTTTTCAACGTGCTGCTGTCACTGCAACTAGAGCCATCCCCAGCTGCACGCTGCATTGGTACTTCTCGGATGGCCAGTAAACTGTGTCTCTCAAGTGTACACTCTCCAAATGCATTTGACGTATGCATATGTACCTATGCAGCGCCCACGCATGGGCTGAAGGATAAAGCCGTTGTGTAGACCTGGTAAAGTGCAGTTTTGGTACCTACACCGAATAATGCAGGCACTTAAACACTCACCGACACCCTTCCCTCCCATCTTTGTCTGAAAGGGTTCTCGCCCAATAGAAGCCAGGTTCGTATTCTTTCATTCCATCTCATGAGCAGCAAGCAGTAGTAATTGCTGTCTGTCCAGAGCCGTCCATCTGCGTCATGTGCTGATTCAGCTGCAAAGAAGCTGACTTTGGCTGTGTCAGACGCTAGTTTAGATAGGCTGGTACATACTCTATACTCATCTTAGGTTGACAGCAAAGGTACAGTGCTAACAGCGCCTTGAGCATCAGTTAGGTTGCTCGTACCTCCAACTTGGAAGCTCCAAGGCTGAAGAAACCCCCTGTCGTATTTGGCCCCAGTGACGCCCCGTCTCCTTGGCCCTGCCCTGCCCTGCCTGCCTAGGCGTCTCTCCCTCCTGCTGCGACCCTCCATTGATGCTCCAGGGCTCTCTCGTCCCGCCCGCTTTCTCTCCGACTCGATACCACCCCAGGACAACCGCCCTTGCACAAGGCGCGATCTTTTTGACGCCGTCCTCGCCCTGCATCCTCTCCTCTCCTCTCCCTTCTTCCCCTTACCGCAACCCCCGGCAGGCGCGCGACACAGAGAGGAGGCGCCCAATTGCAAAGACAACACCTGCCCGTCCTCTTTATACCGAGAGAGAGAGAGAGAGAGAGAGAGAGAGCAGTCGCACTTGAACCGCCCGCGCAGCCATGGGACACTTCCACAAGACCCAGGTAAGTCCGCCGCGTCTGCCCCACTATCACCACCACCACTCCTCCCGCACACGTACACACGTCTCTCTGTCTCGGCCTCTGCGGCCGCGCCCGCACGCAACGCTTTGTCTATCTGTCTATCTGTCTACCTGGCTGCTTGTATACCTTCAAACCAGTCTTGTTTTCTTGTTAGCCCTTGCTCTGCCCCCAGCCGAAGGCTACGCGACTGGCGTTTGCATCTTACCGTCCTCTCTCTCTTATTCTGTATTCTTACCGTCTTTCTCGCCAGCATTCGTAGAGCCGGTAACGGGGATGCGGCGCTTCCGAATCGACGATCACGATGGCCACTACGCGATACAACCCGCCCGATCCAAGGCGGCCCGTCGGGTCGCCTAGGCCTAGCAGAGGCCGTGGTAAGTCGACGACTGCTCTACCTCCGACCGGCGCGACTGGCGCGCGTCTTCGCACCGGTCCATCGAGGGACGACGAGGAGAGATGCTGACCGTCTCGACCCCCGCCGCAGATAACAAGGATACGCTGTGTCGCAACGTCTATATCTATGGCCACTGCCGCTACGAGGACACCTGCTCCTTCAACCATGATCAGAACAAGAATCCATCAAGTACAGAAGTGTAGGTGCCAACTCCCCCCGTCCACTGCCTCCCTCGACTGCCCAGGCGCGCGCCGTGGCCGTGAATATGTACCCGCCCTGCAGCTCCCGTGTGTATGGAAATACCAACCTCCATCCGACCTGCGCGACTCGAGATGCGGCCCGAGATTGGATCTTTTGGAGAAGGACGAGGCTGGTGGTGGCTGTCTGGGTGCGACTGGGTCGTTCTCCGCATGCACCGTCATTCCGGATGTTTGCTATGACGAGGCCGCATAGCCGTCCGTCCTGGCTCCCGACGGCTGCCTGCGTCTTGTCGCGCATACACTGGGTCCTCGCCCAACCCTTTGTACCGCTCCAGCGTCGACGAATCGCGCGCACTCGTCTCTGGCCCGATATATACCGCGTGTTCGGCTGTCCACGATCGAGTCTCGGGTCCAAAGCTGTCATTCATACGCTGTCTGGGATGCCTGGTCCCTGGTTGCCAGTGGCATGAAAGGAGCAAGTTTCGGTTTTGTACCATTTCGCGATGAAACAGAAACGGAATGGCCAGATGCATGGTGGGCAGCTAGCGAACCAGGTGCCGGATTGGATGGTTGTCCTCTCCGACTTGCAGCAAGATGTCTATGACGGACTATGGGAGTGGCGGAATTGAGCATTATATATGTTGGCCAGGCCTCGCACCTCCGCCTCAACTTCGGCAAAATTGGGATTTTGAACTACGCGGGCTCGTCGTCGCTGGACATCCTTCACTCACCTTGGGAACCTCCTTCAGAGAACAAGAAGAGATGGCCCCCAACAGCTACACCGCGGCCAATCAACATTCCGGCTCTCCCTTCCCGACAACCCATCAACAGACTCCCATGGCGAATCGCCATACAGGCTTCATGGCCACGGGCCGGCCGCGCAATTTCCGCAACCGCGGGTCCTTTCAGAGGCCTTTTGGTGCCGAATATGCTGACTTTTACTCGTACAGTAGCGCCAAGAAGACTCTCAATGTCGAGTCGCCATCCTTTACTCCCGCAAGCCTACAGCCGCAGGCGCCCCAGCAGCAGCAACAGCAACAGCAGGCACTCCAGCAACCTCAACAGCATCAGCAACAACAGCAGCAGCAGCAGCAGCAGCAGCAGCAGCAGCAGCAAGGCAAAAAGTCAACATTCTCCTCGCAAGCCGTCAGTGCGGCTGTCTTCACACCTCGAGGTCCTGGAGGTTCGTACAGCCCTGTGAACAAATTCAAGGTGACGGCATGGACTGATTCATTGCATAGCGGCGACGCCTGTTTCCGCGTCAGCATCGAAGCAGCAACCCCAACAACAGCAATTGCAACAGCAATCCGACTCCGAGCAGCCATCCTTCAACCCGGCGGCAATCCGAGAGTTTACCCCTTCCATGCAGAAGTTTGATGGCCCGAGCCAAAATGGCTCCTCTAGTGACACCAGCAATCCATATGACCCTTTCAGCATGTCAGCTGTGAACCAGGCGATGCCCTCAACCCAGTACAACCCTTACGCAAATGACCAGAACAACCTGGGCGGATCTACCGCCCCATTCTTCCCCAGCCAATCCGGCTATGCCGCCCCTGCGCAGCCGGTAAGTGTTGCACAAACCCCCAAGCATGCCCATTGGAAACGCGATTGACAGCCTGCCTGCAGCTTCAGTATCATCACTATGCCCCCGTGGGCCCGTTCCGGGACGACCTGCAACCTTACCAGAAGTTGACGCACGATTTTTTCATGCCTGAGAAGCTGCGAGAAGAGTTCTTTAAGAAGGCTCAAGCAGCTCAACAGGTCCTGCCAAGTATGCCTTTCATTTGTCACACGCGACCATTCTATGGATCTCATGACTGACCTGCTGTCCAGACTCGCTCCAACTTGACAACTACCACTCTCTCGTTGCCCTTGACACAACTGGTAGGAAGGTTAGTACCCTTTTTGGCTACGTCAGCTGGGTATACAAGGCGACGTCTTTCAAGAACGGCAGGCTCTACTGTCTCCGGCGCCTCGAAGGATACCGTCTGACGAATGAGCACGCCATTCGTTCGGTCAAGGAGTGGAAGCGCATCGACAATGGTAACATCGTCACCGTTCACGATGCCTTCACCACCAGGGCCTTCCAGGACAACGGATCCTTGGTCTTTGCCTGTGACTACCACCCCCTGTCCAAGACGCTCTCGGAGCACCACTTCCCCACCATCCCGACACACCGTTTCCGCAACAGCCCTACTATCCACGAGAACGTCCTATGGAGTTACATCACACAGATCTCCAATGCCCTGAAGGCTATCCACGACGCCAATCTCGCGGCTAGGTGCATCGACCTCACCAAGATCATCATTACCGACAAGCATCGCATCCGTCTGAGCGGCTGCGGCGTGCTGGACGTCGTGCGGTTCGACGCGCGCCGGCCCCTCGCCGAGCTGCAGCAGGAAGACTTCCTGCACTTTGGCAAGGTCATCATGTCCCTGGCGACAAACACGCTGCCGAGCCAGCTCGCGAACCTGGCCGCCTCGATGGAGCAGGTGGCGCGCGTCTACTCGCCCGAGCTCAAGGAGATGCTGACGTGGCTCATCAGCCCGCCGCAGGCCAACTCGACGCGCACGGTGCAGAACCTCGTGTCGGGCATCTCGCACCACTTTGTCAAGGCGTTCGACGCGTCGCTGCACGCCGACGACGTGCTGAGCTCGGAGCTGTACCGCGAGCTCGAGAACGGGCGGGTCGCGCGGCTGCTCATGAAGCTGGGCGCGGTCAACGAGCGGGGCGAGTTCGACGGCGACCCGGCGTGGTCCGAGCACGGCGAGCGCTACCCGCTCAAGCTGTTCCGCGACTACGTCTTTCACCGCGTCGACGACCAGGGGCAGCCGGTCGCCGACATGGGCCACATGCTGCGCGCGCTGAACCGGCTCGACGCGGGCAGCCCCGAGCTCATCCGCCTGACGAGCCGGGACGGCGAGACGGATTTCATCGTCAGCTACAAGGAGCTCAAGGCGGCGCTCAACGGCGCGTTCAACGACCTGTTCAAGAACAAGCGGCAGAACCGCGTGGGGATCTAGGACGTCCCGCATGTCCCGGTCCCGGTCCTGGGCCCGAAGGGGAAGGAGCCGCAGCCGCAGCCGCAGCATCAGCATCAGCAGCAGATCCGGTGGCGGCAGGTCGGCCGCCAGAAGCAGCTGACTCGGCCGGCGAATCAAGGGTCGCCGGCGCAGGGGTCGCATCAGGGGACGCCCCCGCCGGGGTCGGAGTCGCCGGTGGCGGCGGGTGATGACGGATCGGGCTCGGGCCGTGGCTCGGGCGGCGGCGGCTCGGGATTGAGCACGATGCGGTATGATGGGTTCCAGATCAGCCCGGAGGACTAGTGGTAAGGAAAGGCAGATACGGTTTCGTGGTGATTTGAGTCTTTATGGTATTGTTCAGGGAGTCGGCATTTCACACAAACTAGATGGACTCATTGGGGGGGGGGGGGTGTCGAAGAAGACGGGGGTGGGAGTGGACACTTTTTCGGTACGGGCGGTCTGTGGGGGATGCTTGGGTACGCACGACGACTACACAGCATGGGGTTTTGAACGATGTATGGATGCTTGTCTGGTTCACGAAAGAGAGAGAGGATGGGAGGGAGAAATAGAGGGTTACAGGGAAGGGCTATGGCCACTGGATTGATTGTGTTGTGTGTCTCTTGCAACCGGACGGACGGGGCAGGAGACATATATCGGGGAACTTTTGTCATTCATGGGGGGGGGCCTATCACTACCTCGGGAACCCCCGGGAAGATGGATGACCTGGTTCGAGTTTATATCTTGAGACAAAGGGCTGCATATAGCATAGCAGCCAGCGTGTATGGGGTGGGGAGCGGACGAAGGAGGAGAGCGATTGTCTGTCTGTATTGTTGTGTGTGTTTGATCTGCCGAGCCAACTTATCGTGTTGTTGGCTCGGGGAAGCGGTGCTAAGTTTTTCGAGACAGAAAGAGCAAAAACGATAAATTCCAATCCTTCATTTCAACATTCACATGGCGGGCTAGAAACAACTATGAGCGAAACTGCTGTCCTCCTTGGTCTTTGTTTAGGTCGAAGTGCGGGTTAAAGGATACATTACTTAGGAAGAGTACCGTACCGAGGTCACAGTTGACGGGGGGTAGAAAATTAGTGCCGGGGGGTAGAAGTGACCCTAACCCTGAGAATCATATGTTAGATACAGACCCCGTGAATTTCCAGGGTTAGGGTCACTTCTACAAATGATTCTCAGGGTTAGGGTCACTTCTACCCCCCACTAACTGCAACCTGTACCGGACCTGATGGGATGGAACATGTAACTAGTAATCCAAAGGCGGCGGCTGACATTGTAGTGCGGTTCATGGTCTTAGTGCCCACTGAAAATGTACAAGTAGGGGCCCTTGGTTGTATTGTTGCTTGTTGCATTGGGGCCAGCCCGAAAACTTCTATCCTCCAAGTGATACAGTGGCTCCTGTCGAAGCAAGTACAAGTAGTGTCCATACATCATCCTTTCAGGATTACTCTGGAAAGAGAGTACCTAGGTACATACAACCACCTATCGGCAATTGCCCCTCTACACCGCCCCGTCACTTGGGCATTCATCATCATTGCTTCCTACCGCCTTAGGTGGACTAACAACACGACAACGACCCCAGTCTCACCTACCTGATACCTGCCGTGTGAAGCATGCACTGTCTTTTGTGGCTATGAGGTACGAAAACGCGGAACTTGTGCTGCTTTTGTGCATTCCTATTAAACCAATATAGCTCAGTCAATGACACTCTACTTTCTCTTGACCCTGGTCCCTCCGACATCCTCTACAGAATACGACGAGTGACCCCAGAGCATCGACGAGTGCTGTACGTTAGAGTCGCCGACCTGACTATTATCCCTCCTGATGAGCGTACCTACGGCCCTTCAGTTATCAAAGAACTGAGCAAGTTGGGAGACTGGCATAGCTGTTGGACGACTCTCCGAGTCTTCAAGGAAGCCGGTGCCATCAAGGCTGAGAAAGACTCGTTTCTCCCACATACAGTACCGAGAGAATACATTCTCGATAAATATCCTTCCTATGACATCTTCGACTGCGCTACGATTTGCGATTTCAATCATCGAGTCTCGAAAGTCACCGTCGACGGGCGGGTTTGCGTCCTGAAGATCGCACGGTTTCCGTTCGAGCTGCCCTCCTTGATCCGGGAGCTCGAAGCGTATCACTGCCTCCCGAAACACGCTCCGGCGCCGCAACTGCTCGGGTATGTGTTTGAAGAAGAGGGCATAGACCGTGTTGTAGGCTTTCTCGTCGAGTTTCTCGGAGGCCGCCCTGCGGGTATCACCGATCTCGACCCATGTCTTCGATCACTTGCCGAACTGCATCGGCATCTTGTCCATGGCGATCTATGCAAGTACAATATATTGATCACTGAGGAAGGGCCAAAGTACATCGACTTTGAGAGGTCGATTCTCTGTAACTCGGACGAGTGGAGTACAAGCTTGCAAGATGACGAGAGGCGGACCCTGTCTGACAAGCTCGTCGATGCATCTGAACTCGGGCGCCCGTACTCTCCAGGTCCTTGATAGCAACATCGTGCAGGCGAAGCTCCGGATGACCACAGATGACCTCTGTCTCGTCTGTCTCGTGGAGACGAAGGTGCGGGGGAATGCTCTAAGCACGTGCCTGGTCCGCTAGAGGACACGCCCTCGTCGGACCTCTGTTTACGTGAGCTGATTATGAATGCGGATGGTGCCGTGAGTAATTGTTCCCGTGACAGCGAGTCTGGACTTGATTCCTGCAACAATGTTCCGCAGAGCCAGCAGCGACCTACTCAAACGGCTTTGTCACCCGTGCCCGACAAAGACTGAGATCCAGACTTGCCCTATGACGGACAGCCTCCCACTTGCATGCATTATACTTTGGAATGGAAGTTGTCATTGAACAGAAGAGCCACAGCAAAGCCAACGGGAAATGACCTCGGCTGAGCACCAAGCTCCTGGCGAGAGCAACTCTTGTCCAAGATACAAGAGATAGTAAGGTCAACTGGTAAGCCCTGTGAGCCTGACGCGACGATAATCATTATGTATATCTGTGATCGGTTGATCCGAGCAAGATATTACACAGGAGGGCTGAGTACCCGACAGTATAATCTTTAAAGGTTCGTCCCACAGCTTACTGACGAAATGCAGCGTCGTCTGGATGTACATGGCCAAGACGGGAAAGGGAGAGAGGGATATGTTTTAACCAAGAATCATAGTCAATACCTAGTCTAGCCGTATCTCGCAGGAAGTAGGACATCAAACTACTCTAAACAACAAGTTTTCCACCTGAACGCCGGGCCCTGATGCGCGGCCGTCGACTGCTCGGACATGTATGTATGTCATGTCCACACGAGCGAGCGGCCGACGGCACGTAGGTTAAAAATCCAAGAACATACAAGCTTAGTCGAACTAGAGGAACCAGAGTCAGCTGCGGCGGCCAAGTGGTCAGAAAAGAGAGACGGATAGCTTACAGGAGTCAGGAAAGATTCGGCTACGAAACGCGCTCTCGCGTTCAACTGCAAAAAGACAAAACGTCAGTCACTCGGTCACCTCGGGGGGGGATCACGAGAGCCACCAAGGAACATACAAAGAGCTTCATCTCGGAGATCTCCTTGTCGACCTCCTCCATGAACTGGATGATAAAGTCGACGAGCTTGTGCTTGAGCATCTCCTCGGTGTGGAAGTTGGTCACGAGGAAGGAGATGTCGTAGCCGGGGATGGCCTTGCGGCGCAGGACGAAGAAGCTCTCGGCGCGCTGCTGCAGGAAGCGCGTGAACTTGTGCACGAGGATGTGCTCGATCTCGTCGGCCTGCTTGATCTTGATGCTGACGCGGACGCTGTTGACGCTGGGCTCGACGAGCACGCGCTCGTTCTCGTTGCGCGCGACGGTCAGCGGCGTCAGCAGGACCTCGGGGGAGGTGCGGGCCTCGACCTCGGGCACGTTGTGGCGCTCGGCGGTCTGGGAGGCGAAGTCGGAGAGGCAGAGCGCCGCCGTCAGGGTGCTCCGGACGGCCTGGAGGTAGGGCCGGAGGGATTGGGACTGGTTGGCGGCAGAGGTGTGTTAGCTTGGCTGTGTGCGTGCGTATGTGCGTGTGTGCGTTTGTGTGAGTTTGTATATGGATTGCGCGGGAGCGGAGAGCGTGGAGGTGGACTTGCCATGATGGAAAGGACTGGGTTGCTCTTATGAGCTCATCGAGTTGGGCGTGGTTGTTTCTTGATCGCGTTCCAAAACGACCTCCTTGCTCCGGTGGTGTCGTTGGGATCGATGGCTGGCTGGCTACCTTAGGAGCTGTCGTCGTGGGATGGCTGGCGATGAATGGTGGGGTTTGGGGGCGACAGGCGGTGGAGGAGGGGAGCGAGAGAGCCGCCTGAGCGCCCAGCTGTCTGTCGTGTGGCTGCGCCGGGCATTACGTCAGCCGCCAGATCAGTGAAGTGAGCTCCCCAGGACCGTTTGAGCTATTCACCTCACCGCCTTGGGAGCTGGAGCTTCCAGGCCGACAATTTGCCGCCCTTTCTGTGGGCTTCTACTTGTAGGCCGTGACCCCACCAACACTCTCAACAGGTACACGCACCTGCATTGCTTGCCTCGAACCACGGTGCAACCATTTCATCTAATCAAGGGGCGACTTTGCCTTTTTCTTCATTGCCTGTCAACATCCCACCTCCCATCGTGTTTTGTTTTTCTCAACCTTTCCCATCGGCATTTCCCTTTTTTCCTCCCCAGCGTTGACTAGGACTTTCAAGATGGCGACGGTCAACGGTGAGTACCTCTGTCACTTGTGCACGAGCTACTGGCTAGCTGTTGGCCTCTTTTGGTGTTGTTTTGTTTACTAATGGCTGTCACCGCTCGACGCTCAGTGGTCGTCAAGCACCAGGGCAAAAAGTACGAGATCGAGGTCGACACCACCTCTACCGGCGAGGTCTTCAAATACCAGCTCTACAGCCTGACCCAGGTCGAGCCCGAGCGCCAAAAGATCCTCGTCAAGGGCGGCCAGCTCAAGGATGACGCCGACATGGCCAAGCTCGGCCTCAAGCCTGGCCAGGTCATCATGATGATGGGCACCCCCGGCGGCGACTCGTCGGGCACCCTCGTCCGCCCCGCCGAGAAGGTCAAGTTCGTCGAGGACATGACCGAGGCCGAGGCCGCCCAGCAGGAAGGCGCTACTCCCGCCGGCCTGGAGAACCTGGGCAACACCTGCTACCTCAACTCGACCCTGCAGACGCTGCGCGCCATCCCCGAGCTCCAGGACGCCCTGGCCACCTACGACCCCGCCAAGGTCCGCACGGGCTTCGGCGACCAGATCCCCCAGCTCGACGTGACGGGCCAGCTCAAGAACCTCTACACGTACATGGGCGAGACGCAGTCCGGCTTCGCCCCGCACGCCTTCCTCAGCGCCCTCCGGGTCTCCTTCCCCCAGTTCGCCGAGAAGTCCAAGACGGGCAACGGCTTTGCGCAGCAGGACGCCGAGGAGGTCTGGTCCCAGATCATCTCGCAGCTGCGGCAGAAGCTCAAGCTCAAGCGCGAGGGCAGCGGGTCCTCGTCCGACGACGCGCAGCTCTCGTTTGTCGACCGCTACATGGCCGGCGAGTTCGAGTCGACGCTCGAGTGCGACGACAAGGAGGCCCGGGACGGCGGCGAGGAGGTCAAGCGCGAGAAGGAGCCGTTCCTCAAGCTCAACTGCCACATCGACGCGCAGACGAACCACCTGCGGGACGGCATCCTGGCCGGCCTGTCGGAGCAGATCGAGAAGCGGTCGGCGGTGCTGGACCGCGACGCGCTCTTCACCAAGAAGTCCAAGATCTCGCGCCTGCCCAAGTACCTGACGGTGCACTTTGTGCGCTTCTTCTGGAAGCGCGAGGTGCAGAAGAAGGCCAAGATCATGCGCAAGGTCACGTTCCCGCAGGAGCTCGACGTGGTCGAGTTCTGCACCGACGACCTCAAGAAGATGCTGATCCCCGTGCGCGACAAGGTGCGCGAGATCCGCAAGGACGAGGAGGACATTGAGCGCGCGCGCAAGCGCCGCAAGAAGAACCCGCTGCTGGACGGCGACGTCGGCGCCGCCGACGAGCCGGGCTCCTCGGGCAAGAAGCTCGAGAACAGCAGCAGCAGCAGCAGCAGCAAGAAGAAGGACGAGGCGGCCGACAAGGACAAGGCTAAGGGCAAGAAGGCAGGTGCCAGTGCCGGCGACGGCGACGGCGACACCGAGATGACGACGGAGGTCTACAAGACGGACGCCGAGGTGGACGCCGAGAAGGACGCGGCGCTGCTCGAGGCCAAGAAGGAGCTGTTTGCGCTCATCAGCCCGGAGCTGGCGGCCGACGAGGGCGCGAACCAGTCCGGGCTGTACGAGCTGCGGGGCGTGGTGACGCACCAGGGCGCGAGCGCCGACAGCGGCCACTACACGTCGTACATCAAGAAGACGGGCGCCCTCGACCCGGCGACGGGCAAGCGCAAGGCCGAGGACGGCAAGTGGTGGTGGTTCAACGACGACAAGGTCTCCGAGGTGACGGTCGACAAGGTCGAGGCGCTGGCCGGGGGCGGGGAGTCGCACTCTGCGCTGATACTGCTGTACCGGGCTATCCCGCTGCCGTCGAAGGAGGGGGTTGTCGAGTAGGGAGTGTGTTGTGTGCTGGTAACAAGTAAAGGGGATGATGATGCATTTGGGGGGGTGGGCGTTCCGTCGAGAGGGTATGGAATGTGGATGCATGGTTGTTACGAATTCACGGGATACGGAACATGACATGCACAGAATTCGGTCGGGGGGCATGATGACCTGGGGTTTCATGGTTAGACTCTATCAAAAGAAAAAGAGACTTTTTTTTGCTACGTGATTGCGTTTGGAGTCCCCCTTGGTTTGGTTGCCTGCCTGTGTATTGTGAGCTTTTTTGCCATCAACACCCATGAGGAGGATCATCTGTCAGTTGCCCTCTTGTCCCAGCGAAAATAAGAGGCTACAGTCTCATAGAAGGGTAATATACCTCCCCATGCGGGATTGCAAAAAGATACCCAAGATAAGTTGCAAATGACTGACTCACCAGAGAGATGTCGGGAAGAAGGCCGAGATCCAAGGACGACTGCGGCGCATGTCACTGGAAAGGCGTATATATATAAGTGCCACCCCCTCAACTCTAGCTGAGCGGACAGGCGAAAGTGCGGTGCGGGGTTTCTCTCACCAACCATCTGAAGGTGAGGGAGGCTCTCCCCTTCCCAAGCTTCTTGCCAAGCTAATATCTCCAGCTTCATACATAGAGGAGGTTACATCATCATAAACCGTTGTCACCAATTGTTGCAACAAAACTTATTCGGGGGAGATTTACTGAAGGAGACATGGCTACTGGACAGATCACGCTGCTGGACTATGCCAGCAAGGAGCCCTGCTCGGCATGGCTGCGGCACTCGTGGAAGAGTAAGAGTTGATCCCCCTCTGACTTGCTGCCGATTATCGAGAGCTTTGTGATGTGGTGGTTTTACCCTTTATTGGCTTTACGCATTCCCAGTTTACTGATGTGTTTCTTGCCGTGTGAACACAGCTCGGCTTGTCCTCAACTACAAGGGTCTAGACTACAAGACAGAATGGGTGAGTGAGGGAAAACACAGTTCCCCTATCCCGGCCCAGCAAGTCCCAGTGAGAAGCAGCAGGACAACTGACACCAGCACTGCGCTGCACTTGCTTAGATGGAATACCCCGATGTCCAGCCCAAGCTCGAACCCCAGTAAGCCCTCCCCCGCAGTCCCTCTTCCGTCACATCGAAGCGAGAAAACGCTCCATCCCAACTAACAAAACCCCCCCTCCATCCCCCAAAAAAAAACAGCCTGCCCCCAAACCCCTCAGGCGTGCCCTACACCCTGCCGGCCGCCGTCCTCCCAGACGGCACGTGGATCATGGACTCGGCCAACATCGCCCGCGCCCTCGAGGCCGCGCACCCGGACCCGCCGCTGCGGCTCGACGCGCCCCTGCTGCCCGAGGTGGAGCGCCTCGTCGCGGCGGCGGGCGCGGCGCTGGGCCCCGCCGTCTACGCGCGCGTGCCGGCGACCATCCTGAACGAGGCGTCGAGGGGCTACTGGTACGAGACGCGGCGGCGGCGGCTCGGCGTGACGGTGCGGGAGCTGGAGGAGACGAGGGGGGGGGAGGCGGCGTACGCGGCGGCGGAGCCGCACCTGCGGGGGCTGACGGCGCTGCTGCTGAAAGGGAGGGCGGAGGGCGGTCCGTTCTTCATGGGAAGGGAGGTGTCGTATGCGGATTTCGTGTGGGTGGCGCTGCTGGCCTTCCTCGAGAGGGTGGATGGCCGGGTGTTTGCCGAGGTGCTGAGGCGGACTGAGGACGAGGGCGTCCATCGGGCGCTGCTGGAGGCGTGCGGGGAGTGGTTGGAGAGGAGGAGCTATTGATTTGATTTGATTGATTGATTGATTGATTGAAAGGGTTATGGTTCGGGACGATTGACCGGGCTCCCACATGGAATATGCAGCTTCCTTCTTCCTGTTTCTCTTTGGTCTTTTGATAAATTCACCGGCCGGAGCCGGAGCTGTCGCTGTCGCTGTCGCTGTCGCTGCTGTTGGCCCTCATCCTCTCCCTCAGCGCCTCGAGCTTGCGGTCCAGCGGCGCCTTTTGCAGTATCAGCGCCTTCTTGCGGTCCTCGAGCATGGCGATCTTGTCTTCTGCCGTGGCCTCGACGATCTTTTGTCGCTCCTGTGTGCAGGGATGGGTTGAGCCCGAGTTTAGCGGTCTGGTCTGGTCTGGCAAACGAGTATGCTATGTAGGGGGTTGCAGGCACAGCCATGTCATGGAGAGAGAGAGAGAGAGAGAGAGAGAGAGAGAGAAGTACATACGACTTTGACTTCCTGCTGCGTCTTGAGGCCGGCGCCGTAAATCGTGCCGGCGATGGTGATGGCCGCGAAGGCGCCCGTGTAGACGTAGCGGCGCAGGCGCGCTGCGGCAGGGCCGGGAGCCGCCATTGGGAGGGGATCCTGTGGACCAGGTCACGGGCCTGGAAGTGCGAGCGCCAGCTTCTGTTCTGTTGCGGCTCGAAGGGCGCGTGAGGGTGCTGCTGGTGGCAGGATCCGAGTTGGGCTCTGTCTTGCTGTTGGAGTTGCAGGAAAATAAGTCGGCTCCGCTCCAGCTCGCAACACTCTTGGGGTTGTGGAGAACGAGCTGAGGTGGACCGTGGCTGGCTGGTGGCATTGGCTCGTGCTTGCAACGGAGTAGGTAGTTACCTAACATCCCATTCATTGCATTTGGGATCATCCCATGTTAGTCAGTGCTCGATGATGTCCCTTGCCAGCTTCCAGATTCTGGACAATCTCGAGCACGTTGTCTCATGAGCTGTTGAAACTACGACGTTAACTTCTTGCTCCTTCTTCATCTTCCCACCCGGGTAACCCTCGTGGGTGCAATGCTTCGTCCATACAGAAGAGTGAAGTAGGCAGGCTACTTAGTAATATCAGGGAACCAAGCGACGTCATTCCCGAACAAGACGCTCCTCAGTGAGCTAGGGATCCAAATGGTGTAGGCATGCAATTCAGAATATCAAGACTCCTCCTGGATGAGACAGAGGCCAGAACTATAGCGCAAAGAAACTTCTTTCTCAAGATTTCACTTTCATGGCTCCTTTCCCCTTTGCTGCTGGTCAAGGGGTGCGAGGTTTGAGTGGTACCTACCGGTAGCCCGTCCCGCTAATGTGGACTTGTAAGTACTTGTAAGTACTTGTAAGGTGGGGTGTGGCGCCCGCAACGTGGGAGCCCCGATATCAGGAACATGGACGAGAGCCAATTTCTCACTTCACGTCCTGGAGCCATACAGGTTACAGGCTTCCCCTGGTTCCTCTCGTGATCTATTTCCACATCAGAGACATCAGAGACGACGCCAAACACTTGCCAGGTCTCCATTGAGGGTGCTCCTGCCTCTGCAAAAGCTCAAAACCCACCACAGAGGTTCGCGAGCATCTGACGACACCACCAAATGGCCACGCCCAGGGTCTTCCTCATCCGCCACGGCGAGACGGAGTGGTCGCTCAACGGCAGGCACACCGGCTCGACCGACATTCCCCTCACCGCCAACGGCGAGAAGCGAGTCAAGGCCACCGGCCGCGCCCTCATCGGCAGCGACCGCCTCATCGTGCCCAAGAAGGTGGCTCACATGTAAGCGAACACACACACACACACACACACACACACACACACACAGAATGGCACACATATCTTGTATCCTTTCCCTACTCTACACAAAAATGAAAAGCTTCCGCTCGCTGACGCTCTCTGGCCCCTCGTGTTTCTATCGTTATAGCTACGTCTCGCCCAGGAAGCGCGCCCAGCGCACCTTTGAGCTGCTGAACCTGGGCTCGCGGGAGCGCCTGCCCTGGCACGCCCACGGCGCCGCGTCCGAGGGCGCGCCCCAGCCCTGCGGCGCGGCCGTGCAGGTCACCGAGGACATCCGCGAGTGGGACTACGGCGACTACGAGGGCATCACGACGCCCGACATCCGCAGGATGCGCCGGGAGCAGGGGCTGTCGGCCGACTGGGACATCTGGAAGGACGGGTGCCCCGGCGGAGAGTGAGTCCCTCCCTTCTACCCTTCCTTTCATCCCTCTGTGATAAAAGTTTGTTGTTTGTTTCCCCCCCTTTTTTTTAACCTACCCCCACGTTTATGCCTGTGCCTGTGGCTCGGGGCTGACTGAAAGGGGGCGGCGGCACAGGAGCCCGTGGGACGTCACGCACCGGCTGGACCGGCTCATCATGGACATCCGCGAGCGGTGGCAGCGCCCGGCGTTCGGCGGCGGCACCGACAGGCCCGGCGACGTGCTGGTCGTGGCGCACGGGCACATCCTGCGCGCCTTTGCCATGCGCTGGATCCGCAAGACGCTGCAGGACGGGCCGACGATGCTGCTCGAGGCCGGCGGCGTGGGCACGCTGAGGTGAGTTTTCTCTCTCTCTCTCTTTTTTTTTTTTTTTATGACTTAAGGGGAAGGGGATTGTCGAAGATGTGTTGCAGGCGGTGGTGTGGATGGATCCCAAGCTGACCTGGACCCCCCGTTGGATTTTTCCTCTTTTTTGCAGCTACGAACACCACAGTATCAAGGAGCCTGCTATCCTCCTCGGCGGTGCCTTTATCGTGGATATCATCGACGAGGACGAGGCGGAGGAGACGGAGAAGAAGCTGGCGTAGGGGACGATATGCTACCCACGAGTGTTGGGCGGGGTCAAGAGAGTGTCGTACTGTACAGGGGATAGATCTAGACGGACATCTGGATTAGATAGATGGATTGGGTTGGGTTGCAACGTAGATGGGCGAGTTCACGTTTTGCATGTGTCACACTGCCCCGGACCAGAATATCTACAAAATATGATTGGAGAGCGACTACGCATCACTGTCCATTGCGGCCTGTTTTCACGGCGTCTTTTGACGGCATGTTTCGCTGTGAGGACAAGTAGTATTTGCAACACTAATCTGTCCAAGGTCCGGCGAGGGGACATTGATGGAACTAGAGACGAACATCGTATTTGCTGGCTACCCGTCTCAGGATACGATGTCAGAAGATGCAATTGCCTCTTGCGGCCCAAGACATGAAATATGACAACAACATGCCTATGTACGAATAGTTTGGGTTCCGAGCACACGGACGGTGCACGCTTCGCTCAACTTCTAATTCGAGGGCGCCTAAAAGTCTCCATCTTTGGGGTTGTCGTCTCGCAATCAAATATCAAAGCTGGAGGATCTTTGAACGTTCATCTAATGTCTTTCAGGCCGGTAAACTCGAAGTATACCTCTTTCAGGCCTGTAAACTCTAAGTATACCTATCTGATATTAAGATCGGTATTATATCAAGATCTTATTTGGAAAAGAAGTGTAGATCTTCTTAAAAGCCATATTCAAGTTGTGCACGGAGTCAGGCTTCAATTATCACAACGTGTTAAAAACCACCCCGAGTCCTGGGGAGAGACCGGGAGAGACGAACACAGCCAGCTCCCACAATCGCTTGATTTAAGTGTCCCACCTGCAGAGGTGCACCAAACGGCGCTTGATCAAGAGCGCATCTTCGTGTTCTACACTCTACCACCACTTGCCTTCCCATCGACACAGGCCTGCGAGCCTGTCAAGCTCATCGCCATCCGTGATCAGGCCATTGAGCACCAAGCCTGGTAGGGATTAGTTTGTGGCTCACGATGGAAATCTCAAAGATACGGTACCATGCTTCGATAATCGTCCCTGTCTCCACTGCCTGACCTGCTCGCGAAGTGTATCCTGTGGAGGCGCCGGGTTTCGTGCCTCGATAGTACCGTCGTCCTCGTGGTCTATCATGCCTTCAGCGTCCGCCAACATGTTAGACGTTGTCCTGTAATGCCCCGACCATGCCTTTCTGACCATAGCCTCGAGGATGTGATTCCCTAGGCTCAGGTGTGGTACAGACAGCTGGCCTTCCGAACTGGTGGTCAGGCCAGGCTTCGCACCCGTCTCCATCTCGAAGATGAGGTAGGCCATGGCAAAGCGGTCGGTAGCGTCCGACGCCGTCTTTGCCATTCCGGTGGGAGGCACCGGCGTAGCGCTGTGCGGGGTGTCGTTCGGTTCTCCGAAGCGGCTCGCCTTGCTGAAGTCGCACAGTACGGCCTGAGCATCCCGGTGGTCGCTGAAGAGGATGTTGTCAGGCCTCAGGTCAGAGTGGCATATCCCCTGGTGGTGTAGGTGGCCGAGACCGCGGAGGACATCCCTGTACCATTGGACACGGACTCCTTGCCGTGGATATCCTTCTGCTCGGTTCAGCGGGAGACACCTGCGGAGATAGATGCCTTCGTCCTCGTAGGCGATGGCCTGCACAACATTTGGGTGGGGGAGGCGCTCGAGCGAGCGGAGCACGGCCTTCTCTCGACGGCTGAGCTGGAGGCTGAACAGAGCCGCGTCCGGGTACTCCCACCAGTCTCGGAGGGGGGGCATCTCGCTCGGGGCTGCGATATGTCTGACAGGCCTTGAGGACCACATTGTCATTCACCTCGTACACGAACGCTGCCGAGCGGACCAGATGAGCTTTAGGTCTTTCCGGGGGAACCGGCCATAGGATCGTGTCACCCATCTGTTCTGCAGCTTGCGTCAAGGCAAGAAGAGTTGAGTGTTTGGCGAGGTGGTCAGGGAAGAGACCGGTGGTCCGGGGCGGGGCCGGGAACCCCCCCCCCACGAAACACCGTACAAGCCGGCATGGGTGGGGCTGGCAAGCCGTGGTACTTGAGGAATCGCACCGCCGTGTTTGTTGGCTTTGGTAGGATGATTCTTTCTGGCTGGATACTTTGTCTGTTTGTTTGCGAATGATGAGTGTGGTGTGATCGAAGACGAGACCGTCTTTGCTGCGATCCTGGACAAATGCCGGAGACAATTCAATCACCTCCATGGCGAGTAGAATGTCGAGTGTAGACGAAATTGTTCTCAGAAGACCAATCACTTCGCGATGTGCGTCGCCTGACTTCCAGCCCAAGAAGAATGTTCAGTTATAAAGTGCAAAGGTAAAGCCATTTTGAAGCTTCAGCATCAGGATCAATATCTGCCATCACTTGGTTCTCTTCCTAGCACGAGAAATGGACCGAGGTAGTCTTACTAAGGGCGTTGTCTGAAAGGGACACGGATCTGTGATCGGAAAGCCTGCCATCGTGCCAAAATAGACTGTGCGCAGGTTCCTTTCGTCGCAACATCAATCAACAAACAGACGTCAGGAACGGACGTATTGCTGGCTACCAGTCTCGAGATACAATGTCAGAATATGCAATTGCCTGTTGGGGCGCAGGACACGAAGTTCGACAACAAATATGTCCTGATCTGGAGGGCCGCATCCCGAGATCATGGGGAAAGCGGAGACGGAGACATGCTTGTACCAGTATGTACCAAGATCCGCAATGGCGTGCAGCCCGAAATAGCACCTGCTCGTATCACAAAACACAAAGCATGCGGGCGGCACACGAGGAATGCAATGCTCTCGGTCCTGGTGGGACTCAGCGCCACGATCAACACCGTCATTGCGGGACTGTATCTGTGTCTTCTCCGCCTCTACTTTCTCTTTCCCACTTGTGAATTAGGGAAATATAAGAGATTGCGATTGCGTACCTATGGAGTAGGTCATTGAGCTGAGCTGATTAGACCAGATATTGGGAGCGGCTGCACTGCTTGGGCCGTGCGCGTCCCACGATGCGATGGTTGACGGTACCTTGCCTTAGTGCCCAGCCCAGCCAGGACTGCGACGATCCCGGCTCGCAAGTCCGGTCTGTTTACACTTGGGGGATTGGCTCAATTGGGTGCGGGCCAAGCGGCTGTTTCCCCAACAAGGAACTCTCTCGAACCTCGCGAGCAAGTTTGATGACTGAGCATTGGGTCCCGTCGGTTTGAACACGCATGAGGGATGAGTGAGATCAGTGGCATCACATTGGCGCAGCCTTGGCAGCGCGCGTGTTTTGTCCCATGACGATCCCCGTTTCCCGTGCCTGCAAAAAAAGGAGGGGACCGCGTATGAACAGAGGGTCTGATAAGCAAAGAATGACGTTGAAGAGGGTTGGTGGTGCCAGGCCTCGGATCAGCTGGCAGTCGATGCACGGCCGAGGGGGAGAGGGAATGGTCGAATGGGGGCATCAATGGCACACCCCTGGTCATGGACCTGGTTTTCTGTGTCTTTTTGGCTGGCGCGGCTTCAGCTGTGCCAATGTCACCCAATAACTTGTACGGAGTAGGTAGGTACGGAGTACTTGCAGGGGTCCGTGTTACGGAGTTCGGGTGCGCTGGAAGGGGAAAGAGTTGAGGTCTGGGCTCTCTCAGTTGCGGTCCAATCCGCTGGAGCTGCCCAGTTGGGCGCCCATCCCATCAATCAATAGTTAGTGGGTGTCCGCATGTTCCTTCCGTCGCAACATCAATCAATCAACAACAAAGAAACGGAAGAAACGGACTTCAGATCAATCCGGGCATGTAAGCAACATTGAAAAGACATTTCGCCTAGCGCACGTAAGATCCCGATGCTACCACTTATCACTCGAATACCAGTCCCAAACATCTGAATCATCTGAGCAGATCAAGAACAGCAGGGACAGCCCGGGTGCATTGCATGTGGTGTGGCCCTCCGTCCCGTCGCCGTGCGGATCAATCAGTCAAATCATGTCATCACATTTCTGGACCACCCACCACCCTGTGTGTGTGAGAGAGATCCTTGTCTAGGCCCGTGTCCAGCAGGTCGACGACTGGGATTGACAAACTTAGCTATCGCTTCCACGGCCAACTACAAGGAACTACCCCATGTCTGGCTGACTTCTGGCTAGCCCCAGACTCTCGAAGCGCTACGCTACGCTATTCGTGCCGACCTGCAGGCTACAGCGACTTCTGGACTAGAGCGAGGGAATAACGGCGGTCCCTTCCTTTGCTCTGGTCTGGCTCTCGCTCTCGCTCCTCTCTCGTCATCGCTGCTTCACCACGGGAATCCTCACCAGGAGTCCAGGCCCGAGCCAGACATTGTTTTCCTTCTCCTGCTCTCCTGCCACGCCACACGCAGTTTCCACACCATTGACACACCAGAGCTTCGCATTGTCTGTCTGGCTTGCTCCTTTCGTCCTGACATCCTCCCAAAACTCTATCGTCTTGTCGTCATCTCCAGAGCCATGCTGCCCGGCCGATAAATTGCCAATTCCACACAAGTCTCGCTCGACATTCCGCGCATCCGCACTAGCAGCATCTCCGCGCCTCACTCGGCCCAACCCAACGGCCGCTCCTCCTTGTGAGACGTGGGACACCCGAGCACACAAAGAACAGGTCGCATTCCTCGTCTCCCATATTGACGCCATCAATAAGCTTTCAGCCCAGCCTGAACCTGGAGCCGTTCGGCAGCCTCGAGCGGCTTGGGTGGGTGTTGATCCGGCGGCCGAGCCTCCCACCACTGTGAGCAGCCAAGCAGGCAGGAAAACAGACCCTCGCCAACCGTGGATTCGTATGTCTTGAGATATTTCTTTTCCTTGGTCGCCTCCGAGCTCCTTGCTGCTTTCATGCCCAACCTTGGCCCTTCTGTGTCCATCGTGCGACTTGTGCTGCCCTCGGCAACTACCGACGCTTGCACCTCTCGCGGCCCAGTCATCCTCGACTTTCTCACGCACGACTTGTTGCTTTTCGCCCAATCTCGAGCATGGGCATGACTAACAATCGCTTCCTCAGCTTCGTCCACCTCGCCGGCTGGTCGCAGTACCAAAGCCCACACCACAACCCCAGGGCATACGGCCACATCCGGTCCTACTCGAGCGTCACCAAGCCCACCGTCACCACCACCACCACCGTATCTGACTCGGTCGAGACCGCCTCCACCACCTCGGCCCCTTCTCACCCTCAGCAGGTCCGCAGGATCCATTCGTCCATCTCGGCCACCTCGTACGACGACAAGAATGACCTGACCACCCTCCCGGACCCCCGAAGCAGGGCCATGAGCCCAGCCAGCGCCGACGCCATGGCCTCATCCGAACATCACCCCGACCTCGACGACGAGGTCGCCACCCTCAGCACAAAACTCATCAACGCCATCAACCACCAGACCACCCTCGACGACACCCTGTCGAGGACGAGGATGGAGCTGGACCAGTCCCACGAGCGCATCAGGAAGCTCGAGGAGCAGCTCGCCCAGCAGCGAGAGATGCTCGCCGGCGACGTCTGGGTCCGGAGAAAGGCCGCCGATGCCGAAAAGGCCAAGGTTCTGAACCGCCTCGTCGAGGAGAAGAAGGCGCGCGAGGAGGTGGACCAGCAGAAGAAGAAGATCGAGCAGGAGCTGGAGAACCTGACGACGGCCCTCTTCGAGGAGGCCAACAAGATGGTCATCTCGGCCAAGGAGGAGGCGAGGGTCGAGCACGAGGCTTTGCAGAAGAAGAACGACCTCCTCAAGGCCCAGCTGGTCGACACCGAGGGACTCCTGAAGTCATCTCAGGAACAGCTCGCCGAGCTCAAGAACGTCATGGAGCAGATGAGTGTGGAGCGGGACGACCAGACGGCCATCACCGCCCCGTCATCCCCCGGATTCAGCAAATTCGATCAGAAGGACGACGACCAAGCGGTATCGGACGGAATCTCCCACGCTGGGACTGCCGAGCCCGCATCGCCGTCGCACCCGACCAGCTTCAGCCACCTTCTGCAGCCCGTGCTCCGCTTCGACTTGGCGGCTTATCAGGACTTTATCGACCTTGTGAGGCTGTCTAAGAGACAGGCGCGCAGCCGCCCGCCCTCTGGAAACCAGTCCGGGCTCTCCGCCCTCGGTATCGGTCTCGGCGGGGCGAGCAACGGGTCGACCACATCGCTAACAACAAGTGGCACGGCCGTCTCAGCGAGCGCACCGTCCCCGCAGACTCCAAACACGCCCAACTCGACCGTCAGCTCTGGTTCGATGGGCTCGGCGGCCCCGTTGCCGCCTCTCAAGGACACCAAGTTCTACAAGCGTGCTCTTGCAGAGGACATCGAGCCCACGCTGCGTCTGGACACCGCCCCCGGCCTGTCCTGGCTCGTGCGCCGCAGCGTCCTGCACGCCATGACAGACGGGTCTCTGGTCGTGGAGCCCGTGCTCCCCACCGAGCCCCTGGCGCACATCACCAAGCCGCAGAACTTTCCGTGCTCGCTGTGCGGCGACTCGCGCAAGGAAGGGGAGCACCTGCGCAGGCACCGCTTCCGCACGAGCGAGTCGCCGACGGCCCAGCGCTACCCGCTCTGCGGGTACTGCCTGGGCCGCGTGCGCTCGACCTGCGACTTCCTCGGCTTCCTGCGCATCGTCAAGGATGGCCACTGGCGCGCCGACGACGACGAGGGCGAGCGGGCCGCGTGGGAGGAGAGTGTGCGCCTGCGCGAGCAGATGTTTTGGTCCCGGATCGGCGGCGGCGTCGTGCCTACTCCTGTCGTCATGGGCAGTCCTCCCGGCGGGCTTGGGGGCGGCAGGTCTCCGAGGCTCGCGGCGGGCGAGGAGGAGGAAGAGGAGGCGGCGCGCGGGAGGCCGTCTATCGACGAGAAGGTCATGGGAGGCGTGTCTGAGGCCAAGAGGGTCGCTTCGGAGGAGACGATTGGCGCTGAGAAGGTTGCGGCGCCCGAGATGGTGGAGGACGAGGACGAGGGGCGGGGAGAGGAGGACGGCGGCGGCGCCAAGGTTGCTGCCGAGGCGAGGCCTGAGTCGACGACGCCTCAGCCAACTGCTCCCGCTGCCGCTCCCGCTCCCGCTCCGGCTGCTGTCGAGGACGAGCCGTCTGAGCACCACGAGGCCCATGCGGAGAAGGAGGGGGCGCCCAAAAGGCTCTCGCTGCAGATTCCGAGCTGAAGGGGACTAGGACTGACGTTCGTTGAGAGGAGGAGGTGGTGGGGATCCGAAATCGTTTTGATCCCCGTTGTACAACACACCGAAATCGGGAATTTGTTCATGGCGCAACTTTTTCTGCTTGGGACTTTTCTTCTTCGTGTTGTTATAGTTTGATCATGGCCTTATCCGTTACTACTTCCCCTGAACGACGAGTCGGAAGAGAAAGGGAAGGGAAGGGAAGGGAAGGGGGAGACACAACAAACAGCATTCGTTTCCAAGACGGGGATTCATTCATCATCGAGGCGTTCTGAGAGAGCAAGTTTTTGGCCCCCCCCTTTCTCTTTCAACATGGGGCATCTGTTTATGCATTTTAGATTTCCTTTTTTTTTTGGTTTTGGTTTTGGCTCTCAGTCTCAGGGCAGGTCGTGTAATTGCAAGACCAAGGGGATTAGGGTTGGTAATGAGGGGGAATGCGCTTATTTTGTTCTTTTTTTAAGCTTCAGAAGGCGCATGTGATTCTGCAGCCAGCGTGCGTGCGTGCTCTCGCGAGTCGGAAGAGGGAGGGAGAGCCATGGGACGAGTGTTTTTTTGAAACGGGACTTGCTGGTTCGTAGAGATGGGATGGACAGGAAGGGAGGCCATACACTCTCGTTATCTTCTGAAGCATTAGAGAGAGAGAGAGAGAGAGAGAGAGGATTAATACCAGAGACGACAAGTGGTTGATGATGCCGAGCTTTGATATGTTTGTTACCAGTTCTCTGCCATGTGAAATGCTGTGTCGTACTGGTGATGTGTGTGTGACGTTAAGGTCTTCCGGGATGTTTGATGCGCCAACAACACCGACTGTGCGTGCTAATCGGGTGTGCCTCTCTCTCAAGCTGCACAAATCATGTCAGGACATTGGGTTTTGGTTTCTAATAATTCGTTCTGTTGAAGATTCCTGACACGGTCATATTCCCCCTAACTCACCCGCCCCTTTCGCCTCTTGATATAGGGTAAGTTAGATCCTAAGCTACCCTATATTTTTCCAAGTACAGGGTGGTCAAACTCCTCACTTACCCTATATTTTTGAGATTTCCAAGTACAAGGTAGTCAAACAACTCCTAACTTACCCTATAATTTTGAAGATAAGGGCAGAGGTATAGGGTAAGTAATAGAAGATATTTCACCGTTCTCCTCGTCGTCTTGCCTCCCTCCCTCCCTCCCTCCCTGCTATCTATCCTTCTCGTTCTATCACGACATAGATACCCTTCTCCTCCTCTCTCTTCTCTTCTCTTCCTGGAGCACAAAGTTGATTAGGAGAACTCTCCTCTCTTCCGGGAACACAAAGTTGATTAGGACAACCCTCCTCCCTCCCTCTCTGCCTTACATGTTATACAAACACCACTTTCTTCTTCTTCTTCTTCTTCTTCTTCTTCTCCCTCTCTCTCCCCACACGAAAGAGCTTCAGCAATAAAGGCACCGATAAAAACAACAAGAAACTTGACCTTTGAACAATTCATTGTAAAGCAATTCCGACGACCGTCCTCCCTTCGCCTTCTCTTCTCTCCACCCCATCCATCCATCCATCGCTTCTCGTCTCCTTTTTCTTTTCAATAGAAAGGACGAAACAGAGAGACAAGAGGGGATCAGGGACACAACAAGAGAGAGAGAGAGAGAGAAGAAACTTGGGATTTGAAAAAACAAAACACCACACCCTGGAGTTAAGACCTGTAAAAAGTAAAATGAAAAACACCCGCCCGTGACCACCACCCCTTGGCTCCGAGTCCGTTATTCCATACCTTTTTTGAAATAGAAATAGGGAAAAATAAAAAAAACTCCACCTACTGCCTGCCCTTCCCCGTCTTGTCCCCTCCTCTAAAAAAGACACACAAAAAGACTCGTGTAGATGATGACATCCCTCCATCCCCGTTTCCACCCTGTGCCTCTCGCTGCCCCTACCGTCCCATCCTGCTGCCTGCCTGCCTGCCTGCCTGCCTGCCTGCCTCACTCATCCAGCTCTCCTCCCAGGCCACACTCACTCATCCGCCTGCACGACCCGAATCTGCGCCTCCACGCGCGCAATCTCGATCCCAGCCCGAGGCCTACTGCTGCTCCCGCTCCCGCTCCCAGGCGTCGGCGTCGCCGCTCGCGACCCGTCCTCGTCGTCCTCGTCGTCAAAGCTCCTGCGCTTGACCACCCGGCCCGACTTGGTCGACACGGGCGTCGACGCCGCCGAAGAAGACGCACCGCGGCCGAGATCCGTCGCGCTCTTGCTCTTGGCCAGCGGGTGCGGGTGCTGCTGTTTCTTATTACAGCCGTCGCTGCTGCTGCTGCTGTTGCTAGCCACGATCGTCAGGCTCGAGTTGCGCGACGCCGAGACCTCGACCGACCGGCGCGCCGCCACTTTCCTGCTCGAGGCCGGGCTTCCGACGATCTTCTTGCCCTGCTTGCCGTACGTCTTGAGCACGCTCGTCGAGCTCGACTTGCGGATCGTCGTCTTCGTCGCCGTCGCCGTCGCCGTGATCTTCTTCCCGGGCGCGCCCTTGACGGTGCGCGGGCTCGGCGCGGCCTTCTTCTTCTTGAGGCTGCCCGCGCCGCCGCCGCTCGACAGCCGCGCCCGGGCGTTGACCGAGATGGTGCTCACGCTGCGCCGGATGACCGTGGCCGCGCCCTTGGCCGCGCCTTTCGCCGCCTTGAGGCTCGCCGACGACAGCGAGCGCTTGATGCCGCCGCCGCTCGCCGCCGCCGCCGCCGCCGCCGCCTTGGCGCTGGCTGCTGCTGCTGTCTTGCGCTTCTTGGCCGCCTTCTTCTCGTCCTCGTCGTCGCTCGGCCCGTCGAGCAGCTCCTTGAGCTTGCGCTTGCCGGCCCTGACCGTGGCCTTGACCGCCGTCTTGACGCCTTCCTTCTTGACCGTCGCCACCTCCTTCTTCTTGGACAGGTCCTCCTTGGGTTTCGGGCCCAGGACGCCGCGGCAGTTGGGGCTGCCGCAGAGGCACTTCTGCACGCTCTTGGCCGAGAAGGGGTCGAACTTGTAGTCGTACGTCAGCTCGTCGCCCGTCATGATGGGGCGGGATCCCGCAAAGAGGGCCATGCGCGGCTGCCCTGATACGATCCACTTAATCATATGGCAGTTTGGCGAGCACGAATGGTTGACGAAACGGGCGATGCTACCGGTCGTCGCGTCGATGATCATGTTCTGGTCAAAGGACATCAGGTAGTAACACTAAATCAATATCCATGTTAGCCAACTGTTTTTTTGCCTTTCATATATCGCAGCTTTCAAACCCCGTCTTACCTTGTTGTCCTTGTAAATCTCGTTCATGCGGTTTTCGCACTCCTCGTTGGTGATGATCTCACCCGTGTACTCCATGATGATCTGGTACGGCTCGAAGCACCTGTTGGCGCGGATGCCAAAGCCCCTGTCCTCGGTCTTGAGGACCTCGACGCCGACGCGGTACCGGCCGCCCTTCTTGGTCCTCTCCTGGAGGTCCTTGAACTGCCGGTTGGTGCAGAACTCGCGGCCAATGTTGCAGTTGTGCTCGTCGCACTCGTACAGCATGGAGCGGTTCTGGCACGTCTCGGCGCAGCCGTCCTCGGGCTTGCAGACGCACTTGGACTGGTATTCCTTAAAATCCGAGTTCTGGATCCAAATCTGCTTCGCGTCGCCGATGAAGCGGTCTAGTACAATGTCGTCAGTATCGAAAAGAACATAAGAACAATCTCAGTTTGATGTCAAAGCTCACTTCTCGTCATCTTCCTCCACTCATCCGGCTTGGGCTGTCCTGGTGGCAGCGGGTTGCACACGTCGTATGGAAGCTTAAAGTCCCGGCCCGTGATCAGGGTGCGCATGCCATTGTAGACGGGGAAAGGCAGCGACTTGTTGGGAGGCGCGGGCTTGGCCAGCTCCGGGATCTGCGCGATCGCCTTCTTCTCGGCCATCGTCAGAGACTTGGTCATGTCGGCCGGCAGGTCCTGGCCGGCGTACAGGCCCTTGTTGAGCCACGTCTTGGCGCGGCGCTGACCGGGAAGGGTCGTCTTAGCGGGCGCCGCCTCCACGGACGCGGGCTCTTCTTCCGTCTTGACCCTCTTGCGGGGCGGCTCCTCCTCGGCAGGCGCGTCGGGGTCGACGAACTTGCCATTGCTCCAGACGGTGTGGCGGACGGGCTTGGTGTCGATGTGCGCAAACTCGTTGGTGTCCTGCAGGCGCCGCAGCTCCCTCGACATGCGCGTGATGCCCTTCTCGAACGTCTTGCGGCCGCGCTTGCCGAGCGAGGACAGCTTGGTGGCGAGCGTCTCGGCCGACGCGCCGGAGCGCCGCGTGGCGATGTGGCGGGCCGCGGGCGAGGCCGAGGCCGAGGCCGACTGGCCCTTCTTGCGCGGCGACCTGGAGCCGCGCGGCGTGTTGAGGCGGCGGACGGACCAGTCCATGTCGAGCGCGTTTATGCTGTCCTCGACGAGGTTGTCCTCCTTGTTCTTCTTGCGGGCGGGGCTGCCGGAGCCGGTGGCCTCGATCGAGCTCTCGACCGAGTCGCGCGCCTCGCCGCCCGCCGGGGCCTGGTTCACGAGCGTGTCGCCCGAGATGGTGCGCCGCCGGCGGTCGGACACGACGTCGCCCTTGGAGCGGCGCTTGCCGTGCACATCGGTGCCGGCGAGCTTGGAGAGGTTGTAGACGGGCAGGCTGGCGCGAGCACGGCGAGGTCGCGTCGCGGACGGTCCCTCTGTAGCTTCAGCGGCGTCATCGTCGTGGTCGTAGAGGGCTTCTTGGCGAGGCTCGTCCTCGTGGTGGGTGGGGGCGTCCGCCGGCTCGGCACCGTGTTCTTGTTGGTGTGCAACGTGTACCGCGTGGTCGAGCTCGAGCAGAGGAGTCTGCTCCGACTTTGAGTGGTCCGAGGCGAGAGAGACGCTGTCGGCAACTGTGGTGGGAGGAGTGTCGCTCAGAGACGCGCTGTTTGACGAGGCATCGGTCGGTGCACGCGAGAACTCGACCTCGGGGGTCAGGCTGACGGGGTCGGCCATGATAGCACGAGGCAAAAAAACGGCGATTGAGACAAGATGAGCTCCAGTAGTAAAAGTCTGAGGGCCAAGGATCGAGGAGAGATGAGGGTATATCTAGAATCGACGCGTTTTTTGCGGGCGTGATTCCGGAGGGAGGTGTAAAATTACGGGCAAGTGTCACCCAAAACGCGCCTGGAGCCCCGTTTTTGGTAGGCGGAAGGTGGAGGTGGGAAGTAGTAGGTACTCCGTAAGTCCAGAAAGGGAGAGAGAGAGACAACAGAGGCGAGACGAGACCAGGGCGTCTCTAGCCAGAACCGACGACTCTCCCAATGGCAGGCCGCGGGAAAAGGGCAAAAATAGTTGTCGAAGAGAAAAAAAGGACCGTAATGCAGAAAATTGGCTGTTTGCACAGATGGGTTTATCTCGCAAAAACGACAAAGCCACCACACGGAGGGAGAGCAGAAAGAAAGAAGGAAGAGAAGTGATGCGTGTGCGTTGTCCGTGTTGTTGCGAGCTTCGAGTCAAAGTCAGCAGCAGCCAGCCCTTTGAGTAAAGTATCCGTAAGTGCAAGTAAACTGGGGTGGTGTGTGGTGGGAAGAAAGGGTTGTTGACGATTGGTCCACGCGCGGTTCGAGGCACGGAGCACGGAGTAGGTGGGAAGAGGGAATGAATGAATGAATGAAGGATCCAGGTTGTTGTGTGGGACTGCGGATGGAGGACTGGGATTGGATCGAGCGGGCCAGCCTATTTATTCCGGCCACGGCCACGGATGGACGGTGCAGGTGAGCGAGGAGGGAGTGCTCAGTCGAGACAGGATGAGGAGCAGGAGGCGGGGATCCATGAATGGATGGATGCCAGTCGAGGCCAATAGCCCAACAATAGCTAATAAGACGCAAAATACCAGTCCGTCGCTAACAATAGGAACTTGCCGGACCAGCATTCACACCTCTCGCTCACCCCCGACTTACGGAGTACCTTACTTGGTTGCTGCCTCGCTTCCGGATGGGGTCACAAGAAAAACAAAACCCACGACTGACAGCTCATCCGTTCATTGGCCTGCTGCCCGGACGGCCCTCTCGAGAGACCCTGGCGTGGTCATGACCACTGTTGCATTGTCTCGCCCTTCTTCCTTCTCAATGGCTCCTGCTCTATTGACGTGCAGCATCCCCGTCTTCATTGTCCAGACACACGCGGGTTGTCCGCCGTCACTGGCCTGGGTGCCATGCATCATCAATCTTGCCTCTCGTCAAGCAGTAGAGGCAGGTCGTTGAATAGGTGGATCGTCTATTGACTACAATAGATGGGAACAATAGACAGCTGGCAAACCGCCCATGCCCATCCCGACTACCTGAGGTCGACTACCGTGGATGGATCACCACCCCCCCCTCATCCGGGGTGGTAGAGGTTTGCCATTGTAAGTCCGTCCTAGGTACTTACTTACTGGTTGGTATTGAGGAATACGGGTAGGCAATGGTGGAGAGCAAGATTGCGTGGATAGATTGTCATGGGCGAAAGTTCATGAATGCTGATGCGGCTGGGCAACCCCCCTTCATCACTCACCACTGGGTTTCGCCTAGTGATCTTGGTAGCAGTGCCGCGGCGGGTGCGGCTAAGCTGATCCCGCACATCGCGCCGTTCAGGGGGCTGGTGGAGAGCGAGAAAGACGAGGATCATTGAAGTGGACGACAGATGTCTGATGATGTGACCCGGAGGACACGACTTGCAACTAATTTCCTCAGAAAGTGGTGCCTACTCCCAATCATCACCAATGCTGCCGTCGTCGTCACTGCTCGCGAAGATGTCTGCCGGCTTTGAACGCAAAGGCGGCCCCGCATGGTTTGGGATGCTCACTTTTTGCGTGATTGCTCACCGGTTTGTCGACGACCCTTACATCCCCCTCCTCGTCTCCGGCTCCCCGAAGCTTGGGAGAAGCAGCGCCAGAGCCGTGCGCGTATTACCTCTTGCTGCTAGGGATGACCACCTCCACTTTGCCACCAAGCTCCCAAGGGGGGGGGGAGACACTTCACCAAGTCGACCGAGATTCTACCCCGGCCAAAAAATGCCAATGAGAAAGTCCACTGTAGAAAACAAGATTCGCAGTAGTCATTCTTGTTCCTGGTATCAGGATCAGGGATGGGCTCCGCCCTGTCTTGCGGCTCGTTGCTGCCATGTGGCTGCTAGAGTGGTGAAGAGAGATGGCCGGGAGACTCGTGCGCATGATTGCTACCTTGCTCCAAATCATCGACATACGGCTGATGAAGGATGGGACAGACATAGAGGTGTCGATATCACAGAGCCAAAATGCTGCAAGCCCTCCTCCGTCATGAGTCCCCGTGACGGGCCTGCGAAGGCACTTCAACCCAGCGATACTGGCAGCAACGCGCGCGAAAGCTCGTTTAAAAACCAATGCCAACCAGGAGCTATTCCATCCGGCAACGATAGACTACTCAGGAGAACCTGGTGGCCCCAGGTAAAGACGCTGGACTGACTGCTCGTAGCTCCCTAAAGTCGTGCTCCTCGTATCTTGGCAGGCTCGATGTCACTCGCGCGTATTTTGCGCTCCTCCCGCGTAATCGACAAAATGTCAGTACCGCGTGCAATAATAAAAATAGGAGCTTCTATTGCAGACATTTTCGTAAGGAATCGAGGGCAAATTGATGAAATGGCGTGTCGTGTGCTCGGCGCCAGTGCGGTGTTGTTGACCGTGACGCTCCCCGCACTGTCCATCCGGTGTCTGTGGTGTTTACGGTGTTTCCGGTGTCTGTGGTGTCTGCGGTGTGATCTCCACCTCCATCCTCTCTGAAGGATTGACAAGGACTCTACAAGAGAACCGAAGATGTCGATTGCTGTATTAAAAAGGGAGAGTCGCTGCTGTCTTTCTTCTTCTCGCTCACATGAAAGTCCTCAACCACACCGTATGGATGGCTGCTCCGAGTCATCATCCTCCAAGCCCAAGGTCACCCAGGCTTTTTTTTCGCTGGCCATGGTCGTTGACTGTATATCGGATGTTTATTAACGATCAAACTCCATGTACTCCGAGGGCTTCTAGTGCAAATTCTACCTGACTCTACTCTCGAGTGCTGCTCTCAATAGCTCCGCCTCGACCAGCCTCCCTGGATCGTATCATCGTGCGGAACCTCGCCCTCGTCATCCGTCCCGTCGCTGTCCTCCCGACGGCGAGCCTCCACCGCGCTCTGCCTGCGCACCGGCGGGCCCTTGAGACAGCACGGCATGACCTGCGGCTGGCGCCGCGTCGGCTCGAGCCCGGGCATCGAGCCGCCCAGCTCCGACGCGATGTGGTGGACGGGCTTGCCCAGCAGCTCCGCCAGCTGGCCGCCGAGGTCCTCCTTGCGCCAGACCTTGCGCGAGCGCAGCACGACGCCCAGCCTGTCGGGCACGTAGAGGCCGCGCGGGACCCAGTAGTCGTACCGCCGCGCCGGCGCGATGCGGTACAGGAACTGCTCGCCCATGAGCCCGGCGTAGTTCTCGGCGAGGACCCGGGCGAGCCGCGCGTCCGCCTCGCGGAAGGCTGCCTCGGACAGCCGCGGGAACATGTCGGTGAACTTGAAGTCGTGCACCTGGTGGACGCGGAACCGGGCGCGCTCCGCCCTGCTGCCCAGCTGGCGCCACTGGACCTGGTCGAGCTGCAGGCTGGCGACGGCGAGCTCGACGAGCGCCAGGCGGTAGCGGTTGAACCTAGATCCCCAGTGAACAATGTAAGCTTTCTCCCACACGCTGTCCTTGTTTCTTTGTTTGTGTGTTTCTGGGGGGGCCACGGAGAGAGGTTGCCACTCACGCTGCCATGTTCTGAAAGATACAATGGTGCTGCTGCTCCTTCTTGTGGTAGATGTAGTGTATGACCGCCGCCCGGGTCCTCTCCCGGCCCTCCCTCTTCACCACCACCGCTCCTTCCCCTGGGGGGGCCAGGCTCGCGCTCCAGCAGACCTTCTCGCACTGCACGTTCCGCCGCTCGCCCGCCTCGCCGGCGCCCCCGGCGTAGTGGACGCTCACGTAGGCGAAGCCGTCGTAGTAGTGGCTCCAGCACTTGCTCCGCAGGTCGTCCAGCGCCGCCGCCTTGCGCCACTGCAGGCATGTCCGCAGCTTTGCCGCGGCACGCCCTACGCCGCTGCCGGGACGACCGCCCTCGGCGGCCTGGTCGAGGAACCGCTGGAGGACGAACTGGGTGGGCGCGTGCTGCGGGTCCAGGGGCCGCAGGGGGACGCCCTACATCTCGCGGTGCCCTGCCGCGTCGACGATGCCCTGCAGGCGCTGGAAGAGCCGGAACCGCGCGTCCGAGTGCCGCGGCAGCGGCGCCGAGAGCTCGTCGTCGCCGAGGTAGCTGCCCGCGTTGGAGGGGCGGTGCCGCTGGCCGAGGCGCGAGGTGTCCATGGGAGAGAGGTCTTTCATTGTGAGGGATGGGTTTTTGTCTTGCTTGCTTGCTTAGTTAATGATCTTTGATATGAAGTAGGATCTGCACAGATATGCTCTCAGCTTCCCGTTCTCTCAGCTGTTGGGATGACTGGGAAGAGGCGCTGGGCAAAAAGTTTGTATTTGTGGTAGCAGGCCCTACAAGCGAACAGAAGTCACGATAGGAATGGCTGCGGTACTCCAGGAGCCATGGTCTTGAATAATCGAAGAGTGGAAAGAACATTGAACCCCGTCGGTCTGTTCTCCTCCGAAGCATGCCTTGTTGCTCACTGCCTGTAGTCTGCGTGAGGAACTCAAAACTTGAAGCGCAGTAGGAACTACGATCTGAACGAGGGCGTTTTAGAAGCAACAGGCTCTTTTCTCCCTGGCTCTTTTCTACCAAAGGAAGCTTCGCATTGCCACTGTTCGAATACAAATCTACAGGGAAGTGCGGCGAGCTACAGTTGAGTTCTGTTGATGAAATCAAATCTGTATTTTGCGATTTAAACTCGATGTTTTAAAAATTCAGGAGAAATGCAATCCGTTTTGCACCGTGAAAGAAACACCGGCATAGAGTTGTCGAAGGACCTGACCAAGTCTTGAGAAGATGTCCATTAGAAAGGAATCAACAAGAGGGCTGTTCACGGGTGCCCTTCTTCTTTCTTCATGCAGTTGTAGTTGATGATGGCGATGATGGTGTGGGTGTTAGTGGAGTCGTTACAGCAAAAAGGCCCCCACAATCAACGCCCCACCCGAGCTTCTGCTCTGCTGCATTGGCCTGTCTCCTGTCCGAGTCGCCAGTCGCCGCCCACAGCCGCCCTTATCGATTCGCGGGCGTACGCGGGGCTCTTTTTCGCCAGCCCGCTCGCTGGCTCCAAGAAACGCCAATTTTCTCAGCCCTGCGACTCAGTTCCAACGACACTGCAACAACGGGTACCTACGCGAAGGAGAAGAAGAGCACCAACGCCCATTTCTCGAACAGCGACACGCCTGCGTCTTCTCTACAAACCCAAATCTTTGATCCCTCGAATCTGGTCCCGTAGAGTCGGCACCACGCGACCAGCGCACACCTCCACATCCAACGAGCAGAGCATCCCAAGGGAGGAGGCGGCACCACCACAACCCTTCACGCTCATACCCTCACACACAACACACAAGCACATAGCTATGGCAGACAGGCCGGCGCACAGGGGCCGAGGCGGCTACAGGGGTGGCCCCGGCGGCGGGCGCGGAGGCCGCGGCGGAGGCAGGGGCGGTAGGGACTCCCACGGCCACGGCGGCAGCGCGGACCACGGCGGCGACAAGGAGAGACCCAAGAAGGAGAACATCCTCGACCTGGGCAAGTACATGGACAAGCGGATTACCGTCAAGTTCAACGGCGGACGAGAGGGTGAGTGAACGCGCGGCGGCAGGAACATCTTTCTCTCGTCCAGACCCCCCCGGGGCGAGAGATACAGAGAAGGGGGAGATGTACTGACAGGGTTGGGAACATACAGTTACCGGAACCCTCAAGGGCTACGACGCTCTGATGAACCTGGTGCTGGACGACGGCCACGAGATGATGCGCGGTAGGTTGCTATTGTGGCTGGTAGTATGTGTTTTTTTGGGAGCCATGCTGATACTCTGTCGCAGATGACGAGGGCAATGAGAGGACGCGGGCCCTTGGTCTCGTTGTTGTGCGCGGCACGCTTCTGGTGCTCGTCAGCCCCGTCGACGGGAGCGAGGAGATCGCTAACCCTTTTGCAACCGAAGGCGATGACTGAGTGCAAGAGCAGATGGGGGCGGGCACAGGTTGGTTACGTGGGACCGGACTGTCGTCCGTGTCCGTGGGCATGGGCAAACGCTCAAAGAGGAGCCCATAGCCTTTACATAGTAATCACGAGAGCCTCGGTCGGAGGCATTGCGTTCCTCGAGGCGCTGGGAGGCTACTCGAGATACCAAAAGTCGTAATTCTAGGTCTGCTGATGGCTCAGGACAGAAAGCCATGTGGATGCATTGAAGGAGAGCAACGGGTAGATTGTCGGGATTTCAAATCAAAGACCACGGAATCTTACAGCTGTCTCTAGCCAACTCGTGAAACTACTGCATATCTGGCGACATCCCCGCGCGTGCCGTGGACGCTGTTTTCATTGCCTCCGCGCGTGCATCTTGTAGTCGTCCAGCCAGGGCAGCCCTTTCTCGAGATACTTGATGCCGCAGGTGGCTGCAAGAATAACAGAGATACATCAGATCCTAACATAGTAACCAGCGACCCTGGCAGTTATGACTCTGTGGTCTTCTAATTTCCCCTCGGAGTTTTGATAGACAGGCACTGAATGGCTGTTGTTTACTTTAGATCCATAGAAGCCAGTGAGTGTGGTATTCCCACTGATCAAGGTGTTAGGTATGAAGTACTCCTTGATGGAAACCCGTCTGCTTTTCTTGCAGCCACTTGTGCCGTTTTGCATATCGCCCTTGTTGGCTACGCTCTCGAACTCTTTTCGCATCTCTTCGACGAACTGTTTGTATTCTTTCAGCAACGCCAAGAGGTGAGCTTGTCCTCGATGTCGCGGAGCTCGAGCGTGGCTGATGTATGGGTCTCTGTTGGCTGGCTTTCTCCACGAGGCCGCCCTGTTTCTTGTGCCGAACAAACACCGAGCTGACCTGGTTTTCGAGATCTCAATAGTCTACTCCGAGTCACTTTGATGCCAAGCCATACCTGGACATGTGCTTGATATGCTTGATATGCTTGTTATGCTTGATGGTGAACCACGTGCCAGTTGTCGTCTGATCTTTGCAGTTCCTCTCAAAGCCCCCTTTTGATCCTGCAATTGACAAACAAATAGATTGCAAAAGAAACCACAATGCTACCCCAATACCCATGGACAATGACATTCATATTCACCCGTTGATCTCCTGTTCTGTGGCTTTCCACCCACATCACTCTCCCAGTCCACAATCTGTGCCAGCCTATTCACCCCCTATGTTCCCTTTATTGACCTGAGTCACTGCCTGTAGAGAACCAGTGCAAGACCCCCTAACACCCCCAAAGGCACCTGCAAAGGCAGGCCGTGATAGGCCGGGAGTTCGGAAGGTCTCCGCCTGTGTCTCCGCTTCTCGGCACGCCCTCAGGCACCGACTCTCCCGGCGCATGCCGGTCCATGCACACGTTCAGGGCTCATCAGCCCTTGGAGTGTTCTCGAGTCCTCTTCAAAATCGTCGACTCGAGCTCCTTCCTTCTCCTTTTGTTTTGATCCTGTCAACAAACCCCTCATCGTGGGATCATTTCTTGAGTTTGTCCCCCGACCTCCCATCACGACCCGGACCAAAACAAAGGCTTCGTTCACGATACCTTCCGTTTTTGGGGACTGAACAAGCTCCGTTTGTACCTCGAGGGCTTTTTAGCTGCGTCGTCGGGCCTGTTTGACCTGCCCTCCTCGTACCTTCAACCTCTCGAGAGTCTGAACCGCGTCTGACACTGACCTGGTAAGTCGTCCGCCCGCCTCGTACCACCAGCACTGCTCCCCCCTATCCTTGCCCCTTCCCCTTCCGACCACAACGACAGTTGGGTACCTCTCCGTCCACCACACATCGTATGCTTTCCCCTTGTACCTCGCGTTCGTCAACGTGAGGGTGTTCAGTTGAGGTGAGCCATCGATCAGACACCACCAGCCGTCCCTCCTATCCTTTTGCCCCTTCCCCTTCCGACCACAACGACAGTTGGGTACCTCTCCGTCCACCACACATCGCATGCTTTCCCTTTGTACCTCGCGCTCATCCACGTGAGGGTGTCCAGTTCGGGTGAGCCATCGATCAGACATCACCAGCTGTCCATCACCTTCGATCCCCGTTTCCTTCCATATCTGCACACTTCGCATCCTTCCCCTTTGCCTTCCCAAGACAGTGAGTGCAGCGTCTGCCTGGAAAAAGGCCACACTTCCCTCCCTCATTTCCTACCACCACCATCAGAACCACATCCTTCTTCCTCTTTCAACCATCAAGCCAGGCACATCTCCATCTCCTGTGCCCATCACTTCCACTCCTGATTCCTCTCGCACGTCCACGGCCACTTGGTCCAGGACATCTCCCACCGTACGTTCTCCCTCTCCCTGGCAGACGTGAGGCAGACTTGAGTTCCTTCTCATCTTGAGGGCGACCTCAGCCACCGCTTGTTCCTTCTCACCACACCCGTCCCAAGATCAACTCATCACCTGCCCAACACTGACCTCTTCACTCCCATGCTGAGAAGGAAATAAAAAAACATCGACTAACATTTCCAGTTCCTCTGTCTCGCAACCTTCATCAACACATTGTACGCATTTCGTGCATGATTTGTTGACAGCATCTCTTCCCCTTTCAAGTCCAGATCTCTTCAGATTTAGATTTCATCTTTTCCCCTTCCCCGAGAAAAAAAAAAAGAAAAGAACCTCTGCTTGGGTTCATCATGTATCGCTCGTCGACGGCGCCGACCCCGCCGCGAATGAGCACCGCCGAGCGTCAAGAGATGTTTCGCCGCCTCGATGAGGAGCGCCGTGCTCGCGGCAGCCCCGATGGCAGCCCCGATGGCAGCCCCGAGCACGACGAGGGCGCCGGTGGAGCCTCCCTCCTCCATGGTGGCTCCGATGACCAGCAGCGTGACCCCCAGCAGGTCGTTTTCACGTCCCAGGGCCCTGGCGTTGACGAGACTCGTAAGCGCAAGGCTACTAGCTCCCTCTGTGGATCGTTAGATGGCAGTGCCGAGTCTACCTCGTCCCTTAGGACCCAGGGCCACGGTCGCCTTGCCTCTATCACCCGTGACTTTGAGCCAGACAATCAACCGTCTTCTCGTCTGTTCACCACTGGCCGTCGTTTCTCCGGCACATCTGCCTACGAGCAGCAGAGGCCTGACGACGAGCGCCACGCTGAGTCTCCCGAGCCACTGCTGGACGTGAGCCAGAAGGGCTACGCCAAGCATCGTGCCGAGAATCCTCCTAGGCAGCCCGACTACCGCCAGTCTTCCAACACTTTTGGTGACTCCGAGGATGTAAGTTGCATGATGTCTCCCTTCTTTCTCGTTGGGAGTCGTGGGACCTTTTCGCTGACAGAACCACAAAAGCTCACCAATGCTGTCGCATCGAGCTCCAAGCAGGAGAACCCCTACCAGCAGAAGCTGCAGACCGTCCCCACCGGCACCGTCAACAACCCTCGCCACCGCCAGCACAAGAAGCGTGCCGCTGAGTCGACCCTCTTGACGCGTGACGAGCAGGCTTCAGTCCCAGTCCAGTTCCGCACCCAGGACGACAAGATCCACCCGATCCGCCAGCCCAGCCAGCCCAAGTTCGGGGCCGGCGAGGGTAACTGGCGTCGCAAGGACGACAAGCCCTCCGCCGCTGCAGGTATCCAGGGCAATTGGCGTTTTCGACCCGAGGCCAAGACCTTCGGAGAGGATGACAAGGCCGCCGCCAGCAGCTCTCGCCTCAACTATGGCGACTCGGCAGACAAGGAAGCTGACGCTGGTGGTAGACCCAGCCCCGAGACATTTTCCTTCCTTTCCCCTCTCCCTGATTCGTCCGACGAGGAAGCTGCCGCTGGTGATAGACCCAGCCCCAAGACATTTCCCCTCATTCCCCCCATCCATGATGACTCGGCCGACGAGGAAGCTGCCGCTGGTGGTAGACCCAGCCCCAATCCCCTGTTCATCACGAACACTAGGAATGCTGGCCCTCGACGTGGTCTGTCTGGGTCGAGGACAATCCCCGACCTAGGCCCGGCACAAGAGCCGTATCGGGCTTCGGGCCCACGGCCGAACCCTCTATTCTCGCGCGGGCCTGCCCAACTTCCGCCGACTAAGTCGGCACCTCTGAACCCCACAATCCCAGCCTGCGCACCGCGGACGCCCCAGACGTACGCCCACGCCTACGAGCGTGGTTCTCCCATGACTAGCGACGACAGCCTTCGTAGATATGCCGCCGCTAATGCCGCTGCTGCTGCTAGCCCTCTCCAGGGCCGCGGCGCCGCAGGTAACATGAGCCATCCGGACCTGTTGGTCATGACGGACACCCACGAGCTGGTGTTTGCTTCTGACCCTCGCGCGTCTGCGGGTTACAGGGCTCCGGGCCCTGCTGGTGTCGGTGCTAGTGGTGCCAGCCGCCGCACCGCCATCGTGGGCTTGGGCCCCGCCGATACAGACCCGTTCAGTAGTAACGCGGGCGGAATGGTCAAGTCTGCGACAATACAGGAGCTCAATCCGAGTCTCCAGCCGCAGCAGGGCTCTGGAAGCTGGGACTTCCGCCCTCTCCGCTCGGGCAAGCTGAACGACCTGACCAAAGGTCCAGGAGGTCGCCCAACCTTCCAGCAGGCCATGGCACCTGAGAACTTCCCCTTTGTCGAGTCAGCGACGATGCACGTTACTAGTCATCCGAACCGCGGTGTGGTCAAGATTGTCAATGTGAGTTTCCTCCCCCAACAACTGCTCAAGACTCCTGTTCTTCGTTTCGTCGTCGTCGTCGTCGTCGTCGTCGTCGTCGTCGTCGTCGTAGTTGCCGTGGATAATATAGGGTGACTGACATGTTTTCCTTGTCCTCTAGGTCCCTTTCTATGTGACCCGCGCCGAGGTCATCGGCTACCTGGGACGCAACGCCGGCATCCTCAACGACAACGACGAGCCCGTGCACATCATCATGGAGCGCACCGCCAGCAAGACCAACGACGTGTACGTCGAGTTCAACTACTTGTCCGACGCCATAAACGCCGTCAACAGGAACCAGAGGCTCATTGCGGCGGGCCGGTCCGCCCGCCTCGGCGAGCGCCCCGCGGCCATGGAGCTCTCGAGCGCAGCCTCTCTGATGCAGAACCTCTTCCCCCACGCCCGTGGTGTCCATTGGGGCGGCGGTATTCCCTACCGCATGGAAGACAACTCCCCCGAGCCGTGGAATGACTTCAAGGGCTTCATTACTAGAGAGGAGATGACGATGCTCGTCAAACATGTGGAGTGCCCGCAGCGGTCTCCGTATGCAAGGGATTGCCCACAGCGGCCATTCGAGCACATGATTAGTGTGCTCAAGAAGTTGCCGTGGTGCCAAACCACAATGATCACCGTTGCGCAGCGACATGCGGTGTATCAATCGTGTGTTTACCTGGTGTCTCTGTTGCAGAACATCCTGCACACTAGGGACGACAGCCGCGTGAACCAGATGCTCCTCATGCGTCTCGTCCGTGCTGCCATGGACTGTCACGGCTTCACCGTGCTCATGAAGGACAGCATCGCTCACCTGGCTCGACTCCAGGAGGTCGAGCTCAGCAAGTACTGCATGCCTCGCTTCCCTGAGAGCTGGCGCCACGCGTATTCGTTCGCTCCTAAGCGCAACTGTGAACTCGATGTCATCGAGGTGAGTTTTGTTTTCCTTTTTGCAACTCTTGACTGCTGTGCAAGATGACAAGACAAGAGAGCTGACGACCTTTTCCAGTGGTACATTGCCGTGATCCGCGAGGAGACCAATCGCAAGGTCCATAACATGTCGTTCCTGCAGCGCAGCCGTGCGCAGGCGGCCCTCAGCGACTCCGACGGCTATTTCGGCTACTTCTGGATGGAGGTCGGCTATCCGGACGAGGCCGCTTTCGACAACATGACTCTGGCTGAGGTTGCTATCGCCGAGTTTGGCGCCCTCGAGAACATTCTTAGCCGCGCCCTTGCCGGCGGCCACATTCGCAACTGATTTCTCCCCTTTCTTTTTATGCCCACATCGAATGAGGGTGTCTCGAGACGGCTGTCATTGACCAAGATTCTCGACTTCTGTCTTGCCTCGAAGTTGTTCTCGTGTTTCTTTCTTGTTTTCACTCTTTCTTTTCGTTTTCGATGGCATCTCCCTGTTCAAGCCACGGTGGATTCTCGATCTGTCGGCTTGACAAATGGCTTGATTCTGGGCTCTCGATCTGTCGGCTTGGCAAATGGATCGACTCTGGGCTTATTTCCAAGCAAGGAATGAGCTTCCGACTCAAAGAGGATGAGGTTCCTGTTTCCTCTTTTCTTATTGATGATGGTGATGCGGCGCGGAGAATATGATTCCGCGATAAAATGAAGGCTCGAGATGGGATATGAGGTGCTTTGTACAATAGCAACAGCTTCAAAGGAATGGGATTTGCGTTTTTCTCCTCAGCCAGATTGGCTTTTTGCTGATCTTGGTGCTCGATATTGTGATGATTAAACAGGCGCCATCTTCGGATGCAAGGCCTTGTCGAACACGCCCGCAGGAGTTGCAGCGTCGACGAGTCGATGCCGTGGTCGGGTACCATCCTTCTCCGACGGATTATCCCACCATCTAAACCGCACAGGGAAGTATCTGCCAGGGAGTTTTTGTTCTATCCTGACCATTCTTGCTGACGAGCTGGTAGGCTCAACGAGGGCGGAGACGTGCGCAACATCCCCGTCGAGAGCTCGGTGCAGGCTTGCGAATGGGCTCTCCGTCCGAAAGGGCAGACAAGGTAGTGTTGTTGCCGGCATTGCCGGTGTTGGGGCCTTGAGGCCTCAACCCTTTCGGTCTTGTTGTCTGTTGAGGACCTATTGTACACGTGAGTATGGCATGGGAGTTCTCTGAGTCCCAGGCGCACCTGACATTGGCAGTAGGGGATCTGATGACGACCCTGATGCTTTCATCATGGGCCGCAAAGATCAAGCCTACATGTTTCATAGCGAATCACACTGACCGAGACATCGACAGGACCAAGGTGCTCCCTCGAGCGCCTCTGCCCTGACAGTCCTGCAAGTCTCGAGCTGAGAGGTCATCCTTTGCAGTCACTTCATGCTTAGGGACTGCTTGGGGGAAGCATCTCCATCACGGAATCGATTTGGACAACAGGATCCTGGTAGGTATGAATCGCCGGCTCAAAGCCAATAGTATTTTGTGTTCCTAACTACTAAGCCGCCGGGGGCAGGTTCGAAGGTCCCAGGGGACCTCGTCCGGGGGTAAATCGTTAACAGTTGAATCGCTCAGTCGCCATCTTGGGAGCTGAAAAGGACCAAGCGATGTGCGCGAGACCTGCTGGTAGATGAAGCTGGCAGGAGAACTGCCCGGCGAAGTTGGCAGGAGAACTGCCCGGCGAAGCTGGCAGGTGAAGCTGGCAGGTGAGTAGCCTTTGTCATTCACTCATCTATTGAGGCCGTCGTCAAATGGCTGCTGACCAAAAGTTTTGCGTCCAAACTACCGGAGGGCGATGTTGAGGAACGACTAAATCGCGAAGTGCATCTCCTGCCTTTCCCAGAGGAAAGGCATGGGATGGAGTTCGCGGTAGAGGCACGCGGTTGTACATCCAGACGACTGCCTGCGTCTTCTTGGTCATCGACCAAGGGATGAACAAGACGTTCAGCCTCAACTGGCGAGGGGCCACCACCCACGGAAACATCAATTCCGACATTGAAGCCCGAAAATATCAGACCGAAGTGAATCCTTGAGAGAGATACACTTCTTGCAGTAGGCAGACCAGGCCGACACAGGACCGATACGGCGCGTTGCGCTGGGCAACGGTGATCATTGCCGTCTGGTTCCACGGCAACTTCTTCAGCACACTAATCATGTGCTCAAACGGCCGCTGTGGGCAGTCCACGTGCTTCACGAGCATGGTCATCTCCTCGATGGGCCGCTGGGGGCGCTCGACGTGCTTCATGAGTATGGCCATCTCCTCGATGGGCCGCTGGGGGCAGTCCTTTGCAAAGGGGGAGCGCTGCGGGCACTCGACGAGCTTGACGAGCACGCTCATCATGTGCTCGAACGGCCGCTGTGGGCAGTCCCTCGCATAAGGAGACCGCTGCGGGCACTCCACATTCTTGACGAGCATCGTCATCTCCTCTCTGCTGATGAAGCCCTTTGAACTGATTCCAGGGCTCGAAGGGCCGCTGGGGACAGTCCTTCGCAAAGGGAGACCGCTGTGGGCACTCCACATGCTTGACCAGCATGGTCATCTCTATGGTGATGAAGCCCTTGAACTGGTTCAAGGGCTCGAAGGGCCGCTGGGAACAGTCCCTTGCATAAGGAGACCGCTGCGGGCACTCCACATGTTTGACGAGCATCGTCATCTCCTCTCTAGTAATGAAGCCCTTGAAGTTATTCCAGGGCTCGAAGGGCCGCTGCGGACAGTCCTTGGCAAGCAGGTAGACCAGCCTGCCACAGGACATATACCCGCGTTGCGCTGGCCAACGGTAATCATCGTGGTCTGGTTCCAGGGCAACTTCTTGAACACGCTGATCATGTTGCTCGATGGGCCGCTGAGGGCAGGCACTCCACGTGCTTGAGGAGCATCTGGTTCAGGCGGCTGTCGTCCCTGGTGTGCAGGAGGTTCTGCAACAGAGAGACCAGGTGGACACACGATTGATACACCGCGTGTCGCTGCGCAACGGTGATCATCGTCGTCTGACTCCACGGCAGCTTCTTGAGCACACTAATCATGTGCTCGAAGGGGTGCCCACAGTCGTATCTATTATCAACTCGGACCGGATCGAAGGGACGTCCTCGGGCGGAGGGGTCGACCTCCCTCTCCTGGTTGTAATACAGGCCAGACAGCTTCTTGAAGGGACTGGTAAGCCAGCGCACTTCAGCTGCCTGCTCTTGCGCACGAATCGAACGTGCGACCTCCCGAAAGACATTAGGGATCAGTACAATCGGGGAGGATTTCTTGGCCGGCTTCCTGGCGGCCACCGTCGGTGGCGGGAGCAGCGCCTGCATGGTGGAGGACTTGTCCGAGGTGTTGGCCTCGAACGAGTTGTCGCTCGAGTAGGCGCCAATGTTGAGCAGCCGACTTAGTCGGAGGAGCTTCAGAGGCTTGCCCGAGAAGAGAGGGTTTGGCCGTGGGCCAGCAGCGCGATACGGGTCTTGCGCCTAGGCCGCGCCCAGGCGCATGATTGGGGCGTGCGCGGTGCCCAGGTCGGGGATTGTCTGCGACCCAGACAGACCGCGGCCAGAATTCCCCGTTCTCGCCAAAGATGGGGTGGTTCCGGGCTGGGTACCGGATGCTGGGAGCCGCGGTGGTCTCCCTCCGTGTTCATGATTGAACAGAGGATCGTTGTCGGTATGAAACCGGCATGCATCTGGATGGACTAGCTCGATACGGCTCTTGCGCCGGGCCCAGGTCGGGAATTGTCCGCGACCCAGACAGATCACGCCGAGGGCCAGCATGCCGAGGGCCAGCATTCCCCGTTCTCGCCAAAGATCGGGTGGTTCCGGGCGGGGTACCGGATGCTCAGAGGCGCGGTGGTCTCCTCCGCCTCGGGCCCTTGGCGAAGAGAGGGCTCGGGCTGGGGCGGGGCCCAGTGGTGCGATAGAAAGAGTTCTCTGTCGCCCGAGCCCGCCCGGCTCAAGCTGAGGTTGCCGAAGAAGTCCGACCAAGCAGAAATTTGATAAAGAATCAGTATATATATATATTTTGATATATATATATATGGCTCTTGGGGACGGAAGTCCCAACTGCTGCCAAAGCGCTGCTGCGGCTGTGGGCCCGGAATCAGCTCCTGGATTGTGGAGGACTTGATCATGGCCCTTGGGGGACGGAAGTCCCAACTGCTTCCAAAGCCCTGTTGCGGCTGGAGACCCGGATTCAGCTCCTGTATTGTCGCAGACTTGACCATTCCGCCCGCGTTACTACTGAACGGGTCTGTATTGGCGGGGCCCAAGCCCACGATCGAGGACTTGATCATGGCGCCCGCGTTGCTGCTGAACGGGTCCATGTCAGCGGGGCCCATGTTGGCGGGGCCCAAGCCCACGATTGAGGTGCGGCGGCCGGCACCACTACCGGCGTCAGCACCGACACCAGCAGCAGCAGCAACTGGAGCGCTATAGCTAGGCAAGCCGGTTGAGCAGGCTGCTGAGTGCCCATCAGGCCCACGGCACCTCGGCCCTGGAGAGGGCTGACGGTGGCGGCGTTGGCGGCGGCATATCTACGAAGGCCGCCGTCGCTGTTCATAGGAGAACCACGCTCGTAGGCGTGGGCGTACGTCTGGGGCGTGCGAGGCCCGCACCAGTGCCGGCATTAGCAGCAGCAGCGCCTGGGACGCTATAGCTAGGCAAGCCGGTTGAGCAGGCCGCTGAGAGCCCATCTTACCCGCACGGCACCCCGGCCCTGGACAGGGCTGACGGCGGCGGCGTTGGCGGCGGCAGCGGCATGCCGTCGTCGCTATTCATAGGAGAACCACGCTCGTAGGTCTGGGGAGTGCGCGGTGCCTAGGCTGGGATCGTCGCGTTGAGTGGTGCCGACTTAGTCGGCGGAAGCTCGGCGGGCTTGCGCGAGAAGAGCGGGTTTGGCCGTGCCCGAGAAGAGAGGGTGTGGCCGTGGGCCAGTAGCCCGATACGGGTCTTGCGCCTAGGCCGCGCCCAGGCGCATGAATGGGGCGTGTGCGGTGCCCAGGCTGGGATCGAGGCCCAGGCTGGGCTTGTCATGCTGAGTGGTGCCGACTTGGTCGGCGGAAGCTCAGCAGGCCCGCCCGAGAAGAGCGGGTTTGGACGTGGGCCAGAAGCCCGATACGGGTCTTGCGCCTGGGCAGGGCCCAGGCGCATGATTGGGGCGTACGCGGTGCCCAGGCTGGGATCGAGGGCCCAGGCTGGGATTGTTGGGTTTAGTGGTGCCGACTTGGTCGGCGGAAGTTCGGCAGGCCCGCACGAGAATAGAGGGTTCGGCCGTGGGCCAGTAGCCCGATACGGGTCTTGCGCCTAGGCCGCGCCCAGGCGCATGAATGGGGCGTGTGCGGTGCCCAGGCTGGGGTCGAGGCCCAGGCTGGGCTCGTCACGCTCAGTGATGCCGACTTAGTCGGAGGAGCTTCGGCAAAGGCCTGAAATTCAGGGCCTCAGTGCGGCCACGAGTTCATTCTCGCAGCGCACTGCAGCATGCAGTACCAATTGTACAGTACAGTTCCTTGGAGCACTCGACTCCAAGGCCATCATCGCCCCAAAGCCTTCCGGCTTGAGAGGCGTGTCCCAGGTGCACCACGGTGCCACTCTTCGGACTCGCGGGGATGACGACTGCTGCGAGAGGGACTCCGCAGGAGCTTGAGGCTTTGGCTCTGGCTTGCCGGTGCCTTGCTTCTTGTTGGAGGCCTGTGCCTCTGACAGAGAGGATGCCTTCCAAGGAACAGCTGTCCGGAGACATACTTCCTTGGAGGGCGGCAGACACCTCGGCAAGGCAATCATGCCCTGCAAGCTGGGCCCAGAGCAAGTCTGCTCTGGGTCAAGCATCAAGAGGATATCGAAGACGGCAGGCTGGGATCCCAGTCGGCCAATCGGTCAGTTTCGAATGCCTCTCGAGAAATCAAAGATGCCTGGGAACGCGTCAGCATAGAGCTAACGGTACAGGTGCAGGGCAAACAAGAGATGACTTACGGCATGTTGTCTTGAGGCTTACCCAAGGCTCACACTGCCATCATCGGCTGAGGGGTAAGTAAGCCCATCTTCGCCTAGATTTCTCGATCTCTATCGTCTTGCGGCGAAGGAGAGTCAGTAGAGTTCTCTGTGCAATCTCTGGAAATGGGAAGGCCGAGAAGGAGACTCACACAGTGACGACGCCATTCTTGGCGCGCTTCTTGGGGAGGAAAGACGCATCTTCACCTGCTCCTCACCTGAGGCTCAGATGATATGGATGGCAGGTGCGGCCATCCGAGTTGTCTCCAGTGTTGGTGATGGCTTGCCTAGCTTGGAAAAGCAAGGACAAGGGACTGAAGAGGGCGACAAGAGACTGAAGAGACTGAAGAGACTGAAGAAGAGACTGAAGAAGAGACTGAAGAAGAGACTGAAGAGAGAAGGCAAAGAAGGGAAGTGTGTTGCAAGGAGTCTCGCAACTCGCCTGCTGCCTAAATGTTCAAGCTGGACTGCGGTGAAGGGAAGGTGAGGAGGAGGGGCAGAGACGTGCTGAAGAGTGGAAAGAGCACACCGTTCAGTTCAGTTCAACTGGAGCTGTGCAGCAAGGAAGAGGAAGAGGAAGAGGAAGAAGAAGAAGAAGAAGAGCGGCTGTTGATCTGGATGTCTGTTGGTACAGCTGTTGATACGCGGCCTTGTCCTGACTGGCCTTGGGGTTTTTTTTTTCAAAACGACTTGAGGATATTGGAAGGGAAAAGTTGTGTGAATGTGAGCAGAAGATGAAGGGTGGAATGGGGGGGTTGGATTTGATTTATGGCGTTGAAATTCCAGTTGATGCTGTTGCAGGTCCGTGCAGGAGGAGCAACGCAACCTTGGAGGAAAGTCCTAGCGCGTCTCAACTGCTGTCGAGTTGCCTTTTTAGCGCGTCAGTCTCCTGATTCGAAATTATTGTGCCTTATCGAGTCTTATCGGCGATAGTGGTGACGATTTGGACTGGAGTGCTCACTGTAACTATACTATTATGTAGATATTTTCACTTCTGGACCCTTCTTCCTCTGCTCTCTATTCTCTGGTTCCCGACAGCTCCTGTGCACCGCAGATAAGGCACAAACCATCACATGGAAAAGCCATAGCCTGGCAGTGGTTACTTCCTCTCATTGTCGCCTTTGGGCTGGTGTGTGAAGTTTCTGGTCTTGCACACTTTCGGCCGAAAGAGCTGCACAATGCCTTCCCAGTCAACCCCGAACCAGGCGATCCCGCCTTCAGATCCCAATGTGCCTCGCACGCAGTCCAGGGAAACAGGAGATGTCTCGCCGCAGCAGGCGCTGTCCTTTGCCAAGTCATGGAACCATTTCATAGCAGGAGGGTAAGTAAGCAATCCCCGAGTCCTGCCGAGGCCAGGGTTAGGAGGAGGAGGAGGAGGAGGAGGAGCATGGGAGTTCCCCCTTCTCTCGAGGGAGGGAGACCCCGACTATTCGAGTACCCAACGCTAACAAAGCCATTCTTTCTTGCCCACTGACAGTGTCGGCGGCATGACCGCGGCAGCCCTGACGGCGCCCCTCGACGTCCTCAAGACGCGCCTCCAGTCCGACTTCTACCAGCAGCAGCTGCGCCTCTCGCGCTCGGCGGCCGCGGCCGCGGCGCACCCGCACACCATGATGACGAACCCCCTGCGCGCCGCGGGCCACCACCTCGCCGAGACGCTGCAGATCCTGCTCGCCGTGCAGCGCACCGAGGGGTCGCGCGCGCTCTTCAAGGGCCTGGGCCCGAACCTCGTGGGCGTCGTGCCCGCGCGGGCCATCAACTTCTACAGCTACGGCAACGGCAAGCGCCTCATCGCCAAGTACCTCAACGGCGGCGAGGAGGCCGCCTGGGTGCACCTCTCGGCGGCGGCCGCGGCGGGCGTCATCACCTCGACGGCGACGAACCCGATCTGGCTCGTCAAGACGCGCCTGCAGCTCGACAAGAACGTGGCCGAGAAGTCGGGCGGGCTGACGAGGCGCCAGTACCGCAACAGCTGGGACTGCATCCGCCAGGTCGTGCGCAACGAGGGGTTCCGCGCGCTCTACAAGGGCATGAGCGCCAGCTACCTCGGCGTCACCGAGTCGACGCTGCAGTGGACCATGTACGAGCAGATGAAGAAGTCGCTGCGGCTGCGCGACGAGCGCCGCGTCGCCGCCGGCCGCGAGCCCACCTGGTGGGACACGACGCTGCAGTGGACGGGCAAGGTCGGCGCCGCGGGCAGCGCCAAGCTGCTGGCGGCGGTGCTGACGTATCCGCACGAGGTGAGTTGTTTTCTTTGGGGGGGGGGGGGGGGGGGGGGGGTTGCCCCCTCGCCCCCCCTCGCCCCCCCTTTGCCCCCCCTTTGCCCCCGGCTGGCCGGGGGCAGTGGCAGACGGGTTGTTTAATCGACCCCGACTGCTGAATGAAAAACAAAATGCTGATTCTCATGGAAAACTAAAGGTCGCCCGCACGCGCCTCCGGCAAGCCCCGATGGAGGACGGCCGGCCCAAGTACACGGGCCTCGTCCAGTGCTTCAAGCTCGTCTGGCGCGAGGAGAGGTTCATCGGCCTCTACGGCGGCCTGACCCCCCATCTCCTGCGCACCGTCCCCAGCGCCGCCATCATGTTTGGCATGTACGAATGGATCCTGAGGCTGCTCGACACCCCGGCCTGAGCGGGGGGGCGACTGCCGACTGCTTGTCTCCGACCGCTCCAAACCATCCCGACTCTCGCCGCTGCTGCCACCATCTTTGATCGATCTGTACGATTCCGGAGAACGGGCAGTCTTTTTTCCCCCTTGCGCATATACGACTTGCCTTTGTAATCCAGCATCTTCTGGCCCGGGCAGACGGATACTCTGCCCTTAGTTCTATTTTCCACCTCCCCCTTCCTTCTTCGACTGCATTCACCAAGAGGCGACTCTGGGCTTTCTCTTCTCTTTCACAATTCCCTCCTCCGATGTATTATATGAAAAGAGACATTCTCCATAGAAGGGGGCCGGTTGGTGTGTTGTTTTTGGCATTTTCACCTGGCGTTGGATGGTACATAAAAACGAGAAAGACTGGGGAACCCCCGGGGGGGGGGGGGCTTTTTTCTTCTTGTAGTGTAGGATACCGAGATGAAGATCCAACCGGGCCCGCGAGCCTTTCGATTGTGTACTTTTTACGTGCTTAGAACAACACATAGTATTGGGGGCGAGACAGTTCCGCTCAAGAAAGATGGCTTTCATATGCTCACACCCGTCCTGCATGCACGTTGCTGAGCGGCGATCGAACAAAGACCACAATCAGTCAAAATAGAAGTCATGAACGAACAAAAAAAGCTAAATGCAATAGAAGAGAATCAATAAAAGAGATGCCCTCGACTCTTCTTCCCAGGGGGGGGGGCCAAAAGTGGTTCGTCCACATACACATACTCGTATAAGTTCCTTGGAAAGGGAAAACAACAAAAGAGGAAAAAAGTGCTTGAAGAAAATGCTTCCCGGCTTTGCGAATCGGCTTTTTCACTTACTGCCTGCCCCTCTGGGAACCCCGTCATCGTCCAAGGAACCTGATGCAACCGATGTCTTTCCCAGATGGTGGTCTGGAAAACATACTGATGCTGCTGCCTCCTTCAACTCCACCCCCCAACTCCATCAAATTGAATACGTCAAAAGGGCGAGCCCTCTGCTCAACGGAATACAATCTGGAACTGACGGGGAAACGCCCCCCAAGACCATCATACCGTGGCCACTTCATCCGTCGTCATCTTCCTCTTCGTCCGCCAGCTTGCGCAGGATCTGGTGCTCGGCCCACCCCCTGGGCGGCCGCTTGCGCAGCTTCCTCGGGGAGCGATGCCCATCAGAAGAAGGCGGAACCGCGAATCGAGCGAATCGGAGCCGTCACCAGGCGTTGCGGTCCCAGTTGGGATCTAGAGGTCGAATGTCAGTGAATGTTGGCATCCCCGCCTGCGTAGCCTTTGGATAGCTTCCTCCCCTTCCTCCAGAGAAATGCCCCCGGTCAGCCCCAGCTGCCCACGGGCTGCCCCGCGACCCGCCCGACGAGCCCAAACTGCCCTCGACTCCCCCGACTGTACCCCAGCTGCCCGGGCTGCCCCTGGTTGCCCCTGGCTTCCTCCAGCTCTCCTCAACTTCCCCCGGCTGCCCCCGGACTGCCCCGACTAGCCATCGGGGGATTTGGGGCGGGACCTGAGGGCGTCCCGGCCCCAGCTGGGTGATGGGGTCCCAGCCGGGGCCAGCTGGGGGGAGTTGAGGAGAGTTGGGGGAACCCGGGGCCGGTCCAGGGCAGTCGGGGGACAGTAGGGGAGTGGCTCCCCCCGTCCCCCAACTCTCCCCCAACTATCCCCTCTAAAGAAAGGTATAAAAAATAACAAAAAAAAATGAAAATAAAAAAAAAAACCAGAGAAAAGAAACAAGAAACAAGAAAAGAACTCACCCTGCACAAAAGCAGCCAAAACCTTGCTCCCCGTCTGCAGGAGGGGGTGCCCCACGACGATCCGTAGGAACTTCTCCAGCCCCGCCCTCCGGTTCTCAATCACGTCGTCCGAGAACCGGTTCGTGAAAACCTTGCCCGGCAGGGGCGGGATCGTCACGCGGGCGCTCTCGCGCTCGAGAATGTCGCGAAAGTACTCGAAGTCCGAGTACCGGCGGCGCACGCAGCTCTGGCGCAGCTTGAAGGCCGGGATGTTGGTGCGGCACAGGATCTCGTAGTCGGTGTACATGTGGCGGCCGACGCCGTGGGTGCGCGGGCTGCGCACCTCGATCTCGAGGAAGTTCTCGGGCGGGCCGTAGATCTCGTCAAAGCTCTGCTGGCGCGTGTCCGGCAGGGCCTGCATGATGGGCCGGTGGAGGCGGGCAGCCGCAGCAGCAGCAGCAGCAGCAGCCGCTTGTGCGCTCGTAGTAGGGGACGTGGGCGACGTGGGCGAGGTTGGCGAGGTCGGAGGTCTGTTGTTGGCCCCCGCTGTCGGAGAGGAAGGGGAGGAGGGCCCGGCGCCGGTGTCAGCGGTCGCGCGAGCTGGGTTCGGGGTGCTGCTGACGGGATCCGTGGTGGGCGAGTTTTGCTTGGGGTGTGGTGTGGCGCAAGTCGGAAACAGGTGGCGTTCGTCTGGTGAAAGAAAGGAAGGAAGTTGAGTTGTCGGGGGGGGTGTGTTTCTTCCTGTGCCCTGGTCTTGGGATCTGGGATCTGGGATCTGGTGTGACAAGAGTCGAAGAGAAGGGTGGGGAGAAGCTGGAAGAACTGCGAGGCTAAGTTTTGGTGGTGCAGCGGGCGGCGGTGGTGAGAGAGGGCGGGGGGAGAGTGAAATTGTTAAGGCAGGCAGGCGGGCTGTCGTTCGTTCTCGATGAAGAATGGAGAAGCGGGACCGGGAAGAGAGGCTGCTATTCGCGGGTGTCCCAGGCCAGCCAGCCAGCCATCTGATCTGGCCTAGGTACACACACTCACACACATACACACCTGCCCGCAGAGCTGTGCTTCTCCGATTCCCGACTCCCTCCTTCGTGCTCCTTCGTGTGCAGCTGTCCAAGTGCTCTGGCTCTGCCATCGTAGCCAACATGCAAGTCAGATACTCACTCCCCACGCTCTAGTGATCCAGGACCTACCTGTCACGGCCTCAGAAGACCAGTGCAGTGAGCCAGCCATTGCAGCCGATCAGATCATCGCTCTCCGGGCACGGGGCCTCCCCTCTCGCTCTCTGCTCTTCCGATTGACCAGCCTCGACTCTTGCTTCCACCACATCTCGGGCCTTGCACAACCTGGCCACACCGGCAATGTAGCACCAGATGAAGCCTCATTTCTGCATCCTTGCATCCTTTTCTAGGGCCGCATGCTCTTCTTTGCATGACGTCATTTGTCCGATGCCATCAAGCCTCCCTCCAGAGTTCGTGCCATGGCTGGGCCCGGCAGATCCCCCGCAGAACGTGTGCTTCAATGTTCTTTCGCAGAATCGGGTGCTTCCCCCTGTATATCAGTAACATGGCCTGGCGTCGTAATTCAAAACATGCTTTCACGGCATCGAGCAATAGCAATAGCGGCAAGCCAAAAAAAAACGAGACTGGATTGTTGACCCTGTGCATACGTAGTAAAGCAAAACCTGTCCCGGGTCCCAAGGTAGATAGATACCTCCCTCTCAGCCAAGAAGAAATGATCGCCCGAAGAATTCGACAATACATCCACGCTGAAGCTAACTAACCTCAAAAATCAACAACAAGTCCGCGAGGAGTAACAAAGCCCAGTAGATAGGGCTCTAGAGAAACCATCTTGCTCATGGGAGGCTCTGAAGCCAAGCGAGACCTAGGCTGTGGTCTCTGTGTAAGTTCATCGTGCAATACAAACGCCCAGAGAACAAGTCCCTGTCCCGACTTGGTCCACAAGTCAAGGGCTCAATCAGCATCGCCAAGAAGTTTGAAAGTAACAAGAACACGACCTCCCACAGGAAGGGAAACCCTTTGATCATCGACACAGCAGTCTTATCTGCCATATCAATCCAATTAGCAATTGAGATGTGCTTGCGAGGGAAACCTTTGTTGAACGCATTGCTAACCATCATGCTCCGGGCTCTCAGACTCACCAGTCCATCCACGCTCTCCCCCATGTCTCAGCCGTCGAGAACAGCGGGAGGATATCGTATCATGCTCACGAGGCTGCCCACCTCCGAGTCAAAGATTGTAACGTTGTAGAATCCGAACTTGGTGAAGAACGGCGCCTCAGGCTTCGGCGTCAGCACATAGGCAGGGTATCCCTGCACATCAGCGTAGTCGCAGATCTCCTGGAGCAGCCACGACCCGACGCCTCGGCGCTGGAACAGCGGGTGAACAGCCATGTAGTCCACGCCTGTTGTCCGTTTTCCACGTATGGTATGGTCAGTCAGCTGGACACATGGCGCAGGACAGGGCCAATGAAAACAATTTCGTTGACAAAGGGGCTTTTTGTTGCTTACAGCAGACGTGTCCAAGGTTGCCAATGATACGCTCTCGTTCCTGCTTGAGCATCTCACTGATCAAGCGGTGCCTCTCGCCCTTCACCGCCGCCGGGAACCAATCGCGCCGGTACTGCGCAGCGTGGCGGTCGTCGCGGGCCCGTCGCCGGGCTTGTCCGCCTTGAGGATCCTTTGCGGGCGAGCTCGAGTCCACGGTCCAGCCGCCGAGGCCGACCGGGATGCCGGACGAGCTCTTGCACACCTTGAGGTAGTACCCGTCGCCGCACATGACGGCCTCGGCGAAGCCGTCGATGTACCATCGCTCCAGCTCCCTGTGGCCGGCAGAGTCGAGGTCCGGCAGCGAGTCGCGTAGCATCAACAATCGTAGGGCGCTGTTCTCCATGGCGGGAATCTCGACACCGCGAGCCACGGGCCCGATGTCCTTCTCCTCGACCTCGTCCAGAGTCAAGTTGTGGCGCCACGAGTCAGGGTCGTCGAAGCCTGGAGGGGCGGCAGAGCGTCGTACCGGCGGGCCGCTCTCCTGCTCCTGCTCCTGGTCTTCGGTAGAGGGCATCGCCGCTATGCTGGTCTAGTGCTGACGACGCAATTCTATGTCGCTGCAAGGAGAGCAAGTGGTCTTGAAAGATCAAGACGTGTCTTGGAGGGAGCTCTGGTTGGTCGTCCGGGATGTGCAGCCTGCTACCAATAGGGTGGTGGGTGTTCGTGGGTGAGGCGGAGAAGCCGCGGGAACCTTGAGAGTGAGCAGCATGACTCTCGTACAACTGACGGGCCTTGCTCTCATTCTTATAGCCTAAGGGTGAGCAAAAGTCATGTAGGTCGAGGGTTGTTGGGTGGACGACAGGTAGAAAGGGTGGTGGTCAGTATGTGCATGTGCGTAAGTAGTGTGGCCCCCAGCCGGGGTGTCCGCTGCGGGATGATCGCTGTTTCTGGCCAACAGACGTGCCATTCTTGATCGCTTGCCTCTGTCCGTTTTGCTTTTTCTCCCTCCTTTTCGCTGCCCTCTGCGCCCCTTCTCCTCTGCGCTCTGCACACCATCAACCTGACTCGGCCTTCGGCAGAGAAGGGCCACCCTCCCGTCGGATAAGGTCTTGGAACTGGCTGGTTGCTGACCTCGTACTAATCACCTAAGGCACCTCGGCCTATATCACACTGCACGCTGCACACTGCACGCTGGCAGGACAGGAAAGGAGGGTGGTGAGCAGCAGCAACCAACAGCCTTACATGACTACATGACGGAACCTCCTCATGGGTGGCGCTAGAGGGCCTTGCGTCGGTATCCCTGGTACAGGTGTGCAGGGCCGCCGGCCAGCTTTGGGGTGCTTTCTCCTGGGTGTGCTGCCATGGCTCAGCATGGGTGCCATCATCCATGGGTGCGTGCTTGGTGTGTGGGGGACAGGCCCGTCCGACAAGTGACAACCCTTGCTGCTAGTTACCCGTCAAACCAACCATGTGCCTGTTGCTAGCGCGGCCGGCGGCCATCTCCCATTCCCCACCCTTTCCCGAGAGTGAGAACAAGAGTCTCCCACGGCCCTGTCCACCCCCCATGTGGAGCATCATCGTTACCGTACCGTCACATTCCGCAACCCACTCGCATTCTTCTCCTGTTCCCAAGGGACTGTGGCTTGCTTACAGCTCCTCTCGCTCGCTCTAGGTAGGCAGTGACTGCGGTATGGGTACGGCACTGTTGTGATAGAGCTGCAGTAGCATGGAAACGAATGGCACGACCCTTTTCTGATCGAGGTGGTGTCCGTATGTGGCCTGTATGTGTCTGTTGGTCCGCTCCCGATCCCTGACGGGCTCAACGGCTGCAGTTGGTGCCTGCGAGGTGGTGTGAGAGAGGACGATGGGGGCGTCCGGTTGCGGTAACTAGGTAAGCAAGGCATGATGCCCGATTCAAGAGGGAGGAAGGGAGTGAGGAAGGGCGAATGCAGACTGCATGGTCGCCGCTCGAGAGCCAGTCCAGTCGTTTCTCGCCGGTCAATGGAGATGGTCCCAGGTTGGTTGGAGACCTGCAGTCGGCGATTTTCATGCAAGAGATGGCGACACAAAGCCTGTGAAGAGACGGATGCAGCAGCGTGTTGTGGAGAGAATCATTACGGAGTAGGTAGAGCGAGATGTTAGGTAGAGATGATCCATGGATGCTAAAGTACATGTACTGTGCCGTATCCTCCAGTTTTCTATGGGCAGACGGAGGAAACACCGACCGCAGCTCTGGGATACGACCTCGGAAGGTACTTCAGGGCTCCTTCCAGAAAACGTACCGTCCCTTCCAGAAACGAGGCTTCCATCCCTCCCTTTCCTTTTAATCATTTTAATCAAGAAAGAAGGAGCAAGCCTCCACAGCCCCTTGGGTTACACCGGCTTCATAACTGATGCAGGCAACTGCCTGGATGATGCCTGCCTCTTTCATGCCCGGCCCAACACCATCTCGTCCGGCGTGGGTGGGCATGGCGATTTTCCTTCTCTCTGTCTCTCTCTCTCTCTCTCTCTGTCTGTCCTGAGCCCGTTTCCCTCGCCAACCAACCCCAGCCAACAGGCCCTTCCGCAATTCCCTCTCGCTCGGATCGCCTCGAGAGCATCGATCTGATCGTGAATATGCCCGATCTTTTAGATTACTGCATCCATCATAGCATTGGTACATCGGCTTCACTAGCGCAACACGCGCCTTGCCGCCGTCTCCCGCACTCTCTCCCCAGTCTGCATACAAGCGCGCCTCTTGCCAATGCGTGTTCGCTAGTCAGCAGGGGGAGAGGGAGAGGGAGAGAGAGAGAGAGACAGAGAGAGACAGAGGGTGCGATGGTGAGAGGGTGCCCTCGATGCTGCGCGAACGAATCGAACGAGCGCCACTCGTTGGAGAGCATGCTGTTGGCCCCCTCCCCTCCCCCCTCGTCTACGAACCGGATAGTCTGCTGACCACGAGCGCAATTTCCAAGGATGCAATCAGCGTGCGCAATCGGACAATGTCACAACAGCATCGATGCTGCAGTATGCCTGCCGTGATCACGATGATGCTCCCAATGGTGGATGGGCGGGGACCTTCTCCATTGGTTCATGTCCCGGGCTTAGACTTCCCGTCTGAACGAGGCACATGGGCTTTTGTTTGAAATCAGGATTCCGCACCACCACCAACAGGGCCACCGGCGCACCATGCATGACGGGAGAGGGCGTACAAGCAAGAAGGGGGTCGATAAGCAACAAAACTCCCGTGTCCGATGCAAAAGACCCATCATCACCATCCTGTCGGCGGCTATATGCGGTGCCGACGCTCTGGATCACCAACAGGTCCTCCGGCTAGCTACCCTATTGGCATTGAGCAAGCCCACCCTCGCTAGCGGCCACTTCTGATTGCACCCAACGGCTGGTCCGACGCACCTCTGTGCTCGACACGATTCTGGTTAGTCTTTGTCTGCCTCAACCAGGGCCGCGTCGCCAACGACCCCGACCGATGACTACATACATGGGGGGGAGGGGCTGTGAAGGCCCTTCAAAGAGGAAAGGCCAAGGTTGCAAGGGGCGGCGTGGGAGGGGGACGATCTTCTCCCGCTTACAGCGCCCCCGTCCGCGGTAGCAATTGGTCCAAGGCGCGTCCCGTCCCGAGATTTGACGGCTGCCAATCCTTCCCCGCCTGTGCCGCGCTAAACAGGGAAGACCTAGCGAGCTGGGCTACCACCTCCAGGGTTGCACATAGGTAGGTCCAGAACTCGCTATCGACTCGAGCTCATGCAAGATCCTCTTCCGGCGCGATCAGATGCTGGACTTTGCTTTTTCTCCAGCACAACATGCAAAAAAGGGGATGAAACACCCCCGGCAGCCAATTGGGAGGATAACCCGCGCCTGCCAGAGACAGAACGAACAGCTGCTCATGCTGTGCCTGCCTGGGCTGGCTCCCTCGGCATAAAGCAGCGGAATTAAAACCTCGAGAGTATCATTGAACGATACGAGTCCAGTCGTCCCCGGTGCTTGCTTTTCCGCTTATTCCTTCTCACGAGCCAGCTCTGTTACATTGAAAAAAGATACACAGAGCTGACCTGCTGCAACTCGTTCCCTTCGGTCAGCTTTAGCTCCGGATCGGCGAACACGTATCCTGGTGCTGTGAGTTGTCGGCCCATATTCCAGATACATCAGCCCCGATGGAGATGAGGGCACGGACATCTGTTGGCTGTTGCTACCCCATATGGCGGTGAGGATGATACTCGACAAGAAAAGAAAAAAAAAGAGTGTTCTGCTGCAACGCGAAAGACCGGCTGCGCCTTGGTCAGCTCTAGAGCTCAAAGAGCGACATGCCCGCCGCGTCCCAGTCCAGCGATGTTCCTGCCGACTCCTCCTCCACCGGCCATCTGGATTCGGGTAACGCTAATGCAACTCTGGCGAGAAAGGAGCCCACTCCGACTACCGCTTGGCCCAGACAGACGCAGCTGCAGCGCAGCAACTAGGTCTAGGTTTACAGGCTTGCGCACGCTCCGTAGCTCCGTAGGTTATTAGGCTTGCTTCTTGTTGCCGCCGACTGCATATTCCCAGCAAGCCAAATGCAGCTGACTCTGGGAAAAGGATGATCTTTTTACGTCATATCAAACCAATGCAGAGCTGCGAGTCGGCAACCCACTCTCACAATCTAAAAAGACGGGCACCCACCGCGGAGTTGCGACGGGCCCCTGGGAGGCTGCGCATCCCGGAGATCGGCGACTGCAAAAAAAGTCGAATGAAGACAAGGCAGGCAGGCAGGCAGGCAGCACCCGGCCACAGATACGACCGCGAGGATGCCTGCGTGTGCTGAAAGGAAAACTCTAGCGACGAAGGGGTCAAAGTTAGGTAGGCAGCCAATTCGTTCAAACTTTCGCTTAAACTTCTGCGGCCAAGAGCGATAGTTGAGTAAGTTTGAGGCTGGCCTTTTGATATTAATATCATATTTCGTATTAATCACGTCGCGAACATGACCCTTCTCGGGCGGCATCCGATTAGCTGATGATGCGACTTTCTCTTTTTAAATTGCCCTCAAAGGCATCGGAACTTTATTATGCGCAAGCTCCCTCCCCTGCGAAAAAAAAGCCCGATGTATATAACCAGGGTGACATTGTGGCTGCTCAAGCTGCCCCCCGCCTAGGTCCCGGGCAAGAGAAGCCAAAAGAGCAGCCTCGATCTCTCTTCTCTTCTGACCGATCCCGAATAAATCCAAGAAAGCCAACTCCAACTCCGATGCTAATGCCCTATGTACCTTTCCGCCCTCGCATTTTTGTATGTTTTGTGATATTACATGGTACACGTGACGTATGCCACTGGTGGTGGTGTGCTCGCCCTCTTTCCACATGGGGCTGTGCTGCTGGGCGATATGCCGCATCTCGCGACCGTTGCATGGGCAACACTTGCCTTACTTTTCAAAAGACACCCTCTAGCCGGGAAAGGTGTGTTTGGCATCCGAACCCGACTCTCTCTCTCTCGACGAGGGCAGGTTTTGGGAATTGCTCGAGACTTGCTTGGATTTGGCGTAGTCTCATACTATCACGGAAAACATGCTCGGCACGCCCTTTTGACGCATTGCCGCACTTTGCATGCAAAGACCGACAGCCAGAAGCAGAAAAAAGTCACTTCTTGTCGCCGGCAAACTTCTGGTGGATGGCGCGGATCTGCTCCTCGACGTTGACGTGCTGCAGGTGCGCCGGGTTCTTGCCCTCGGGGTTGCCGTCGAAGCTGTTGATGGCGGCGCGCTTGCGCCGCGCCTGCTCCTCCTCCGAGACGGGCTGGCCCGAGATCTCGTCGAAGACGTCGGTGCGCTGGCTGGCGAGGCGCTTGAGGTTGCCCGCCACGTCGACGGTCGACAGGTTGGTCGTCGAGTAGCGCGAGTCGGCCTTGGCCTTTTGCTCCTTCCACTTGGGGTCCAGGAGCTCGACTTTTTTTTTTCAAGTGTCAGTAAAAGGTAGGCATATCATAATGAGACAGAGGAGAGGGACCACGTTTGCAAAGGGGTATGACAACAAACGACGAGATGAAGGAGGGGTTTATAGAATAGACACTTACTCCGCATGTGCTCCTCGAGCTCGTCCATGGGGATCTTTTGCTTGCAGTTGGGGCACAGGGCCATCGTGACGGCGGTGCGGTTGGCGGCCGCGCGCTGGGCCGCGCGCGGCACGTAGTTCTCCTTGATCTTGATGGGGCCGACGCCGCCCCGGGCCTCGGCCTGGGCCTGGTGCATGCGCGCGCGCGCCTGCTCGCGCTCCTGTATCCTGCGCAGCTCCTCCGGGTCCTGGGCCGGAGCCGGGGGCGCGGCGTTTTGCTGGTGCTGCGGCGAGGCGACGGCGGGCTGCTGGGGTTGCTGCTGCTGCTGCTGCTGCTGCTGCTGCTGCTGCTGCTGCTGCTGTGGCGGGTAGGCGTTGTAATTCGTCTCGTCAAAGGGGAAGGCCTCCTCGATGCGCAGGTTGGCGCCGACCGAGACCTTGTTCCTCTCCTCGAGCGAGGCGTACTGGATGTCGTTGAGGGTCGTCGGGGGAGGCAGGTTGGCCTGGTCGTCGGCCTCGCCGAAGACGATGGTCTCGACGATGACAAAGTCGTTCCAGTCGATGCGCGCAAACTCCTCCTTCTGCTGCTCCTCCTCTTCCTCCTTCTTCTTCTTCTCGGCCTCCTGCCACCGCGCGTACTCGGCCCGCGTCTTGGCGCGCGCCAGCACGTGGTACTTGTCGTCCACGTTGCGCTGCAGCTCCCCCATGCGCGCCTGCTGGGCCTTGGTGCCCTCGCCGGCCGCGCCGCCCTCTTTCAGCAGTATCGTGTACTGGTCGACCATGTGCTGGAAGAAGATGTGGAAGGTGTGGTTCGGGATGAGGAATTGGAACTGGGGGTTGCCGGCCTCGCGCTGCGCCAGCGTCGTCATGAACTGCCGGCCGTTGCGCGCCGCGAACAGCGCCGTCAGCCGCACGATCTCGAGGTCCTTCTGGTTCATGCGCGGCATCCTCGCCGAGAACTGGAACTCTGGCGGTTTCGGCGGGCCCTTGGGCTCGTCCTGCTTGGGCGCGGCGGCGGGCGCCGCCTCTCCCGCGCGGCCCGCCGCGACCGAGGTCCCGCGGCCGGCCTTGTACTCTTCTTTCCGCCATTCGTAGTACGGGTTGTAGGCGTCGTCCTTGCTGGTGACGAAGCTGAACTTGGGGTTGTTGCCGTGGTTCTCGCGCAGGCGCTCCTCGATGCCCACGCCGCCGCGGACGACGTAGCCGGCCGTCTTCTCGATGACCTCGCGGATCTCGCCCGGGGGCGGGATGATGACGCCGGGCGGAGGGCTGATGCTGTCGAGCTGGGCGGCAGCCGTGGTGTTGGCCGGCGCGTCCCCGTTCGGGGCTGCAGCGGCTGCTGCCATGGTTTTTGTCTTGTTTGCCCGAGAGTCGCTTTGTGGGGGAGGGGAGGTAATTAGTATGCCAGGCCGAGTAGCGAGGACATCAGGGGGGGCAGAATTAACCTGGACTGGCGGCTGGCGGGGAGGAAATGGCAGTGGCGCGTCTGGGCGATAGATATCCTTTGAAGCTATTCGAAAAGTTGCGAGGCTAATCAGCACCATCAAATTGACTGGAGGAACAAGGATATGGCGGCCGCAGAGATTTTCCGCTGCCGTGGTCTATTCAGGTTCAAGATCAGACCAAATATTTGTGGGGCACAGGTCAGATTGATAGCGATAAGAAAAAGATCCCGTCGCGGCAAGACGCGCTCCAGTCTGGGCTAGTTTTCCTAGCATTCGCGGGCTGGCTGGACCATTACAAGTACAAGTAGTTCCAGTGGTACAAGTAGGTACACACAAGCGAACGAAAGACTGGACAGATGGGCTTTTGGTTCCCACTGTGCTCTTTTGGCATACGTGTAAGGAATGCGAGTCCTCAGCTAGGCGTGCGTCCCAAACCTGGTTCGAGTTTGGGTGTGCACAGTGCCGGTTGCTCGACAGTGCTATCATCTCCTGAATACGAGAAACACAAGTGTTCGTCTGTACTTGTACTTGTATGACAGACTGGCTACCCTGTATGGCTATATTTGGCATGGCCGGGTTCAACGCACGTACTCCGTACTCTGTCTATTTGAGCGTATGTACACTGCCATGATACTGCAGTTACCGCTTCAAAAAGATATTGAAGAATCTCCGGGCAGCAGGTGGTCCTTTCAGAGTCAATCGATGCTCACGCATTCTCGCTCTGCATCACATTTTTTACACTTTAGACCAGGGCGAAGAATTGTGGAGTTGATCGCCAGCTGTGTCGCGTCTGGGAGCATCCATCGGTGATTCAGTGGCCTCCCGAACTGGATCTCCCGCACAGTGTTCTGGCTGCACCTGGGACCACCTGAGAGAACCCGGCTAGCGGCTCCTCCCAGCGCAGGTTCGCAGCCAATAGTGCCCCGCCAATGCCCCCCCCCCCTTCCCCCAAGCTTTCAATGTTGCTCCCTTTTTAGGCGTTCCGCCCTGCCGTAGCGAAGCTCGTACCCGCTTTGCCTGCCCTCCACTGCCATCCCATTGCTCCCATCCCGTGAGGCCACTTAAGCTACAATTTTAGTACGTGATGCTCTGCGCAGCTTCACCCCTTTCCTCCTTCTACTCCCTTCCCATCCGTCTCGCAAAGGGGAATCCGCAGAGAGATCCGTGAAAGACATTGCCTCTGGTATTGTCTCTTCTTCTTCTCTTCTTCAATTGCTCCCTCTTTCTTCTTCCGTCGGGCTCCTTCTTCTCTTCTTGCCCTTTGACCGGATGACGGCTTTTTTGTAATGCTCCTTTCCCTTCGACACTCTCATTAAGCTACCCTTGACCAACACTTGTCCTCTTTTCTTTCTCTCGCCGCGCCTTGGCACCAACCGGCCTTTGCGCGTCCATTGCTGACAGAAACAGAGGCAACTGAGGCATAGCTGCTGTCCTCGAGACGAATCCCCGAGTTTCCATCTCCTGATTCCTCCTTTCCCCCCTCTCCCATCATGGCGCGCTCCTCGGGAGCCAAATCCCCTGCGAGGGCCTCGACGCCGCCCTCAGCCCACACCCGGTCCAAGACCAAGGCCAAGAGCGCGACCGACTACACCTCTGAAGGTGTCGAGGACAACGATGTCTTCCTCCTGCCCGTCTCCGACTACCAGGTGATGATTGCTGTCACTGTCCTGGCTGCCGTCGTTCGTCTCTTCCGCATCTACCAACCCACCAGTGTTGTCTTCGACGAGGTCCAGTAAGTCTTGGGAGATCGAGTCCGCAAACTGTTGCAGACCCTTGACTAACGTTCCATTTCACACCCCAGCTTCGGTGGCTTCGCGTCCAAGTACATCAAGGGCAAGTTCTTTATGGATGTCCACCCCCCTCTGGCTAAGCTCCTCATCACCCTTGCCGGCTGGCTGGCCGGCTTCGACGGAGAGTTCGACTTCAAGGAGATTGGCAAGGACTACCTCGAGCCCGGCGTCCCATACGTCGCCATGCGCCTTTTCCCTGCCATCTGTGGAATTCTCCTCGCGCCTACCATGTTCCTCACTCTCAAGGCTGCTGGCTGCCGTACGGCCACCGCCATGATGGGTGCTGGTCTGATCATCTTTGGTATGCTCCAGCTCTACGCCTCCGCTCGATAATGGCTACTGACAATGACATACAGAGAACGGCCTTCTTACCCAGGCTCGTCTGATCCTGCTCGACTCTCCCCTCATGATTGCCACCGCCTTCACCGGCCTCGCCTTCACCTGCTTCACCAACCAGCACGAGCTTGGTCCCGAGAAGGCTTTCCAGCCGAGCTGGTGGTTCTGGCTGGCCATGAGCGGTCTTGGCCTTGGTGCTACTGTCAGCATCAAGTGGACCGGTCTTTTCACCATCGCGTGGGTCGGTCTTCTCACCCTGGTCCAGCTCTGGGTTCTGCTCGCCGATACCAAGAACGTCACCGTCCGTGTCTTTGCCAAGCACTTCATGGCCCGTGTCTTCTGCCTGATCGTCATTCCCGCCACCTTCTACATGGCCATGTTCGCTATACACTTCCTCTGCTTGGTGAACCCCGGCGATGGTGATGGATTCATGAGCTCCGAGTTCCAGTCGACTCTGAACTCCAAGGGCATGCAGGATACCCCCGTGGACGTGCTGATGGGTAGCCGCGTTGTCATCAGGCACGTCAACACCCAGGGTGGCTACCTCCACTCCCACCCTCTGATGTACCCCACCGGAAGCAAGCAGCAGCAGATCACCCTGTACCCCCACAAGGACGAGAACAACATCTGGCTCCTCGAGAACCAGACCCAGCCCCTCGACATCCACGGCGAACCCATCAACGGCACCCTGGCCTGGGACAACCTCGAGCCGACCTACATCAAGGATGGCGACATCCTCCGCCTTTACCACCAGCCTACTCACCGCCGTCTCCACTCTCACGACGTCCGCCCTCCTGTCACCGAGGCTGACTGGCAGAACGAGGTCTCGGCGTATGGCTACGAGGGCTTCGACGGCGATGCCAACGATATGTTCCGCGTCGAGATTGTCAAGAAGAAGTCGCACGGCGAGCTCGCCAAGCAGCGCCTCCGGACTATTGAGACCAAGTTCAGGCTCGTCCACATCATGACTGGCTGTGTTCTGTTCTCGCACAAGGTCAAGCTTCCTCAGTGGGCCTCTGAGCAGCAGGAGGTGACCTGCGCCCGTGGCGGTACACTTCCCAACAGCCTGTGGTACATCGAGTCCAACGAGCACCCTCAGCTCGGTCCCGATGCTGAGAAGGTCAACTACCGCAACCCTGGCTTCTTCGGCAAGCTCATCGAGCTGAACATTGTCATGTGGAAGACCAACGCCGGCCTGACCGACTCTCACGCCTGGGACTCCCGCCCGAGCTCTTGGCCTATCCTGCGCCGTGGCATCAACTTCTGGGGTAAGACTTACCGCCAGATCTACCTCATCGGCAACCCCCTCGTCTGGTGGAGCTCCACTGTTGCTGTGGCTGTCTATGCCATCTTCAAGGGTGTCGCTGTCCTCCGCTGGCAGCGCAGCTGCAACGACTACTCCAACACGGTCTTCAAGCGCTTCGACTACGAGATCGGCACCTCGGTGCTCGGCTGGGCGCTGCACTTCTTCCCCTTCTACCTGATGCAGCGCCAGCTGTTCCTCCACCACTACTTCCCCGCTCTCTACTTCGCCATCATGGCCTTCGCTCAGGTCTTCGACTTTGCCACCTCGCGTGTCCGAGGCATCGGCCTGCGCGAGAACCCCGTCGTCGGCAAGGCCGCCGCCGTCGCTTTCCTCGCTCTCTCGGCTGTTGTGTTCCTTCTGTTTGCGCCCCTGGCCTACGGAAATGCCTGGACCAAGTCCGAGTGCAACCGCGTCAAGCTCTTTGACACCTGGGACTGGGACTGCAACACCTTCCCTGACAACGTAAGTGCTGTCCCTCCCGAAACTGTGCCCGGAAGAGACATGCCGGCTAGGGCATGAGGATGGAGCAAGTGCTACGTGGGGACAACTGCATGTACAATGGATGGACGATGTATGTTTGTCACCATTGCTTTGTGGGAATGCTGGATAATACATGTCTCGTATCCAAACCTAAGCTAACCTCTCATGATGTATAGTACGACGCCTACAACTCCCTCGAGGTCAGCAGCTCCGCCGAGCCGACCCCTGAGGTCTCTGCTCCTCCCCAGCAGCAGGACCAGCAGGCCGTCGCTCCTCCCGTGGGCGAGCCGGCAGCGCAGGTGCCCATCGCCGACGACAAGGCCGCGCAGCAGGCCCCGGGCCAGCAGGCGGCGGGGATCTCGGGCGCACCCCCGCCGCCGAACCAGCGCATCCTGTCGCGCGAGGAGCGCGTCGAGTACCGGGACCAAAACGGAAACCTGCTCAACGAGGAGCAGGTCAAAGAGCTGGAGGGCAAGGTCGAGTTCAAGACGAGGTACGAGACGCGCACGCGCGTCGTCGACGAGAACGGCGTCGAGATCCCTTCCGAGAGCGGAGGCGGGAGCGGCTCGGGCGAGGGCCGCGGAAACCCGGCTGGCGTCGCGCCGCCGCACCCCGACGTTGAGGGCGTCGACAGGCAGACGGTCAACAGCAACCGCAACCGGGAGGGCGGCGGCGGCGACGACAAGGAGCCGAGGGGCGGCGCGTCGGCGGACAAGTCTGCCGACGGGCAGGTCGAGAAGGAGCAGAACCGGCCCAAGCCTGCGAGCGAGGGGAATGAGGCGCCGACCGTCTAAGGACTTTGGTACCTCTTACCCCTTATGAGGCTGGGGCGGATTGGGACCTTCCCCTTCCTTTTCGTGCCGGACGATATGAGAAAACCCTTCTTTGTACACCACCAAATGTTTTTTTTTTATGTTTTTGCTCTAATCTTTTTTCTTTTTGACTTGTTTCCAACACGAACCTGCTAGAATCTAATGACGGAAGAGAAAGAAAAAGAGATGGCTGAGAAAGGATTTCCCAAATGATCTCTCTTGGCGCCATACAAAAGCACACACACAAAGATACATTGGGACGGCAAAGCAAAAGGTTCACTCGACGGGGAACTAGTGGCCGGGGTGGTGGTGGCCCGGGATGGAAATGGGAATGACTCTTTAAACGGTGTTTCTGGTTTCTTTTCTGTGTCGTTGGGGCGGAAAAGGGGAAGAAGGAAGGGCTTGGTCGTCTTGCTCTGCGCCAAAAAAAAAAAAAAAAAACTACAACAAACCCACCACTTACTACAGCTGACAGATTACTCTTTTTTTTTTCCTTGGTCTACTTGATGAAATTATAAAAGCACAACACACAAAACTCCTTTCTGCTTTTGTGCACTTTTGGCTATATACTCTGACGTATGTGGAAGCTCTTCCATGTTCTGTGTGTCCAGGGCAGACTAGACTAAACTGGTGGTGCGTTGGAGTGGAAGAGCGTACACATGTGGACGTGGGACGATTGGCTACGGGGAGCCAGGAGCGAAGAAAAGAGTTAGCGAATGACGGTCTATTTTTTTATGCCTTTTTTTTGTTTTCTAGTCTAGTCTATAGCGACAGTCGTGTAAAGGTTGAAAAAGGAAATTACCTAGGTCTAAAAGAGAGAGAGATGTAGTCGTAGAGATCTAGCCTGAGCCGAAAAGAGATCGTGAAAGCCCCCCCCCTTTTCCCATGCCACGCTTCTTTTGCGCCAACACCGTGGTGCCGTGGGGCACCAACCAAAGCAAGTCCTCTATCTAGCATCTACCCTGCGCCAAAGAAAGAACGTCATGGTTACACACTCAAAGAAAACTGTAGAGAGAGAAAAAAGAGAGGAAAAGATTATGGGGAACCAAGCCCGTGCTGTCAGGTCCGGGTCGATGGTGTAGCTGGTGGGTGTTCTGTATCTTGGCATCGGCGTGCTGTCGAGTTTGGGTCCGGCGACGGAGAGCACCGTTGACTTGAATGAAGAGGGAATAGAGAGACGAGGAAGGAAATGACAAGTCGAGAAACAGAAACGGGATATGGGCAAAGTGAATGCCACCATCTGGCGTCCCATCGCCTTCGGCCTCGGTGGCTGTCAACACGGATCAGCCATTGCTTCAGCTCGGGAATGGGACTCGGGAACTCACCGACTGGCTATCACAGCTCAATCACTCGTAGTGGGCATAGGCGTCTTGCATGCGCTGGCAGTTGGCGCAGTAGTCGTCGTTCTTGACTGACATCATGCCGAAGTGACAATGGCCCTTTTCGCAGAACTTGCTGTCAGACATTTTCGTTTCGCACTTGCTCAGAGGTGGTGGTGGGTGATGGGAAAACAAACATACACATCGCCACAGGGAGCCGGACTTCCTGTGGTGCTTGTGAGAGCTCGACTTGGAGGACGAAGACTTGGACTTCCCCGACGAAGATTTCGAAGTCGGCTCCTTGGGCATTGTTGATGTATTTTTCCTGAGGGTTACTGGGAAGAAAAAAAAAGGTAAGGGGTAGATCCTCGATCGATATCGTTCAAATAAGACACTGAAAAGATTGTTGTCAATTAGGTCAAATATATGTTATCCTGTTAGCTCTGCTGCTGAAATCGATGGCGATCGGTCAACTCTCGCGATATCTGAGGGCAGGGGCGTTTCTTTATACTCTGTTGGAAAGGCGTCACCGAGAGTCGGTGCAGCATGTCCAAAATCCAAGGCGATCGGGGACGACGTGACGCTCGCTCCCTGAAGTCTGACGGCGAGTCCATTCCCATGGCGCAGCATAAGAACGATCCCTCGTCGCTCAGCGTCCACCGAGTCGTGGCCTTGAAACGACTGGACGGCGGCGTCCAGGACACGACGGGGCCCGGCCTCGATCTCCATAAAGGGGGGGCCTTCGCGATTCTGTGCCACAGGAGGCCCCCGGGGCACGAGGGATCTCGTGATTTGCTTCACGTCCATCCATATCGTAGCGGCTGGCCTCCAAACAAAAACAAAAGGAATCGAGAGGTACGGGGGACGACGTTGCTTCGCCTCTAGATGGCGAGTGAAGCGGAGGGCTGGAAAATAATTGGGACGAGGTACGACCAGGTCCATCTCGGTGTGTGTACGTCGCTGTTCGGATTTGGGCAGGTCACAAGGGGCGAGAGCTCGGCCCCTCGCAGTGCATTTGTTGTCACAGTGGGGATGGCGTCGGGGCGAGCAGAGTCGGAAGAGAAGACGTGCGAGCAAGGTTCCGAAGATGATTGCGTTTCTCTGTCTGTCCGTCTGTCCAGGCGGCGGGTGCGCCGGCGGTGGAAAGCGGAAACCGTCGAGTTATCGTCCAGAGAGTCACCGAAACACAGCAGTTTCTCGCACCCAAGTGTAGGGAAGGAATACATAAACAGAGGTTGACAATAAAGTGCCCAATTAGCACAATATTCCTTGTCTCCTTTTCGGTAGGACGGCTTGGTTATAGTAAGTACTAGTAGAACTCAGGGTCAACGCTTCTTCAGCCTCACTGGTCAACAGGCAACAAGGCAGCCATTGGCTAGAGCCAGAACTCTGGTCTCCAAACGAGCGGTGAGGCCGCTAGGCATTCCAAGAGGCGCACCCGCAAGAGTGACCCTCGATCATGTTGCAAGCAAGGTGACGAAGCAACGGACACGGATCAGTGGTCCCGTGTGTTCGAGGTAATGCGGGTGGCAGTGACGATCCGATCAGTCAGTCGACGGGCCAGTCACACAAGTACTTGACTGCCCATCAAGCCCGTCAATTTTGGATACTGAGATAAACTGTGGGGTGCTCGGCAATTGTGTGCAGTGGTAGCATTGGGGTATCGCTCGATGAACTTCCATCAAGCATCCTGACCCCTGCGTGCGGTGTGGTCTCGCCATGGTTCGCGGACCACGCAAGCCGATGCTTTCTGTCTGTTCGACTCATTGTAGACAGAGACTCAGCCACCCGGGCCCCGCCTGTCGGAGTGTGGACCTCGTCAAGCTGGCATTATTTACGCCCGAAGAAGGGTGGCGAGGCTGTTGACCGAGGAAAGGGTCGAAAAAAGCCGGGATCAAGAAACTTGAGCCGCAATCATCGAGAATGCGGTCCCCCTCCTCCCAAGTCCCCGCTGCGCTTGCAGCAAAATCCGGCGTGGTGGGGATATGACTGCTCCCTCCCTCAACCTTGCTGCCAGGCTTATGAATTCGGAAATAGGAGTTGAAAACCAACGGGGAGGCACTGGTTAAGACCGGAAGCTAAGCAGTCCAAGGAATTTCCCGTATTGATGTCTCGAGTATTGCAAAAGAAGTTGTCCAGAACCAAAGATGGCCAGAGGGCCAGAGCATGACCAGAATGGGACAAGCATGGCCAAAAAAGGAAAAAAGGAAAAAAAGGCAGCCTGAGAGTTAATATCATGAATGAAGGAGGCCAAGACCAGGAAGAGAGATGAACTGGCCAGATCTTGCATATGTGGTCCAGGAAGGGCACAGAAGATGTTTCCCCCCATCTTTGGCAATCCTGGAAATTTGGACAGCGAGCAAATTTGCTTTTCCAAAGAAAACACTTCAGGCTCAACAGAATGCAACATTGAATGTCGCTTTAATGCTCCCTTCCGCGGTAAGCGAGCGAGCTCTCCTCGAGGAAGTAGAGTCTGGTCTGGTCCGAGTTGTTCAAGCCTATCATCAATGGATCCTTCCAATGGTCGAAGGGGTAGAAGGCGCCAAGTTTGACGGCTTGCCCGCTACAGAACTCGCGACACTCCACTGTAATAGGCGCTATGTTTGATCCAAGGGTGCCCAGGTGGTCGATGACGGGTGCGCTAGGCCTCGCCGTGCACGGTTGTCTCGGGGAATATTCTCCACCGCGCGAGGACTGCACCAACCAAACAAAGCAGCATCGTTTCTGTGACTTTCAAGTTTCGTTTCGTCCAGACTTTCGCGAAGATCGTCCCAGGTCTTGGTCGCTGCTGAGGTTCGGGCCGCACCTGGTACGGCAGTGAACCACACTTATATACTCTGCTGGTCCTATACCCTGCGTTCCATAGCTGGATCTGCCCTCGGCGTGAGCCGCATCGCTCGCAGGGTCATCCCAACCCGTCCTGCGCCCAGCTGAGCGCTGGCGTATTGCCAATCAGCCACCAGCCCGGCCTTGGGGACTCGAGATGAGGCAGGCTCTCGACAATGGCATTGGCACCGGGCAGCACTCGAGCTGTCACGCGGTGGACCACGCGCATCATTCCCTTGGTTCTCGCAGGATGTGTCGGTTACGCGACCTGGGTCACCATCGTGCGCATTTGCGGTATGGGTGTCTCGGTCTTCCTCTCTCTCATTGAACGATGGGACGGCCGCAGCGGCTGACAAGGCTTTTCGCCTCCAACAGTTGACTATCTCCTTCGGACCAAAGACCAGACCGGTCTCGCGATCGCTATTCTCGTTCTCTACTGCGTCTTCTTCACCCTCATGGTCGTCACCTACCTGCGGACGTTGATCATCATCAACACGAATCCGGGGCTCGTGCCCTTGGGGCATACCGTGCCGCACGATACCGAGCAGTACAGGATGTCTTTGCGCGGGGGTGACGGCAAAGATAGTCGAAGGCGCCACAGGAGGAGAAGGAGCAGGCGAGAAGCAGACGACCTCGAGTCGCAGCCGTATACCCAGGCGGCAGGCATAGAGCCCGATCTGAACCCGGACAGCCCTGGCCTCGAGCAGTTCTACAGCAAGGACGTCTTCGTTTGCGCCACAGACGGGCGCCCTGTGTGGTGCAGCAGCTGCAGAAACTGGAAGCCCGACCGCTCCCACCACAGCAGCGAGATGGAGCGCTGCGTGCGCAAGATGGACCACTACTGCCCCTGGGTTGGCGGCATTGTCTCGGAAACCTGTACGTGGGCGTTCTCGCTCTTCCAATCGCCGCCAGTGCCTGTCTGCCTTGGGAGTACTAACAGCGCAGCCAATCAGCGTTCAAATTCTTTGTCCAATTCACCTTTTATGCAACATTCTACTGCGCGGTAGTCCTAGCCATCTCGGCCTACACCCTGAGCGACCAAATCACAAACTACAGCGTCGACGGCACCGTGATAGGCGTCCTGGCGCTCTCTGCCTTCTTCGGCCTCTTCGTCGCCACCATGACCCTGACTTCCTTCCGCTTCATCTTCATGAACCTCACCAACGTCGACGTTCTGAGCTACAAGTCCAAGGTGTACCAGCTCGCCGTCCGCATCCCCCGTGGGTCCCCAGCCACGAGCCGGTACCCCGTCATCACCTACCCTCTCCCCCAACCCCCACCCCCACCCATGTCCTCAGGCCCCAACGGCAGCCTGCCGCCGCAGCAACAGCAGCTCAACGGCCACATCAACGGCAACGGCAACGGCAACGGCTACGCCGAACCTTGGCCCGGGCCGCAGTACCAGACCTACCAAGGCTCCGCGCCGCCGCCCAACGGCCAGCACGCCTCATCCCGCGATGAGCCCGTCTCCAGCAGGGACTTGCGCGCCCAGCGCACCTTTGCCATTGTCCGCACCGAGAGGGGCGAGAACCCCTGGGACCGGGGGTACTACGGCAACTGGAAGTCCGTCATGGGCGGCGACGTGCTGGACTGGCTCCTGCCGTTCCGGCCTTCCCCCTGCGTCCGCGAGGAGGACAACCGCAGCTTCTACCGCCTCGGCCCGGTATACAGGGAGATCTGCCGGCGATATGACCTCCCGCCGCTGCCGCGCGAGGAGAGCGACGGCGGCGTGGAGATGCGGGAGGTCTGAAGTAGGGGCATGGCATGGCATGGCATGGCATGGCAATTTGCCTAGGTGGAGAGAGCGACGGCGTTTCTGATTATCGTCATAATTATTATTATTTACTCCGGCGAGCCAGACACGCGTGGGTTTTTTTTCTTCTTCTTTATTGTCGTTTCTTGATACCCCCTTTTTTACACAAAGGGCTACTGGCTTTTTCAGCTCGGCGTTCATGGAGTTACCACTCGCACCACATGACCTGTTGGATACAACCTTGAACGCTCGGAAGGAAGAGGGAAAGGAGAAAGTATTCTTTTTTTCTTTCTTTCTTTCTTTCTTTCTCTCCTGTATACAATTACGAAGCAGCATATTAGATAATACAACTCAACTGGGAAAACCTTTGGAAAGGCAACAAAAAGTGTCTAGACCCCCGTTAGTTGGACATGTTACGCTGCGTTGCGGCATGTAAGCAGTCTGCTTGCCTTGCCGTGTCAGCGTCGGTGTGCGGTGCGGTGCGTGATTGGGGGGGCTACACTGCGTGCGTTACGCTCTTGGTGCGACGGCGGTGCCCTGCGCCAGATAAAAATTTCGACTCGACGACTTCGGCTGGGATTGGGCTGGGAAGCTCCCGGTGCGGTTTTTTCTTTTGTTCTACCGTGACGCAGCAGCAAGCGTTGATATCGGCGCGCAGGATGTGGTGAAGCGGAGCACAAGCAAGGGGCAGCAGCAAGAGCAGAGGAGAGGACGACGGCATTGTGCATGTGCGTGCGTATATACTCCGTTTGAGAGAGCGAGAGAGAGATAGAGGCAGAGAGAAGTGCGTTGGAGCGGCAAGGCAAGGATGTATATTGGCATGGGTGTCCCTGTCTATCAAAAAAGCAAAATTTCGTCCCCGGTCTCCCCAACTCCTCTCTGCCTATGTTACGTAGCTACATAGTAGTTATGCAACGACATGAGAATATCAAACTCCCTCCTTGTTCTCTCTCTCCCCTCCCTACTCCTACCACCACCACCAACCGTTTCCCAGTGACAGGGCGAGGATGCTGCCCGATTAGGACTCCGTGCAGGTGTCGTCCTTGACATGACCGCACTTGTCGCAGTCGGAACCGGCGTTCTCCCTGTTTGAGCATCTGCAGCAAGTCCACAGCTTCCGATACATCGGGACGCCGCCGCCCTCGGAGCCGAGAGTCCGCGGCCGGGTCGTTGAAGTAACGGCAGAGACAGGCCTGGTGTTTTGTTGGAAACTAAGTGTTAGAGCCTTTGGCTGTCCCGGCTTAGAGTATAATAGAGTCCCTTACATTGCTGTTAGATCTGAGTTGAAAGGTTGAAAGCTTGAGAAGAGTTCTTCACAGTAGTAGAAAGGATATTGAGATGATGGCTTGGAGATGTTTGTGTGATTGCGTTTTGCAGTCAACAAGATATTCATTCGCATTGTCTCTGGCTCACGGTGTCCTTTATATACATACAGAGCTCCTTCTCCTCTCGAAGTCTCTGTAACCATGGTCCATCAGGTCCTGTAACCAATACATCTCTCGGAGCTCCAGCATCGTGTGTTTCGAAACGGGTCGTGTCCAACGAGATTCGCCTACCCGCACCATCGTGACCACAGTCCGTCGGAGATCAAGGGGGCTTAGGACCGGCCTCTGTTCTCGTGAAGCTCGAGTGTGATATCGATCCCCATGCCGCCATTCGTCTTGTTTCCGAGGGACGACGAGCACAAGCTTGCTTCGCGGCAAGAGATCATCATCAGGATCGGCACTTTTGAACCCCCGGCCCCAGGTCAGGTGAGAGAGAGCAGCTGTGAGTGATGCCCCACGCGTAGCTTGGTTGGAGGAGGAGCGACATGTCGAGAAGGGCGGCTTAGCTTTTCCCAACAAGCAGCAGCACCCTGCCGACGACGAGCGCGCCGGTAACCCCACGAGGGGGTGCCAGAGAGGCCCCAGTGCATCTAGCGTCGTTTCTCGATCGTTTCCATTGCACTCCTACCGGACCGATAATACAAAAGGGACTTGACACAGTGGAGCCGAGTGATCAGAGAGCGAGAGAATCACCTAGGCCCCTTCCGGGGGGTTCGCGTCTGCATCCCATGTTTTTTTGCAAGGCCCGTTTGCCAATGTGAATACTCCTTGGATCCTACGCACGCGTGGTCGGTATCACGAAATGATAATCCCTCGATGTTTGCTGGTTGCCCTGTTGGAAGGCGTGGAGTAGGCGGCATATCGGCGATAGGATGTGTCGTAAGGTGGCACGGTAGGCCGCAGCTCCTTGGTAACGCAACGAAGCCCAAGCACTGGTTGTGTTTCTTCTCACGCCCTTCCCTCACGTTACCCAGAATGGGCGGGTTCCAGGTCCCCCGGGGGTACAGGGTTTCATGCACACTCTGTCCGACTTGACAGGACACAACTCGCTTTGGTCTACTCTATCCCCATGCGCGTGCGTGTAGTCATGATCCCCTCGGATCTCTGCTCTCGAGAGGCACCCCAAGCCTCTCGGTACGAGACTTGGGGTTCTTGCTTATTGGCGTCGGATATTGCTCCTGCGAGAATGAAGAATTGCACTTTCGTATGTCACGGGTGAAGCGATAGTGCAATGGTACCGTATGGGAGAGGTCGACGGGAGTGGGTGACGCCTCTCAGCCACCTGGGCACTGCCGACAAGAGGAGCCGCTTTGTGGGACGGAGTCGAGCCTTCGATTTATTCGAGAATGCTCATCGTCGTCAAGCTCTGGTGCGATCGAGAGGTGATTGACGTGCCAAGGGGGTTGGTTGATAGCTTCGTACTAGGGAGACCGCAGGCGCAAGGCAAGTTATTGTGCCCCGTGACAGATCACGACAGATATTGGCGAGGCTGCCTGTTGGACACAATGACGTCTTGATGACATCGGAGATATGATGTTTTCGCGAGGGCGACGACGACACCTGGAGGCAAGACGGTTGGAAAGAAGATATGGAATCGGGGCTCGGGTGTCTCGGTTCGATCGTAGGGCTAGCCGAGTTGCCTTATGAGATGGTGGAAAGGGAAAGGGTTGGAAGAACGAGGGTCCAACGGCAAGATGATAGGACGAGAAAAATACCAGGGGGGAGAGCTTGCCAACGGCGGGCTTCCACTTGGAAGAATGTCCTTCTGTGCTGCTTGCTCCTCCTTTCAGGGCACTGCTGCCCTTATGCAGCCCGGTGCCTGTCTATGGGTTACACCCTCTTTGGGGGGTTGGGGCGCGAACCGATCCACCAACACGGTCCTGGCTGGCCTCGCCGGTGTGGGATCCATGTGCGTCCAGTGGCTTGAGCCATTGGTGTGGATGGATGGACGGAGACGCACCCACGACAGTCGGCCAGAGGCTCACTACGGATAGAGCTGCTGCTTCTTTGTTCTCGGGCTACTAGTTATGGCTACATCCCTCGGCACTATGAATCTGATAAAGATCAGCTTGGATCAAGGGGGGGTTCTGGAGGGCCATCTGTGCCTGGCAGGCCCACGTGTCGTCGGATCCCGATCTATCTTGTCGCGCGGCAACGGCGGCACTTCGAACACTGAAATCAAGATCCCGGAATCCGAGCATGGGACACGACACTCCTGTTCAGGGAGAGATGATCTGATAAAAATGCCCTTCCCCAATGATACATCGTCCCGAACTACCTGGCACTTTCCGCGGAGGGGGGGCTCGCGGACCGATTCCGGGGCTTCGGCAAGCTCCAGAAGACTGCAACGCTCCATCCTCCGCATCTCTGAGGGGGTGTGCGTGATGCAACCTCAGACGGACAGTCCTGCAGAGCATCTGATGTAGGTTCGAGGACGCCCCCTTCAGTGCCTTCCGACTTTCCGCGTCTTTATTTTCTTTTCTTATCCATCTCAGTCTTAAATTCAAGGGCACGATAATCCTGGGGGAAAAAGAAGTCCGTCCAGCAAATGTTAGTGGGACCGTGGTGGCTTGCTCACCGGTCAAACTCTTCCTGCCGATCAGCCACGCGCGCGCCCCCGTCTCGTCAACAGCCTTTTCCACTTTGGTAAAAGAGCGTGCGGAACAAAGTGTCGTTATGCATGAGACCATGTCCCAAAAAACAAAAGGGTGCTAGCCACCGCACAAGCATAACCGAGCCTGCAGACTATTTCATGCATGAACGCCGTTCGGAACAGACTTGTCACTCATCAGATCTTGGGGGTTTTTGCGGAGAAGTGTAAGTTTCTGCGTGGGCGGCTGCAAGGGACATCCCAGTCGTCAGGCTGACCAACCGCCTTGATGAGGACTCGATACGATACAAGGAAGCAAGAACCGAGGGAATTGGTTGAAGAAGCGAAATGGAGGCTTGTTGTCAACACAGACTTTTGCTATAATGGGGAAAAAAGATCTTTCGTTCAAAACTCAACTCCGCGTCGCTGAATAGAGCTTCCCCCACGCAATCTCTCTCCAAGCGCCGAGGGTTTTACAAACACCATGTCCGTTTTAACGTCTCTCTGTTGGAGTTCTTGCTTGTTTTCAAGGTTGTTTAAAGCTCTGTTGCAGACCACTGGCAAAACTTCTTCACTGGCTCTTGATATTGTGATTCATCGACCAGGAGTGGTGTTCTGCAATTGAAGAACATCCCAGTCTTTGAAACCATTGGTACTTGATAATGTTGGACAATACAGCTTAGTATTGTAGTATTTGCAGTATACTTCACTTGGTACTCATTCTCGAAGCCAGTATTATCAGAACGAGACATAAGGATCAACGTTGGGCTACATGAGTATATTGAGCATCTATCACAGTATTATGGTGTAGAGTTACATAGTGTCTAGGATATAAAATCAAAACATTCAATGTTGATTATACTTGAGCACGTTTCTCATTTGAGGTTTCGTTCCCTCTTGTTCGTTGATGTGCATTCGTGGGTTTGATATCTGACAGGTTAACGTTCGCGGCTACGGCCGGACGACTACTTACCCAAGGCGAAGACATGACAACTTTTCAATCAAGGGATCAAACAACGAAAGCAAACAATCTTTACGACAATATCAAGGAGAACGAGAATGACAATGGTCCTTGGCCCCAGTTCGCCGTGGACTGCATAGATGCGAGGAGCAATTAAGGTCCCGCGCGCGATCACGTGACTTCGCGATCGACTTTGACGTCGTCGATCGATTCATCGCAACGCTGGTCTTTTTCATCCACCACCTTCATCATCCACCCATACCATCTTTCCTTGGTCGTATGCGAGAGACGCTAGAGACTGTAAAGATTATGGCTGCAGTCGGCTGCTGAAACGCATGTCTCTTTCTCGGATTCATGTTTGTGCCATTCTAATCCATGACGACGCGAACGCCCTCCGCAGTCTCTCGCGCGTACGACAGGCAGCGCGGTGGCACGCGAAATCGTCACACTGCGGGTGTATTCTGGTCGCTGACACTATCCCTGCTATGACATCTCCTCCTCAGTCCTTTCGGGACTCGTCCCCGGCGGGCGCACCAGGCCGGAGGCGCTCCCGATTTACGTACCGGAACCTGAGCCAGCTTGCGTCCTTCTCTGCTGGTTGCCCCCTCAGAGTCATCGCCCACATTGATCTCGATGCGTTCTACGCGCAGTGTGAGATGGTCAGACTGAACGTCGGCGAAGACCAGCCTCTTGCAGTCCAGCAATGGTATGTTCATCTTCTGCAGTGGTGTCGTGTTTGTGTTCATCCGTGTTGACGAGCGACGACTAGGGAGGGCCTTATTGCCGTCAACTACCCGGCCCGGAAGTTCGGGATAGGACGCATGCGCAACGTCCAAGAAGCTAAAAAGCTCTGTCCAGAGCTGATTGCTCAGCATGTCGCAACCTGGAAGGAAGGAGACGAGAAGTGGGCTTATCACGACGATGCTGCCGCCAACATTGCTACTCATAAAGTTTCCCTTGATCCTTATCGTCTCGAATCTAGGAAGATCCTCTCCACAATCAAGGAGTCCCTCCCGTCCGACCTGCAAAAAGTAGAGAAGGCAAGCATTGACGAGGTCTTCCTCGACCTTTCCGGCCAGATCCACTCCATCTTGCTGCAGAGGTTCACGGAACTCGCACATCCACCACCGTACGATGACCCTTCAGAGCAGCTGCCGCTGCCCTCAATCAGTGCTCTTGACTGGGGAGCTGATGCCCTTGTGGATCTCGACGAGGTGGAGGCGGAGACAGAGGACCCGGACTGGGACGACGTGGCAATGCTCATCGGATCCGAGATCGTTCGAGAGGTCAGAGCGGCCGTTCGCCAGAAGCTAAAGTACACTTGCTCTGCTGGCATTGCCCACAACAAGATGCTTAGCAAGCTGGGGTCTGGGTACAAGAAGCCCAATCAGCAGACAGTCATACGTAACCGGGCGATCCGGCAATTCCTGGGCGATTTCAAAATCACAAAGATTAGAAATCTCGGCGGCAAGCTCGGGGATCAGGTCGTGGACACCTTCCAAAAAGAAACCGTCCAGGACTTGCTGTCGGTGCCCGTCGAGCAAATGAAACTGAAGCTTGGCGACGACACGGGCTTATGGGTGTACAACACGATTCGCGGGATCGATACGAGCGAGGTCAACTCTAGGACGCAGATAAAATCTATGCTGTCTGCCAAATCATTTCGGCCCAGCATCAACACCTACGAGCAGGGGGTCAAGTGGCTTCGTATTTTCGTTGCCGACATCTTTTCCCGATTGGTTGAAGAAGGCGTTCTTGAAAACAAGCGACGCCCAAAGACGATCAACCTGCACCATAGACATGGGGGCCAGACACGCTCTCGACAGAGTCCCATTCCTCAAGGCAAGATTCTTGACGAGGAGACACTGTTCGATCTCGCCAAAAATCTCCTCAGCCAGATTGTATTTGAAGGCAGGGTCTGGCCCTGCGCGAACCTGAGTCTCAGTGTTGGTGGATTCGAGGACGGCATCACAGGTAACAAGGGCATTGGCGCGTTCTTGGTCAGAGGGGAGGAGGCGCAAGCACTCAACACGGCCTCCTCAGCGGCCACTCACAGCCTGGGAAGCGGCCAGACATCTGCAGAGAAGAGAAAAGCGAATGGCGAAGGGCCCAGCATCGAGCGTTTCTTCTCCAAGAGGTCGACGCCAAACAGGACTGACTTTGCGGAATCCTCAGACATGCGCGCCGGGCATGACGACGTGGACCTGACATCACGGAGTCCCTCGACAGACCTGTATCAACAGGGGCCACCTGCAGGCTCGCCTGTCCCCAGTGTCGCAAAGAAGGAGGAAGAACAGCAGATGGGAGACAGTCTATATGCCTGTCCCCGCTGTGATTCACAGCTCGAGACACATGAAGCTCTGCAGAGCCACCAGGACTGGCATCTGGCCAAAGACCTCCAGGACGAAGAAGAACGTGGCACCCGAGCATTTGTCCACGGTGCATCCACCGCAATGCCTTCATCTGGCGGCGGGTCCAGGAAGGGCGGAGCGACGCAGTCCAAGAAGGCAGTGCGTTCCAGCAAGATCAGCCCCGGGCAAACAAAGCTCAAGTTTGGCTGAGGCAGCAAGATGCATCACGGGAAGCGGATGCAACAGCGGAACAAATCGGTGGAAAACGATATGAAGCCCCCTGCCTCAAATGAGACCTGCAAGGGCACGTCCTCTCCGATATTCGACCCGGACAGGGATTGAGATGTGCAGTTTCTCGAAGAAGCAGTTTACACGTCGCGACGGGCCCTCTCAACTCAGTTCGCCGACCGCCAGTGGACGCCACGGCATGGGCAGCTCGCAAAACGCAAGAACCTCATGCATGTTTGAATCATCCGAAGGCGACGTCGAAATCGTAAGTGGGCCTCGTTCTCACAGACTGCAGTAGAGACGGAACGATGACGGCGGGCACTTGCGCCTTGCATCCGGTACGTCATTCTAAGCTCTTCTTGGAACCCATACGGGCCAGGATGTCTGGCAACGGGCATCATCGCTGCCCTTTCCGGGGGAGGAACCAGGTTCGTGCTGCCGGGGTCATGGCAACCCACACGGCTGGGATATATCATTGATCGGCAGACAACTGTCATAACACCAGCTTGGAAGGAGTGTGTCAGGAAGCGCAGCACTGCGCAGCTCTGGTTGAGCCCTTGCAGCCTTCACTTTGGGTGCTCGCAGGAGAACTGTCAATGCTGTAAGGGCCCGCGCGATCGGTAGGAGGGTTTCCTCCTTCCCTGGGCACTATCAGGGAACGAACTGGAGAAGGCCGCTGCAGCTAAGCCGTGCGATGGCTAGTTTGACGGATTATTGTGGGCGGAAGACTTGTCAAAGCATTCGGCGGTCATGCCGGATCACTGTGCGGTGTCGTCAGGATGCTAACACGGCGGCGACGGCGGTGATTGGCTGGGCTGTTGGGTCAGGCACTAACCCCCTTGCACCTTTTGCGACATGGTTAGGCTCCATCCGTGCGTGCATTGATACCCAACCTAGCCAACTTTCCCAGCCATGCAACCCTGCGAGCCTGCACATCATGAAAAGGTACCTTTTTCTGACCAGAGCTTATTCTACCCAAGATTCCACGTTGCAATATCTCTATGGCTCTCGGCACCTGCCTGAGCATCCATCTACGTGCACCTGTGACCAGCCAGTGGCCCAAAGAGCACGTACGACAGTGACAGGTGTTGCATCGGGATGGGTCTTACATCAGCCTATGGCCAAACACCAGCCGCGAGTCGAGCTGCTCTGCCAGGACGAAACCCAATGCAGTGCGCAACAGGTATCCCGCAACACCTGCTGCATGAGCGAGCGAGTGAGTAAGTCTGGCAGACAAAAGTCGTGGTGTCAAGTTGCACCGAGCCTGTCGACCATAGAAAAAGGAGGACAGATCCCAGAGGCACCCCCGTCTTCTGGACGGACGGGAACACGAGCGGCGCTGTAAAAAAGACACTGCCGAATCTCTTGTCACCATCGTCCGTGTGTGACATGCATGTCCGAGCGAGTAGGAGGCCTGGGTTTGGATCGATTTGTTACCGTGCTCCGAAAAGGGTGTCGGTCAAGCGCTGGATTGGTGTTGAGAGGGGCCGCTAGGCGGACCGCCCCTCTCAAACCTGCACTAACACCACCAGCACGGAGCTGCCTGGCCTGGCCGGCCCAATATCAAGAACACCGAGAGATGGATGCCCTGGCAGTACTTGCAACGGGCCACCTGGAAACACACGTACAGCCTTGCGTGTTGCGTGTTGCGTGTTGCGTCAAGCGTGTGTATATGAAATATTGCTGCAGGGCGCGGCATGTGATGATGATGCTCTTTGGCTCCAGGCCGCCATCCTCACGAGCGTCCGGCATGGAAGTGATCAGAACATCACCTGGATCTCCCAGCCCAACTACAGGGAATTTCGGCACAGCCCATTTGTTACGCTTGCCTGTCTGATTCGTGGCGACGACAGGACCTGCTGCCCTTCCTGCCCTGCCACCTGCTCGTCATCCATACTTGCAGTAGACTGCCGCCGCTTGTGTAGGGAGACAACACACACACACCGCCCCCCCGTGCCGTCTGGGCCAACCACCAACCTCCACGCGCAATATTGCAAAACGCAACATTAAAACCTACACTTTTTGTGTTTTGTGTCCAGGGGGTGTGCGCGCGCTGCGCCAGAATTTCTGCCATTTCCGCAAGCTTGACACGGAAGAGAGGACAGGACATCTCCTCTCCTGATCCGTAATTGTTTTCCCCTGCCGAGAGCTTCTGGAACACAGCACGCTCCGCCGCTCTATGCCTCGTTGAGTATCGCAGTGGGGACCGGGCCGGAGCTGGACTTCCTTCAAAGCGTAGTTATCCTCGCGCGCTCTCTCGATCTGTGTGCCTTTTGCGTCGCGGCGCGCAAATCCGGGCCTCGCCCCCTTCGCGAGCTCTCCTGGACCGGCCGCAAGGTAGAAGAGAAAAGATCTGCTTTGGTGTCCCGGTTTTAATCCACGTCTGTTGCCTGTCGGTGCATGCTTACCTGGAGGCGACCATCTCTTTCAACGTAGCCCATCCCATCCCATCTGAGCAGCTACCTTAGTTCCTTGGGCCCAATCGCCACCTGCCAGGGATTCATTTCTTTCAGGCAGGCTTATGCGGGACCTTGCTGGCCAACGGCGAGGGAGGGACAGAAGAAAGAAGCCTTGTTGAGTGATGTCGATTCCTGTCCACACGGCGGTTCCTTGTCCATGCCCAACGTCGAGGTGGTTGAGCGTGTGGGCCAAGACGATTCGCCTGCCGCCGCAACCACTGAGTGCCGCTCGCGGTCGCCATTTGCTGCTCTGCTTTCTGCGGTCTGGTCCATCTGCCATCTTGGCCGTCTGGCGTGTCCCATATTGGTCTGCTGGCTGGTCTGGTCGTCTGCCTATCCCACCACTGCTGACCCACCTTTGGGCAAGCGCCGTTCCTCTTTTTCTTGCGGCCACCGCCCGCTTCCCCCCCCCCTCCGCCGCTCCATCCCATCTTCCCATCATTTTCCCTCCTCGGATCTTCCTCCCTTCTTCTTTTCTCAAACCATCTTCTTCCCCCGTCAAACAAACTAGGGAAAAACGACGACGACGACGACAACAACAACAACAACACCAGGTCTTGGCCCACATTAGCTGTCGAGCAGTCCCTTTCTCCATCGGCTCTCTTCTTCCTCCCCTTCTCTTTCCTCTCCTCGTCACGATAACCCCTCTCTCCGTCCCTCTCTCCGTCCCTCTCTCTCTCCCCTGCACACAGACCAGACGCAGAAAAGCCATGTCAAGACAACAGCGGGGTTCAGGCGCCACCGCCGCCGCCTCGATGGCTGCTCAATCGGGCCCCCGCCAAAACGAGTACTTTGTGCCTCGCGACGGTATTGACCGCGAGGTCATTACTGCGGACATCTGCCGCTATCTCGGCAACGATGCTCTTGTCCGCCCGGGAACGTACGATGTAAGTCATTTCCCCCATCATTTTCATTTTCTTGAATTTCCTGATGTGTCGGCAACGAGACTGACCCCTGCGTTTTCTACCCGACAGGACAACGGCCGTGTCATCCAGGGCTATTACATCACCGCATACAGGAATCTCACATCGGTGCGTGGCTAATTGAGCCTACCAAAACTGAACAAGAACCAAACAACGACGATGGGCGGTTGCTGATGTTTTTTTTCTTCCCTTTCCGACTGCAGGCCATGATTGCCGATCTGAAGGCCGACTCACAACGGTGGGACCAAGAGCGAAGGAAACATGGGTCTAGCCAAAATGGTACTCAGATACCGAGAGATTCACATGGCCTTCCTTCGAGAAGATCTAACTCTCCTACAGTTCGATACACGGAATCGCAAACGCGCTTCCAGCAGCAGGGTGACCACAGCTACGGCAGCGGTGGCTACCAGAACCTGAGGTACCCGGGCAACGAGGCCCCTGGCTACAGCTCTTCGAGCACAGCTGGTGCCTCGTCCTCTTACCCCGCCTATTCCAGCGGAGGTGGTATGTATCCTGGTCAGTATGCAGGCCAGTCGCCGCAATACTCGTCGCCGAGTACTGCCGACCCCCGGTATGTGGCTGCCCCCGTGCCCGGGTCCATGGGCGCCGCATACCAGATGCAGACGGAGCCGGTCGCGGTCGGGGCCTACCAACATGGGAGCAACTACCGTGTCTCGGACCAGTACAGCGCCGACCGGATGAACGTGGACTCGGGACCGCGGTACACTACCTCTGCGCAGCAGCAGCCCTACCAGACCAGCCAGGGCTATGCCTACCAGCAGGCCCCTGCGGGCAGTGCCGGGTACGCGCAGCCCGTCGACAACTTCTACGGCCGTGGTGCGTATCCTGCTACAACAACTCCTACCACGCAAGCGCCAGCGTCTGATTTCTTAGCATCTCCAGCAAGCAACCTGCCCGTAGGCTACAGCCCGACTCCAGATCCCACACAGTATGAAGAATCCCAACCCCAGCCCCCTCTCTCTCGCCCTGCGACCAAGGTCTCCTCCAGTGCACAGGCTCAAACCGGCAGCAGCGGATCCGGCCGAAGAGATCGCGACCAGCGCGATTCCCGCGATGCGACCGAGAAGCGTTCCCGACACCACCACTACCGGTAATGGGCCTGACCCTTGCTGGTTCTGGATGGGTCTTTGCTCTGCTTCAATCCCAATCCCAGGATGTGATCCCCTTGAGAGGATGATCCCCTAGCCCTCCCGCAGAAAGGCTCACTGCGGGCTTCCGCCTACCCACCATTGGAATGGACCACTCCGTTTTTTTCTCTTCCAAGCCTGGCTTCGTTGTCTTGCTTTGCTTTCCGTGGAATAGACCCCTGGAACACGAGGTCGACCCGAGACCTCGGGGATACCCTCCCCCGTGGAACCCCCCCTTTTTGGGAGTTGCAAAGTGCTTCTCTGTCACTGTGTCTGCATGGCCTGTGACTTCTTAATTCTCCGGTTTCGCCACGACCCTCCGACATGATCCGGGAGAGGTTGTTTCTTGATATTTTATTCCCCGGACTTGGACCCGATCTATCCTTCATCGGACCATTTTGAGGCTCAAGGCCCGGAGTTCCTCCTTTTTCCTTGATAACGACCGCATATATGGATGGGCGAAATGGTTTCACGAATCATGTTTTGTTTTTGCTGCTTCTGCCGCGAAGAGATCGAGGCAGAGTTGGGTTTGCGGTTGCATGTCTTTCTCCTTTATACCATCTCCAGGACTGGATTGGAAAAGAGCGTGACTTTTTTTTTTCGGGAGGGGATTGCTGCTTACAGTGTTTCCCTCTGCCTTGAAACCTTGCTGTCCGGATCCGACCACTTGGGCATCGCCGACGGGCGCAATTTGCCCCCGTCCCTTTTCTCTCTTGTTTCGTTTGGTCTGATTTCCCAAGAACGGCGAACTGGTTGGTGTTCAGCGTGTCTTTTTATCGCCCTGGTTGACTCTAACCAAACTAGCCACGGTCGAGGCCCGGACAGCAAGGTGAGTATTCTGGGGAGTGTATATATTAGTCTAACAACTGCAAAGGATTTCTCCGTTCCATCTCCGTTTTCTCACTCTGGAGCGCACGTCCCCAATGGATATCAAAATCGCATCTTTCTGCGCGCATCTGAGCTGACAAGAGCAGACGTGATCAAAAGCTAGCCAGCCTCCTGGATACCAAGCCTTGGACACATACCCCTGGACACCGGAACTGCCTTGGGCTGGACTCCAAATACCAAACCTGGGACAATCACTGCATCCGAGGATTCAAGAGCTACCCGCGCGGACCCTTCCTTTACTCTCTGGCGTTCTGTGGGACATGCAGACCGGGAGCAGACCCTGTTACTTGTTCTTTTACCTCGGGGAATACCGGCCGTGGACAAATGCAGTTGACCGTGCCGTTACGGCGCAGAGAGACATGCATTCAAACATTTTGGCATCAGTTGCCCTCGGGGTCAACGTCCCACCAAACGTCACAAGAATTGTTCTCAAATGAGGTCCAAGGTAAGGCATGCCATCCGATGCTTCTGGACCGAAAGATGATTGCGTCTTTCTTTCCCTCCCCGCGGACTTGAAGAAAAACAAACCTTTTTTTGGAAATATGTCTTCCGCTGCCCTCTGGTCTGCTCTACCTACCCCTGGATGACCCCCATCTGTTTGTTGCGTTTTGGGAAACTTCTTGCTTGTGCATGAATTCCTTGCCGCGGACAAAGTCCAGGAGATGCCTTGACATTGCTTCATCCAGCCATTGCTACCTACCCCAAGGGCCCAAGAGAGTACGTTTTTGGACGGACCCGTCGACCCGCCAGGGAAGGAGACTTGTTTCTACTGTTTGAGGCCCGTGTATGTCCTCCCAGACCCAGGTGAATATGTATTTGCTTGGACCGCTTCTGGAACCCCATCCCGTCCCGGTGGACGGTGGCGTTGGTTGGACCCTCTCATTCCCGGATCAACGAACCCCCCCGTGCCCGTGGGACTGTTTGATATACCATCACATCATCACCTGGGACCCGTACCTGGAAGTGTACAATGCCAAGGACAATTGTTTCCGATCGGAGGAGACTTCTGCGTGGACTTTTATTCGACTATCCTTTTGCAAATCTTCCTGGCTTATTTGGGGATACCCCGGCGCGGGCGCGTCTTTGCGATGACTTACTACCTACCCTTCTGGCTTCGTTGCCCCTTTCTGGAGCGGGCGGCTTTTTTGGAAGCAGTGGCACTGTTTGTTTGGGCCCATGACATGTGGTGTGATGTGGTGTGGCAAGGCTTTGCTTTTATCGGCGGGAGCGAATCATGATGGTGATGGGTGGGTGGTTGGTGACTGGCATCGCGGGATCATGGGGAGGTGTCAGGGAGTGGTTGTTTCTATCTCGTGTACTCGTTATGCATTGACTCTTTGTACTTTTTCGGTGTATTGCAGTTTGTGGCCTCAGGCTTTCTTTGGCTTTTGACAAATTTTGATTTGGGAACTTTGGTATATCATGTCTCTCTCTCGCGTGTGTCCTGAAGGCCGTTGCTGGTTGCTGTACCTTGAACGTGATCCTCTGCCTGTCTGTCGCCTGATGTTGTGACCCCCCAGGTTTCTAACTATGTTTGTATCACAGTTTGTTGCTTTTTTTGGCAGATGCCGAGAGCTACCCTAGGTAGCTTTTCAGCGCTCCAGGATCGACATGGGGATCTTCAGGGACATAATTACATCCACCAGACAAACAACCCGGGCGTATCCTCCTCCTCCTCCTCCTGCTCTGCTAGTTATGGTGGTTTTTCTAGTGTGCATAATTGATCATTGGAGACCTCGCCTCACAAGTGGCTGCAAGAAAAGAAGACGGATTTCCATCAAGGAGTATTTCGTACCTAACACCTTGATCAAGTGGCGATGCCACTCACTGGCTTTTACGGACTTGGAGGGGAAATGTAGAAGATCACAGAGTTAAAAACTGCCAGGGTGCCTGGTTACTATCTGTCTACATTTCTTGCAGCCACTTGCCTCACAAGTTCCCCGTAATCACGACCCGGGTCAGATTGAAAATACTGGGCGGCTTTTCCCACGCGAGCTAGGGGCGGTCGGCATCCGGGGCCGCTGCCCGACCAGGCCGAAAAGCGAATTCCCACCTACCTAGGTAGGGGAGGCATCGGTACGGGTAGCACCACCACGTAGTTACGTCTGGGAAAAGAAGCGGTGACACCGCCGGGGGGAGCAAAAGTCCCAAGGTAGCTACAGCAGGCAGGGGGGGTTTGGTTGGGCTGCAGTCAAAAAAAGTTCAGTTGACGGGAGTTGAGTGAGTCGGTCGGGCGGCGCATGTGGTTGCGGGCGCGGGCAGCAGCAGCATGAAGAAGAAAAAGACCCTGGCAGCGGGAAGAAAGGTGGGGGGTGGAACGGGGGGGGGCTCTTTGGGGCGGGATGTGTGCCATGCCATGCCATGCCTTTTTCTTCTTTCTTTCTTCTCGGCCTGGCCTTGGGCTGCCTGTGGCTGGCTGGTCTCTGAAGAGCAGGGTTCAACAATGAAGGCTTGGGAAGCACGAAAACCCTCGGTGCATTTTGTGCATGCATAGAGTGTACAGGGTCATGTCATGGCACACATACTCCGTACCTATGTCAGTCAGGTAGCGCTGGGTGATGCGATATACTAAACTACGAAGATTCTTTTTTTTTTTTTTTCAGCGGGCTATGCCGTGAGTATTGGGAGAGTGCTGGAGAGTTTGTGATATTTTGCAAGGTTATCGGGATCGGCATGAGTCCAGAGCCTTCGAGTATGCAGTTTTCCGTAACCAACAAACGTTTCCGTGGAGCCTCGACGCGGGCCGCGGCTTGCCATGCTCTCGAGGGAAGGGGAGATGTCTTGTTTGCCCCCCTCCTCCCCCCTCCCCGCAGAAAGCCTACAGCCTCACACTCACTCAGGCGAGGGCATGATGGTGTTGTTGTGTTGCACCGCATTTGGCGACCATGCAGTGGTCCGAATGTCTCGACCTACTTACTCTCCCCCGCCCCCCTGGCCATAGTACGCAGGCAGCATCCGGGCGGTTGGTCAGCTGGATGAGCCCCCTGGGATCGCTGGGTCTGTCATGCTCAGCCCTGTCCTCCACTGCTCTGCTCACTGCTCACATCAGCCTGGTAGAGAGCTCCCTAGTAGTGTTGGAGAGAGGAAGAGGAAGGTATGTATGGTGTTGGGCATGACATTCCCCCACGGATGTGAAGCGTTGAAACCCGCGAGTCACCACGGACGGCCTGCCTCTGAGGCATGCATCAAGGAGGCACTGAACAGCTGAGCTGTGGCCTTGGTAACTACCAGGCTCCGAAACCTCGTAATGATCATCCCAATGTCGGCACGAGCAGCCATAGTCATATTCTTCATCTCTGCACTAGACTTTTTCTTTTCTTGATGCGCGCCATGCACTTCGCGAGGTAGCTAGCCGCAAACCAGTGCCACTGATTTGACGGGACGAGCCTGACTGTGGAACCTCGCAGACCCACGATTCACGATACTCGACGCTGGCCGTGGCCCCAGCTGGGCCTATCACCGGCCTCTCCTCGCTCCCCGTAAATAAAAAAAAATAAAAAAAAAATTCCCAAGTCTGCCCCGCCAAACCTTTTTGCCTGTACTAAAATCGCACCGTACCTACCTACGCACGCTAATTTGGAGTGCCCTGCGGGAAACCGACAGTAGCCCTGAAAACCAGACACAAACACGCCTGGCTGCTGGTGGCTCACAGGGGCGGCGAGAGAGAGAGAGAGAGAGATAGAGAGAGACAGAGAGAGATCCAGGGACAACCACAGTCCGGGACCCCCAACGCACTTGCAGCGGCCGCATAACTAGTGAACACGCGCACCTTCCACCTTCCAACGAATGCCCGCCCCTCCGCCAATACAAGTACAACCACCAGTCCACCACCGCCCCAGCACCAACACCCCCCAAGGCTGCTGCACCACATCAAATCCACCACACGTCCTCGATTTTTTAATTCCCCGACTACCACCCCTCCCTTCCTCGATCCATTTTCTTCCCTCCCTCTCTCCAGTTTGTTTTATCTACCTACCTACATGCGCGCAGCCTGTCGTTGACATCGTCGCCCAAGATGGATGCTCAGACTGTCCGAGGCTGGATTGTTGACACCTTGGCTCCCGACGCCGACGTGCGTCGGAGGGCTGAGCTCCACCTCAAGCAGGTACGCACGAACACGCACACACACTCTCTCTCTCACGCACGCACGCACGCAAGCCCCTTCACCAAAGCACCAGGCACCGAGGCTCTTGAAACATGGCACACAAGAACTGCTGAGCCTCTCCCTCCTCGGAGCCGGGGCGCGCGCTCCGTTCCCCGCCGCCTCGACGCCCTCGAGTCCTTCGCGAGCCCCGATTGCTGTGCACGAAACCCCCTTTGCCCGACGCACTGGTTTGCTGACCCCCTCTCCCTCGATTCCAGGCCGAGGAGCATGTAGGCTTCACCGACGTTCTACTCGACGTGCTCCAGAATGAGCAGGATCAAAATATCCGTCTTTCGAGTATGTCTTTGCTGCTCCCTTTCTCTCCCTCGCTAGCGGCGCCGGTAAAGCATGACCGCGACCGCATCCCCCGAGCGAGCGCCTTGGTTGCAGGATAAACAAATGCACGGTGGACTAACCCCTTGGCCCGCGCGCCGCCCTCCACGCAGCCGTCATCTACCTCAAGAACCGCGTGAACCGCTCGTGGTGCTCGGCAGATCAGTTCTCGGGCGAGCGCTCGATACCCGAAGACGAGAAGGCGAGATGTCGCGACCGGATACTGCCCATCCTCGCCTCGAGCCAGGGGCTCATCCGCCACCAGCTCATCCCCATCCTGCAGCGCATCCTGCACTGGGACTTCCCCGACAAGTGGCCCACCTTCATGGACTTCACCATCCAGGCCCTCAACACCAACGACGCCCTCTCCGTCCTGTCGGGCCTGCAGTGCCTGCTCGCCATCTGCCGCGCCTACCGCTTCAAGGCCCCCGACGGCGAGAACAGGTCGCACTTTGATAAGATCATCGAGGCGAGCTTCCCCCGCCTGCTCGCCGTGTGCAACGAGCTGGTCAACCAGGACAGCGACGAGGCGGGCGAGATGCTGCACTTGGCGCTCAAGATTTGGAAGCACGCAACTTGGGTAAGGCTCTGCTCTCTCTCTCTCTTTCTCTCCCCCTCTCTGGATAGAACGGTGTTTCGTGAGGGGTTAGTCGGGTCGTGTCGTGTGCTGACAAGGTGGCGTAGATTGAGCTTTCTGCTTTCTTGCGAGAGCAGCAGGTCAGCCTCGGCTGGTGCACCATCTTCCTGCAGACCGTCTCCAAGGCGACGCCCGCCAGCGCGATGGACGAGGATATCTTTGAGCGCGAGAAGCACCACTGGTGGAAGGCGAAGAAGTGGGCTTACTTCAACCTCAACCGATTATACATCCGGTATGCGCCTCATCTAGGGCAAGGATTTGCGATGGCTCTTTTTTTGGTTTTTCTAACTCTCGCCCAGGCACGGTAACCCGCAAGCCATCACCAAAGAGGACACCGCTCAGATGGCCTACGCCAAGGAGTTCTCCGCGAACGTCGCCCCCGAAATCCTCAAGCACTACCTCCAAGAGATTGAGAAATGGGTTGCCAAGACGACTTGGCTCAGCCGCCCCTGCCTTTCGTATACGATCGTCTTCTTCGACGAGTGCATCAGGCCCAAGGAGATGTGGACGCACCTCAAGCCCCACATGACCAACCTTGTCACGCATTTCATCTTCCCGATTCTGTGCCTTTCGAGCAACGACGTTGAGCAGTTCGAGGACGAGCCGGAGGAGTATCTGCACCGCAAGCTGAACTTTTACGAGGAGGTGTCCGCCCCGGACGTTTCCGCGACCAACTTCCTTGTTACCCTGACCAAGGCGCGGAGGAAACAGACGTTTGAGATCCTGACATTCATCAACACCGTCGTCAACGAGTACGAGCAGGCTGCCGATGACAAGAAGAACCACATCGCGAAGGAGGGTGCTCTGCGCATGATTGGCACGCTTGCGCCGGTCATCCTGGGCAAGAAGAGCCCCATCGCCGACCAGGTCGAGTTCTTCTTGGTGCGATATGTTTTCCCCGATTTCACCAGCCCGCAAGGCTTCCTCAGGGCGCGGGCTTGCGATACCATCGAGAAGTTTGAGCAGCTGGACTTCAAGGACCAGGCCAACCTGCTCACCATCTACCGCCACATCCTCGACTGCATGGCCGACCCGGCCCTCCCCGTCCGTGTAACCGCCGCCCTGGCGCTGCAGCCCCTTATCCGCCACGACATTATCCGCACCAGCATGCAGCAGAGCATCCCCACGATCATGCAGCAGCTGCTCAAGCTCGCCAACGAGGCCGATATCGACGCTCTCGCCAACGTCATGGAGGACTTCGTCGAGGTGTTCGCCACCGAGCTCACTCCCTTCGCCGTCGCCCTGAGCGAACAGCTGAGAGACACCTACCTGCGCATCGTCCGCGAGCTCGTGGAGAAGAACGAGAGCCGCAACGACGACGATTACGGCGACTTCCTCGACGATAAGAGCATTACCGCGCTTGGTGTCCTGCAGACCATCGGTACCCTGATTCTCACTCTGGAGAGCACGCCCGATGTGCTTTTGCATATCGAAGCTGTGCTGATGCCTGTTATTCGTGTTACACTCGAGAATAAGCTCTACGGTAAGCTGCACTCTTTTGCGCATATGGACCGTGGCGTGTTGGAAAGCTAATGCATTCTCCTAGATTTGTACAACGAAGTGTTTGAGATCATCGACAGCTGCACCTTCGCCGCCAAGGCCATCTCCCCTACCATGTGGCAGGCCTTCGAACTGATCCACGCGACCTTTAAGTCGGGCGCCGAGCTCTACCTCGAAGACATGCTCCCTGCTCTCGACAACTTTGTCCAGTATGGCGCGCCTCATCTGGTCCAGAAGCCCGAGTACGTCGAGGCCCTCTTCTCCATGGTCTCGGACATGTTCACCGACGGCAAGGTCGGCGGCGTCGATCGCGTCTGCGCCTGCAAGCTCGCCGAGGCCATGATGCTGTCCCTGCCCGGCCAGATCGACAATGCTGTCAGAGGCTTCATCACGATGGCCATGAACGTGCTCAGCACGCAGGACGTCAAGATCAAGTCGTACAAGATCCACCTCATGGAGATGGTCATCAACTCCATCTACTACAACCCCGTCTTGACTCTGCACGTGCTCGAGCAGGAGCAGTGGACCAACAAGTTCTTCAGCCTCTGGTTCGGCAGCATGGATGCCTTTACGAGAGTCCACGACAAGAAGCTCTGCATCGTCGCCATCGTGTCGCTTCTCAGCCTCAACCCGGACCAGGTCCCCCAGAGCGTGTCTGTCGGCTGGCCGCGGTTGCTGCAGGGCATTACTGTGCTGTTCAGAACACTGCCTGCTGCCCTGAAGAACCGCGAGGAGGCGCTCAAGGATGACTTCACCCTGGAGCCTGGCAACTACGACTATGACGACGATGATGAGTGGAACGAGGACGAGGCTACCTGGACTGCCGAGGAGCCCGAGGGTGCCGAGATCACCGATGCCAAGGACGAGAGCACTGCTTATCTCGAGTTCTTGAACGAGGAGGTATGTTTTATATTCTGACAAGGTCAGCTGAGCTGGGGTGAGCTGCAGAAGCTGACGTGGACCCAGGCCCAAAAGTTCGGCAAGCTCGGTGAGCACGAGTCTGATGACGAGATGGGTGAGGAGAGCGTACTGTTGGAATCTCCCCTCGATAAGATCGACCCTTATCAGGTCTTCCGCTCGTCTCTTATGAGTAAGTTACTACGTTGACCTCTTCGCATATCATCAGAGTGTCGTGCTGACAACATGACTCTAGAAATGCAACAAGAACAGCCCCAGTTCTACTCGTCCCTCGCCTCTCACCTCACTGCCGAGGAGCAGAGCGTCATCCACTCCGCTTTCGCCCAGGCCGAGGCTGCCCTCCTTATCCATCAGCAGCAACAGCAAGCCGCTGCTGCCGGTGGTGCTGTCAACGGTGGCGCGAGCTAGGTATTCACGCCCCTTGACTCTATGAGGGCCGCCGCCAATTTTCAGCCCTTGGGGCCGGGGATGCAGCATAGCGGTGGCGCTCTTGATGGTGCCTTTGCCGACCGAGCGTAGGAGTGTTTTCGAGGGCCTGCTCGTGTGGCCCTTTTTGCACAGCTTGGCGCAGGTAGAGCGGGGGCTTGATCCGCAGAAAGAGAGTGGATTGTCTGTATTTGTTGGCTCATGTGTTTCTGGTCAATGCCTGACGAGTGTCGGGACTTCTTTCTCCAGCAAATTTATGAGCGATGATCTTGAACCCAAGTGGGTTTTATGGACTACTTGGCGGAACCCAAATGATTTGCATCACCGTGAGGACGAGAGAGATTTAGTTATTGAGCAAGAGAGGGCGAGGAAGAGAAGGACTACGGCATTGCTCGTGCGCGACAAGGGGGTTTTCTCTGCTGAGACGTTGTGCCGACGCGGATAAGGGGGCTGCGTCAGGCTGGAATGAGAGGGCATCTCTCTTTTTTTTCGTTGATGAATACACCCGTCCCCCTTGTATCCGTTCGTTGACTTGCGTGTTGCGACTCGGAAGGCGGTTGTATGCTCTCTGATGGAATGGCGACGACTTTTTTTTTTATTGTTTTGGGAAGGAGGGAAGAGAAGCCAAGATCTCTGTGAAGAGGAAGAGGAAGAGGAAGAGGTGGAACTGATATGGATGGATGGATGATTGATGGGGTTCATTTCAGGGGAGGAAAATCAAAGCACATGGGAGGGAGGGCCAGATGATGATGGATGATGGAAAAGAGAAAGAGCAAGAGCTAGATAGGTGCAAACTACCCCCCATCCCACACCCACACACACAGACACAGACGCAGACATTAACTACCCCAAGGCCTACACCATTTGCTCAATACCACACCAAATACATACCATAACTATCTTGATGTCTGTTCATACATACACACGCTCTTTCTTACCTTTGGCTGTTTTGGGTGATGCGGTTGTGTGATACTATGGCGGGCGGACGGACCCGTGACGGCATGAGGGATTGATGATCAGATTCACTGTTGTCGATTTGGCGTACACACTGCACCTAAGCAAGGAAGGGGGGTGTTACAAGATGAGCTTTGCTTTTCTCTCGTTATCTTCATCTCATTACAGACAGCCTCTGTCCCTTTCCACGCCTGAACCCTTTTCAACCACAACAACAGCAACAACAGCAAACCCCCCTATCCGGGATCATTCCCTTCCTTGCCTTCCCAGTCCTCCCTCCTCCCCCTTGTCCTTGGGTCCATGTAATCTCTCTCTCTCTCTCTCTCTCTCTCTCTCTCTCTCTCTCTCTTCTCTCTCTTCTCACCACTTTTATTCAGCAGGTCATGGTCGCCGTGCTGGTGCGCGTCATGCACCCCCCGGGACACTCGGTCTGGCACCCCGTCACGAAGAGCAGCGTCTCGGGCGCGTCGCACCCGCACCCGACCGTCAGCGTCGTCTGCTCGACGCAGCTCGGCACGGGGCACCGCACCGGCGGGCAGTCGGCCGGCATGGTGGTGCGGGTCACGGTCGGGCAGGGGAAGGGCCTAGGGGTCGTGGGCCGGGGCGGCAGGGTGACGACGCTGGTCGTCACCTGCGCGGGCGTGCTTGTGGTCCTGGTGGTGGTGGTGGGCCACCACGTCGGGCGGGTGCGCGTGCGGCGCGTGGTGGTGGTCGTGCTGGAGGAGGAAGACGGCTCGCAGGGCAGGCGCCGGGTGCGGAACTCGGCGGCGCAGCCGTCGTAGGGGCAAGGTGCCCCGCAAGGGGAGAGCAGGGTCGCGGTCGGGACGGCGGCCGGGCAGCCGCAGGGGTTGGCGACGGTGGAGATGAAGAGGCAGTCCTCGGTGCCGCACTGCCTGTCGCACCCGCGGGCCAGGGCCTGCTTGGTGACGGTCGGGCAGGGGATGTCTTGCTCGGCGGCGAGGGCTTGGGAGGGGAGGAGGAGGGTGAGGGCTGTGGTGAGGAGGAGGAGCTTCATCGTGGAATTGGGGGTGTTGAGACGGCGAGTGTGTATATCGAAGAAGGGAAAGGAGCCTTTGCTTTTGTCGAAACCTGGTACGGGGTTGACGCTAAGGTAAGCTTGATGGAGACAGGGATGATCACGTCTTTTTCATTCATTCATTTCTCTGTCCCCCTTGGCCATGGGTGGATTGTCGATGGATTCTTATATCGACAGGACTGCATTTCATGATCAGTCGACTTATTCACGAGAAACCAGTCTTTCGAGCTGCTCTCCCGCCAAGACCGTGGGGCACTTTATCGAGGACGTTATAGTCCGCGGAGGATCCTGCCCTAGCAAGGAAGGTGTCTTTTTCGTTCGAGGAGAGGGCATGAGTTTGTATCATCATGCTGCTTTCTGCTCATTCCGACCCCCCCGTGCCCGTCGTATCATTACCCCGAAGACCAGATCCATTTCCCCGTCTTGTCTTTGGAGAACAAGCTTAAAGGATGGGAAAAACAACGTTTAATATCGTCCGGCGGCCCACTTCTCCCCCATACGAGGTGCACTTCCCGTGGCGGCAAAGATGGGGTGTATATTATAGCCTCGGTGGAGGAGGCAGGGTGTGCAAGCAAGGGGCTCGTTTCCCGGCTGACGGCGTCCAGGAACAGGAAGGAGTTCATGCCTCTCGGAGATCCCAAAATAGTGCGTGGCGTGTGGACTGGGGGGGGGATCATCATCTTGCAGCTCCTTGATATTGAGTCAATCTGGTCATCGAGACCGCTTGTGGCTATTTTTGGCATTTGGAGGTGTTCATGGGATCCGATAGGGAGGGACGGAATGTACAGAAAGACCATACGCGTATTGATATCTCATGGGATTTCGATCTGACATGACAGGACTTCTTCCGGATTCCAGATCCGGGAGTCAGCCACCTGTGGAGGAGAGAGTGTCCATCTGTGTGGCGCTGTGCAGTAATTACAAGAGTATTCCATGAGGACAATCGACACGGTGCAGGATACAGATTATACCTTCACGGCGTCGGCCGGATTCGATAATGAGCAGCAACAAGAACAGCACATCAGTGTCCTTTTTACGAATTATACCAATGGCAATTCCTATATTAGCTGAGGGACTCTGCTAGCCAAGAATCACTTCTACCAATCCTGGTTTTGTCGGACTTTTTCCATCAGTCACTCCGCTCGCCTTGTAGCATTCCCCATTCTCGGCCGACATCAAAGGCGGTTCCGCCTTGGATATTATTATGCCTTGTTTGGCCCAGTTTGCCCAGATGAAGTTATATGAAACCTGGACCGTTGGAGACTTGGACAAGCGAGCAGGCATGAAGATCCCCTTTTATGTAGTCGCAGGCTAAAAACGGAGGCTCAAATCCATATGCGTGCAAATCATCAACACCCAACGTAGCTACCCCTGTCCCGTTTGATCCGGCCGTTTAGGCCAATCTGCAACTAGGGGTGGGATTCCCGTCCTCATTGGGCCAGCAGGGGCGACCAACATCGGCGGTATACATACACAGTGACATGCTATGGAGGCGATTCCACAATTGACTGAGCGAATGCGCGGGCGGAAGTTATGCGCTCTTTATCGCGAACTGTTGCGTTCAAAGTTGGCAACTTGGAGAGGATCGAACCGCCGTCGTAGGAGGGTGAGACCTAGTCACTGCCCGGAACTTATGCCAGGGGGCACTGATCATCCAATCCGAGGATCAATTGTCACGACGCGCATAACATCTGGAAGATCTATACTCCGAGCATCGGTAGTAACGAGGCACGTGAGGGTACGTTAGGCTGCAAACACGTCATTCACGGTTGCGGAGTCTTTGTCAAAGACACACCCCGGGACAACGCGTGCGCGCACACACACGAGAGAAGGGTCCAGGCTGGCGCGACCAAGATGGACGTAGAAGAGCCACAATCTACCTCGTCCAATGGCCGAGGCCAAAGCCCCCTCGTTGCGAAGCGCGCGGCTTCCCAAGACCCGGGCCCGGCTTCGAAAGCCAAGAGAATCAAGACATCCCATAGCGCCCAAAACAAGTCAGATGTTCAACCTCCGGCCATAACCCGGGTGGCGGTCCCTTTCCCAGAGAAGGTATGCTGCCGCTGTATTCCAGCGGACGAGACCTTATCCTGACTATTTCCCAAGCCTGCAGTTCTAGAAGAACGGAACGGTGAGATCGAGTTCCGGGTGGTCAACAACGATGGCGACAGAGACAGCATGATCATTCTCACGGGCCTGAAATGCCTGTTCCAGAAGCAACTTCCGAAAATGCCCAAGGATTATATCGCGCGTCTTGTGTACGACCGCACTCATCTGTCCATCGCCATCGTCAAGTTGCCCTTGGAGGTCATAGGCGGAATAACATTCCGAGAATTCCGCGCCCGCCAGTTTGCAGAGATTGTCTTTTGCGCCGTCTCGTCCGATCAGCAGGTCAAGGGATATGGAGCCCATCTCATGGCTCATTTGAAAGATTACGTCAAGGCTACTTCGCCAGTTATGCATTTCCTAACGTATGCCGATAACTATGCGACTGGTTACTTCCAAAAACAAGGGTTCGCTAAAGAGATCACCTTGGACAAATCTGCCTGGATGGGATACATCAAGGATTATGAAGGGGGCACCCTTATGCAATGCCCCATGGTCCCCCGGATACGCTACCTCGAGGTTGGACGAATGCTCCTCAAGCAGAAGGAAACCGTGCAAGCCAAGATTCGTATCTTGAGCAAAAGCCACATCGTCCATCAACCGCCGCAGCAATGGGCCAACGGCGATGTCACCGCAATTGATCCGCTGTCTATCCCTGCTATCCGAGCAACCGGTTGGTCTCCAGATATGGATGCATTGGCACGGGAACCTCGCCATGGACCTCATTTCAACGAACTTCGACGCTTCCTCTATCAGATCCAAAACCACAAACAAGCATGGCCTTTCCTCAATCCAGTCAACAGAGACGAAGTCCCTGATTACTACAACGTCATTACATCGCCAATGGATTTGTCAACAATCGAAGAGAAGTTGGAAAAGGATCAGTATTCCGCTCCTAGGGACCTGGTCGCCGACCTCGAGCTGATCTTCAGCAATTGCAAGAAGTACAATGACGCCACGACAGTATACACCAAGTGTGCTGTCAAGCTGGAGAAGCACATGTGGAGTCTCATCAAGGATATCCCGGAATGGTTTGATTTGCTCGAGGACTGACTGGTACGAATTGAAATCTACACTACAATACGTCTACGTGACCATGAACGGATGCGGTCGCCCCAGTACCAGAAGCACACCGGCACAGGCACCAGGCAGACACTGATGGCGCCCAGGGCGGTGGTCGCGTACGCGACGCCGAGCTCGCGGAACATCTGGGACGCGAAGAGCGGGAAGGCGGCGGCGAAGCTGCAGCGCACCGAGCCGTTGATGCCCATGGCGCCGTTGGCCATGGAGGTGTAGCAGTCGACGATGTAGTTGAAGCCCTGGATGAAGACGAGGTACATGCCGCAGCCGATGAGGGGGCTGGCGCAGGCGGTGCTGGCCCACGAGATCTCGGGGCTCGACGTCCAGGCGTACCAGAACAGGCCGACGGGTATGAGCACGCCGCCGAGGATCATGGGGGGCAGTCGCGCCTCGGGGATGTACGCCCCGTCGGCGACCTCCGCAGCGACGTGGTGTAGGTGCCTAAAGTAGAGCTGGTTGTAGAGAATGATCCCGGCGGTGCCGACGAGCACGCCGGCGTTGATGCCGAGGAGCGGCAGGGCGCTCAGCTGCTGCGGCCAGCCTCTGATGGTCCCGAACAGGTAGGGGTAGGACTGGTAGAAGAGGAACAGCACGCCGTGCAGGAAGGCTTGGTACAGAGTCAGGAGGGCGAGGATCGGCTGCGTAGCGAGGAGCCCTGCGGGGGAGTTGGTTAGTTCCTTACTTAGTCTATACCCACTTCGTAACGAATTACGGAGGAGATGGAAGACTTACAAAAAGGCCGGATCAAGTAAACGCGAGCGATGTGCTCGAGTGTGAACCCTTCCTTGTCCAGGGCTGATCTGACCTCGAGGACCCCGCTGTTCATCTGCAGGCGCGCCGCTTCGCTGCGGAGGATCGCTGGCGGGTACGTCTCTGGGAGCGCAACGCAGGACGCCGCGCTCAGGACGAACCCGGCGATGGCGACGGCGCCCGAGGTCCATCTCCAGCTCGGCGACAGCGCGACGACGGCGCTTCCGACCACAGCGCCGAAAGTCGGGCCCAGGAAGACGACGGCGACCACGACCGGCATCGCCACGCCGCGGTGAGACAGCGTGAAGCAGTCGCTGGCGACGCCGCCCATCACGGCCATGCACGCCACGCCGAAGAAGCCGGCGAGGAACCGGCCGGCGAGGATGGTGGCCGTGTCTCGGCCGAGCGCCGGCATGGCGCTGAAGGCGGAGGAGGCGCCCATGCCCGTTATCAGGGGCCACTTTCGGCCAAACTTCTCCGAGAGGGGGCCGAATACGAGAAATCCCGCGATGTAGCCCTGCGGGAAATTGTAGGTGAGTTTCAGTAAGAGTATATAGGATGCTAAAAGGAAGACACCTACGACCATGAACAAGCTCGTGTTGAGAACAGCCACCTCGTCAGCAACTTGAAACTCTGCGGTGATCATCCTCTGAGCAGGCCCCATGATGCTGGTGGTTATAGTGCCCACCAGGATGAAGAGCCCCAAGACAACCTGGACGTAGACTTTTTTGGCCAGCGGCCAGTTGAGCGGCAAGCGAGGGTCGTGAGGGTAATTGAAGTCAACAAACACGGGTTGACGCTCGATATCTGCGACTTCATCCCCCCCAACGCCCCCGTCTAGTGGGATTATCTGCATGCTGAGGATACATGGAGCTCCGCAAGTGGTTCTCAAAGACTTGTCAGTTCAGGCAAGGGATGTCGTACGTCCCGTCTCTGAAATCGAGTGGAAAGTACAAAGAGAACGCTGCTTCGTCTACACCCTTGAATACCAACGTTTTGGTTGTCATGACGCGCGCGGGGTATGTCTGTATGAGTAGGTATCAATTGATGTAATCGTTTTCCGGCAGAAGTGGGCCGCAGGGAGATCATAACAGTCCCCGATCTCCCCGACCTGCTCTCCAGAGCTGCACCGTCAACATAGACATCATTATCGCCGCCACCGGAAAACCCATGACAGATTGTACATTACCCCCTCTAAGGATCGCCGCCTAGGAGAGGTTGCAATGTGGTTCGCGGGAATTCAACATCGCGGCCCGAGGTCGCATGAGCCCTGCATCGAGTCCCACACCGGTGTGAGCAGAGAGCCAACCAGCCATCCATGGATAATTGCCAGCTGTGCGTCTTCGACCTCTGATTAGCCCCGAGACTGTCACTGAAGGGTCTCAGAAGTCGGTGAGAACTGACAGAATGAGTGCGACTGCATAGAGCGATCGCACTGGCAGGCCTGCCACTGGCTGCTACCTGTTGGCGGAGCCAGAGACAGCGCTGTGATCGACAATAGCCGTTGGTGGGCTCTTCTAGACCTGAGTCGATGCTGGGCAGCCATGTATGATTACCACGTTTGTGACTTATCAGCTCATGAGGTATCACACATTGACAAAGTTTCCATGACCCCAGTATCTCCCATTGCGGTCGACGATATGGCAGCGCAAAGTGAGGACCCCTTAACTCTTTATCGACCAAGTACGACCGAGCTCACTTGATACCAACGTCATTACCTGTAAGCCTGATACTCTCGAGTGGTCGCTTTCGCGAATCAATAACAGCCATCTACGAAATGAAGTGATGTATGTCCTGGCGGCGCTCAGTACTTGCGCCCCCCCCAATGCTAACTCACTCTGCTTACCAAGTCCATCAATGTCTAGGACCAGACAGTACCTATCTCTTCACTCGCCCTCGCCCAATTGACCGGGTCTTCGACAATCCTCCAAGGCCTCGCGCTGCGAATCGATGCCGGCCTCTTCGATAGCTTGCCGCTGCGAGCACACCGAGCCTGTCGTGTAACACAGTGCATGACCGGCACACGGTCGGAGCTTTACGCATCCGAGTGCACTGAACGCCATTGAGCTGAATGTCACTGGTGCAGCTCGTATGACCTGCCCTCCGAGCGCTGTGTCACCCGCGCGGGCGTCGTAGAAAACCCCTCTCGCATCCCCGTCCTCTCGTCTTCTGCGAAATCATTCCTCGACTCTGCAGGACGCAGTGGTTCTTTGCGCCACTGCTTGACTGCCTAGGTTAGTCACCAAGCATCGCCACTCTCAAGCTTCCGTTCGGGACGTTCATCTCCCACTTGGATTATCATGGCTAGCAGATTACACCAGCGAGCCAGTTGGCTGGGACGACGTTGGGCTAGCCAATTGGCAGCGAAGCCGCCGCCGCTCACTCCCCGCGTCTTCCCGACCTCGGGCTTTCTCGAGATTGACGCGTCCACGAAGATGGAAGAAGAACGGATGAAGTCGTATAAGGCCGAACACTTCTACCCAGTCCGTCTCGGAGAGGTGTTCCAGTCCCAGTATCAGGTCGTCGCCAAACTCGGGTTTGGCCAGACCTCCACCACTTGGCTTGGCCATGATCTCCAGTATGTTGTTCCCTGCGCTCTTGAGCGAGGCTTTGTACGAGTTCTAAACGAATGGCTTTCTGGGGAGTAACCGCAAATATGTCTATATCAAGGTCTTTACCAATGCCGTCCAGAAGAACCGTGAACCTGCTGTCTACGAGCACATGAAGAAGCACGCGCCTGAACTGGCTCCACTTCATATCCGCCCCCTCGAGGATTCCTTCAAGGTCCAGGGACCGCATGGCAGCCATGAAATTCTCGTACAGGTGCCTGTTGCGAAATCCCTGGTTGCAAGCCAAAGCACTGCAGACGCCTTCGTTCTCTCGCCCTCCATTGTGAAATCATCTCTGAAGCAGGTCGTCAGCGCTTTAGACTTCCTTCACTCGGACGCTCATGTCATCCACACTGGCAAGTTATCCCCTCCACTCTCACGTCTGGCCCCCTGGCAACCCGAGCCAAGCCACAATATGAGATTCGCTAGGTTCTAACTGTGCTCAAGAATTCCATGCTGGGAACTTGTTCTCCAGCTTCAAAGATCTGAATGAATGCCTCCCGTCACTGGAAAGCGCAGAGCTCACGTGCCCCAGACCTCGCAAGGTGTTGGAGGATAGGACGATATACGGATCTCGAGGTGTGTTCGCCACCGTAGGTCCCATGTACCTCTGCAACTTCGGCCAGGCTCGGATCGGGGACCAGGCAACAGGCAACGCTATGGCCACCTCGTACAGGGCTCCGGAGATCATCCTGGGCATGAAATGGAGTTATCCCGTGGACATGTGGAGCGTAGGGCTGTCGGTAAGCGAGCTATTATCCTTTTTCCGCACTATCTCCCTCACTCCATAATACTTGACCATTTATCTGAACCCGCCAGGCCTGGGACATGCTTCACGCGCAAACGCTCTTCGCTGTCTACCATAGCGTCGATCAGAAGTTGAACGACGCACGCCACTTGGCCTACATGATTGCCTTGTTCGGCCCGCCGCCACTGGACTATCTGAAGCGGAGCGACAAGTACCTGGACTTTTGGGACGAACATGGTAAGTCATCCAACCGCATTTGATATAATCCACCAACTGGCAAAGGGCTAAGTTCATTGTTCACCCAGGTGACTGGAGAGGGATCGTTCCCATACCCCATCGCAGCACATTTGAGAACCTAGAACGCCAGATGGAGGGCGAGGAACAGACGAGATTCCTGGATTTCATGCGGTCTTTGCTGGGCTGGGAGCCGGAGAAGCGGCTCACGGCTAAGCAGGCCTTGTCACACCCGTGGCTGCTGAACGATACATACATGTAGATTTGCTCCTTACAATCTCTTTCCTTACCAACCCGTTTGGCATCTTTTCAACGCGAGGAGACTTGCGTTGAGACTTGTCTCTTTCGTTCTTCGTGGGAGTATCGAGTATCGAACCTGAGGCTTGGGGTGGAATGAAGCCCAAGGTTTTGACGGATATGTTGGAGATTGTACAGAGCACACTTGAACAGCGCGGGAAGAATGCTCGACCGGGACTTTTCAAACTGGGATTCTGGGCTGATGCGGAGTTTTTTTTTAACTTTCGGGACGTTTCAACTAGCTATCCCCAAGTCGTTTTCATGATTCATGATGAATATACATGTGTCTGATGTTTCCGACTCGAACATGTTTCTACAATCTTCTCGATGTCAAACTTGGTGACCAAGAGCCCAACCATGACAGCATCTCGAGCGATGTCGGAAGTTCCAACAGCAAAGAGGAATGCTGGATCAAAAACCCCTGATCTCTTCATCTCTATACACCTCACCAGCGTTCCTATGTGCCAAGCCACGAGGGGCCTTGGTATCCAGTGGCTTCACCTCTCATCCTTCCGGTACTACATCACCATCGCTTCATTCTTCAAGCTCCCGGGGAAGCTTGTCATCAGGCCAATTCCGACTTGGTAGTAGGTATCAATTCATCTCTTCTCGAGAGCGATGTTACGATCAAATACAAAGATGCTACAGACGTCCGTCCCCTCGAGCCAATTGTGCATGTGCCTTGCGTGGAAGACGCTCATTCCTTCTTGGCAAGTGCCGCCATAATGCGGACCTCTATCTCCCACACGCGTCCCAATGCCTCCTTCCTGGGTTGCCGTGCCTCCTCCGCCGCCTCATGGAAGATTCGCAATCTCTCCTGCCGCTCCGCCTCCCCGAGGTCTGCATACTGCTTCCGCAGCCACTTCTCTGCCTCCTGCTCAGTCCCCTGCTGCGCCATCTCCCGCGCCTCCTTCGACAACTCCTTCCGCCTCTCCATGTTGCGCTTCCGCAACTCATCACACGCCTTAGCGGCGCGCTGACGCGCCTCCCTATATAGCGGCGCGGAGTGTTGGTATGCCTCTGTGTACACCTCCACCCTGCGTCTCACTAGCAGGCGTTTGATCCAGAATTTAGTAGCCATGGCGACGAGGGTGTCGCCAGTCAATTCCAAGTCGTGCTCTCTCGGGCCCTCCGCATCCCGCAGGAAGACATCCTTGAAGGCGATGCGCAGGGGGACTTGACCAGAGCATTCCCAGAGAGAAGGGTTGAGGCCCGTATCGTCCAGGGTCGGACAGTCCTCGGGCTTGACAAGCTGGATCTTGGCCTCCTGCGGGTGCTGGACTCCGTGCGACCAGACCTCGAGCTGGATGGTCCCCAAGGGGCATTTGTCGTCCATCTTGATCAGAATGAGAGTGCGAACATCGCCTCGCTCCTGGCCTGGGGCGGAGTGATCGAACCACTAGTTCTTCGCCTCACGCATCCTCTCCGGGAACTGGCTGCCACCAGCTTCGACGACAAGGGTTGGAAAGCTGTTGCTGCTGGCGCGAACTTTGGTAGGGACTAGCGCGTCATCAGGCTGTTTGACAGCGCTGCCGTTGCCATGAAATCGGTCATTCAAGGTGCGCTTGATCTCTCCGTCTAAGCCCATGCCGACAAGCCCATCCCAGAGCTCGTCCATGATAGCTCTGGTGGCCATCCTGTGAACCGGTCCAGCCATCTTGATAAAGAGTCTACCGCCACTCTCTTCTCCGAAATATGTCGCATGATCACGGACACCGCATTGTTGAGGATAGAAGCGCTCGACGACGTCTTGGGAGAGACCAGAAAATTCAAGGTAGGCACCACCTTCGTCGATAATCTCCTCTTGTTGACAGAAGACATGGTGTATGAGCTCGTCTACGGCTTGGGCCTTGGGAAGCTGCGATAGGTCCAGGACTGAGTACCAAGTTAGCGGGTCAGATCATGCTTCACGGCACGGTCAAATCTGGCCTCACCTTGGGAAGGGGATATCAATGGGAATACTGGTTCCGAGTTACCGTCGGAGTCCCACTGTTGGTCATCGTTGCTGTCAGCCATGGCGCAGTGCGGTGTGCAGAACGCGAAGTGCCGCTGGTCGAGGATGAGGCTGAGGATGGTGATTATGAGGAAGAGGAGGTGGAGGATGGACTAGGAGGAGGAGGAGGGGATTCTTAAATCAATCTTAGGGAGGGAAAGGTGATCCGTGCGGGATCGGGTAAATATCGGCTCTTCCTCAATGAGGTTGTGTGAATTTTTATTGTTCTGGTGTGCAGTCGAGTGTGTAGAGTAGTGAATGGTCAAAGGCGGCCAAAAGAAGGAGCCTTGGTGGGAGTCCTAGGCCGCCAGAGTTCACCAGACTTGCCATCCAATACGCTTACAATGAATGGCCTTTGATACAAACACCATGTCCGTCTATTCACCATCATGATAGTCTTGAAGTTGAGAAAGAGCACACCGCATCACCAGATAGAGCGATTGTATGGTATTCAATGAAGTCTTTCAACGTAGCTACAAATCCAGCAACAAGAATACTATTAACAACCTCTAACAACTTTTTATACCGAGTACGTTCAAATTCTCCAGCCACTTCAACGCTGCTTCACTCAATCTAGTCCACAGTTGCTCAGAACCCTAATCATCGGCCCTATGCAACTAGGAGGCTGCTCGAGCTTCAGCATTGAAAAAGATTGAGAATCAGACAATCATACTGACCACAAGGTATGAATTGATAAAGTATTCAGAGAGACGGGACTGAAAGATCACGAACAACATCTTCGGCACTGTTGTAAAGTTCGTTCCAGCAACCGTGAATGACGTTTCCAAGGAGAACCCCTTCGAGCGGCGGGAACTTCTCGTCTGAGAGAAAATTGTCCACATCGTCCTCGCTCGAGCCGGGAAAAAGGCGAGCCCAGGCAATGATCTCGTACAGGCCAGTGCCGAGAGCGAATAGCTCCCTTTTGATTCGTGGCCTAGCCTGGAAGTCCCTTCCTCGGCACGGTAATTCATACTCAGGCTCTTCACAAACTGAAGCGCGGAAGTTCTGGCCTTGCACCAAAGATCCGCCAAAATCACCGATCTTGACTCGAAAATCACTAAACAAGAAGAAGTTGCGGCAGCTGATATCGGAGTGCCAAACACCACAGGAGTGGATATATGCGATACCGGTAGCAACATCCAATGCCATTTGCGACCGGGTCTGTAGAGGGGGAGGGTTGTCTGGGTTCGTCTCGATATACCCTCTGACGCTTGCAAGTGATGCTAACTCGAGACGGAGAGAGAAGATGCCGGTGTGGACTTCCTCGAGGCCGAAGCATTTGAGAATCTGGGGGTGTTCGCCGAGCAACTCGTAGATTTGATTTTCTCGTGACAGCTCTTCCTCGGAAGACTCTTCGAACTTTGCCCTTATCTTGCCGCCCTCCCAGACCTGATACCCCTTCAGAACTGTTTCTCCATCAGTGCAGGTCACAAAGGCTGACCCGCCCATTCCTTTGATAGACCACCACATTTCTAGGCGCGCGGCGGCGGTGTTGTGATGCCCGTTGGCTTGGTGGACGGGATAGTGCAATGTTCTCCAGTGGAGTGTCAGTGCAGGGGAGGAGCGGGAAGATCAAATCTGATAGGATTGGTCACGGGACCTGATAACTACATCCTTTGAACATCATGATCCCTATGAGTAAATCAAGGATGGAAAACTTCCCGAGCCTCGGTTTGGGGTGAAATGTATGGGGTGGACTTTCACACCATCGACATGTCATTTCTACGGTTGAGATTGTCTTGTGGCAGCTCAAACGCGCGCACAGCCCACAGTATTCTGCGGCTGCTGCCACTGGCCGGACGACCAGACCTCAACCGCCTTTCGCTCGTTTCTGGCGCCAGCTCTTATCAGCGCAAACATGCGCCATATCAAAACAGAATCTTCTGTTTCGGAGATCCTGTTTCGGGGAAACCCTCGCGGAACCACCTCTGTGACGTCCGGGGCCCGGTCCTAGCCCCTACCGAGGACATCCACTGCGATTCATACATAAATAGGATGGCTCTTGTCTCTACCTTCTCGCCTCTCAACCGTGGGTTTTCTCTTTCCAATAATTTTCCCCAAATCCACCTTTTATAGACATCTCAACATGACCAGCCCAAACGACGAGTACGGATCAGACGCCACCCTCGGGAAGGCCCCCTGGCGCAGCAGGAGTCGGGGCAGGGGTCGTATCCCAGACTTCGCGGGTGATACACAGACGACATCGACCCGACAGGGCCAAGAGGCCGTAGCAGCAGCGGCGGCCTCCATGGGAGATCCACCACGAGAGTCTCGGTCCGCTTCGACCACGACCTCCACTCGGGTCCCGACTCCGGACTCGACATCAGCCTCTCCCTCGACTCCAAACCCGAGGATGGCCGCAGCCCGCATGGATTTCGCGCTTCGAGCAGAAGACCGCCGTGCCGCCGAAGATGCCTACAACCGCTTCCTGATATACTTCGTCGCACCGACCTTTTTGATGTCCATGCTCCTCTCCGCGCCCGTCGTCATGGTTGGCGTGTGGTTGCTTATCCCGGTTTTGGCGGCCGCCGCCCTCCTCAGCCTGGCCGCCTGGCTGAAGGTTGCCGCCGACAGCAACGCCAGAAAATGGCGAAGACATTGGCGGAGAGATAGAGATGAGGAAGATCCACCGGCCAACTGTAACATGGCGAGGACTGTGGTCAATGGTGATGGTGAATCGCCCATGGTTATTAACGGTCAGGGTGCAAGACCCATGGATAAGGGCAAAGGGAAAATGCCCATGGTCAACGGCAATGGCTCACATGAGCGTATCTCTTGAATGAGTAAGTGTGTATGTATCCTACCGTGGAACGATGGTTCATTGGCACTAACACGCACTTAGTAGCCTCGCACTGCACTTGGCCAGACACTGGTGCTTATGATGGCACTTGCGTCTTGCAATGTCAGATGATGGAATCAACCAGGATGATCTGTGTCGGTTTCAACGCTCTATACTTGCAGTTGCTCTTGGGTTTTCGTTTCTGCTATACTCCGTTCCCAACACTCGGAGCTGTTATACCTGTGTTTCGTTAAAGTCGAAGGTCCGGGTTGGACTTTGAGCAGAACATCATGATGAGAGTTCAATGCGATTAAGTGGCAATTACTTTCAAGTGACATTGCTGTCCAGCAAACAACTAATGACAAAATTGCAACTCCAGTTGAAGTTGAAGTGAATGTTAGTTGGTTTTCTCTGACAGTAGGTATGGCGGCCCCACTGCGCCATTTCCGCTAGTTTCTTTGCGATATTTGATGAAATTTGTTGATACTATGACTCGGAAGTCTACAGAAACTCTAATTCAGCAATATTGCCCAAAGCCTCACTTTGATATCGCATGCTTCAGAAGATACAATTAAAAGACAGGGCAGACGGAAATCTTGCAGCGGGTATCTGGCAATCAAAATCTCCGCCAACGAAACATGGCGGCCAACGGTACAGCTGACCATGCCGCTGAAACCCTGGCATCTTACCTGAAGCAACTCCTCCCTTCAGAATCTCGTTCTCAGCTGCGAGACACTGTCCTGCCAAAACTACTACACACCATCTCCCTGGTCGCCAGAGCCCTGCGGGAGTCCCAGCACATCGCCCTCGCCGGCACCGCCAACGCCTTCGGAGACGACCAGCTCAACGTCGACGTCATAGCGGAGGACCTCATCCGGGCCGCGCTGGCAGAGTGCCCGGCCGTGGTGGCGGCGAGCAGCGAAGAAGACCCCGTCGAGCGGCACCAGCACCTCGGACGCGAGCAGATATCGGAGGAGCAGTACACCGTCGCCTTCGACCCGCTGGACGGCAGCTCCATCATCGCGCCGAACTGGACCGTCGGGACCATCATCGGCATCTGGGACGGAGCGACGGCGCTGAACCAGGACCCGCGGGAGAAGCAGATCGGCGCCATCCTGGGCGTGCTCGGCCCGCGCGCCACCGCCATCATCGCGCTGCGGGTCCCCGGCTCGGAGCCCGCCTGCTTCGAGGTCGGGTTCCGCGATGACCAAGCCTCCACCGAGATCACCATCACCCGGCCGGCCGTGCGCCTCGCGCCGCCGCCCTTCAAGACGCGCTACTTCGCGCCGGCGAACCTGCGCGCGGCGGCCGAGGACGAGCGGTACATGGCGCTCGTCGCGCGCTTCGTGAAGGACAAGTACACGCTGCGCTACTCGGGCGGCCTGGTTCCGGACGTCGCGCACGCGCTGTCCAAGGGCCACGGCGTGTACGTCTCGCCCGTGACGGGCGGGAGCGGCGCCAAGCTGCGCCGGCTGTACGAGCTGTGCCCCGTGGCGCTGGTCGCCGAGTGCGCCGGCGGCCGGGCGGTCGACCCCGCGGGCGGGAGGGACGTCCTGGCCGTGCCGGTCCGGGACTGCGACGAGCGAGGAGGGCTTGTGTGCGGGACCGGGGAGGATGTCGAGATGGTCGCTGCTGCGTTGGGGGCGTAGAGGGTGGCTTTGTTGTTGTGAAGCTTGGTGGACTTTAGACTATAGAAACAAGAAGTTCATAGATTTTAGATGAGACACGGATTCCTTGTTTCGCGAATATCATATATTAGAGAACAGCTTAGACATATTGACAGTTATGAGATATTCAAGCCCACTGGACGTTTCCAAGAGTTTGAAGGCTTGCGTATCAATGCATCGAAATTGTTAAGGCAGACCTGCCATCGAGTAACCTTTTGAGCATTCTTGCTCTGAGTCTGATTTGGTGAGAACTCAAACACCAGGTCCATGAATTACTTATATAGTGAAGGGACCAGAACAAGGTCACCGGCAAGACGACACTGTGTTATTTGAAGAGACTTGTGTTTGTGCGTGGGAATTGAAAAAGTCGAGAATCTCGAATGAATCGTCAGGCTCGCTGTTGATAGCAACAGAAGGGCCCAGGCGGGAGTAGAATGGCCGCTCAAAATGTGCTGGATAGAACCCTGCGTATTCCCAGTCTATGATGGCATTAATCCGGAGTGTGTTGGGATCAACGATAATGTGTTGTTGGGACAGATCGTTATGACAGAAGACGAATTCATCTTCATCGGAAGGCCGTAGTGACCAGATATCTCTCTCTGTATGACGCATAACCCGGTAGGGTGGAATCACAATGCCTGACGGGCCCCCGATCTTTTTAGATTTCAACTTCTGGAGCGTTTCAAGGTGGCGCTGGAGCTCCTTGCTCACAAGGACCTTTTGGTCATCTGTAAGGTCGGCCATTTGAACACCCTCCACGTATTCTGTGATGAGGTAGTATGCCTCATCATCTTCAAAGTCGCAATAAACTTGTGGAACTGGGATGTTGGTATGGAGCCTAACAAATCTCATCGAGGCCGCTTCATTCTTGATCCTCTCGTTGTTGAGGCGAGGGACATGAAGGCCACGATGTCCTGTACGGAACTCGTTGGGCCGCAAGCTTCTCTTGATGAATGTGCCCTCGCGATGGTAGTATTTTCGTTCAAACGTGACGGCAAAGCATCCTTCGTCCTGTTTCTCCTGATTTGTCGACATACTGAACGGAGCCTGGTGCTTTGTCAAGAAAGATTTGGACAATGACAAGGTCTTCTGGGTTGTAGAGTGGGTAGGCTCGCCGGGCTTGCTAATTGTGTGATAACTCAGCAGAGCCAACAGGGATCAGCTGTGCTGTACAGCGACAACAAAACGATGACAACAGGCAGATGCATCATGAAAGCTGGCTCATGCGCAGCAAGGAGCGGACGAGGAAGGGACTTCCACACTCTGATAAAGCTCTCTGCATCTAGCATTTGAGCCCGCAATTGCGCGCACACCTGTTTCCGCCTTCATTTTCCTTCATCTACATCCTCCCGAGATCCTCTCCACAATGCCAATGGTCACCGCCGACAAGGATCTGCCCAAGTTGCTCGATACGCCGGCGAAGCAGGCCAAATGGGCAAAGAAGCTGGTCGCCGAGCATCTAGGCAGTACCGCGAACCGCATCGACAAGCCTCCAATGCAGGGAATGTTTAGTAGGACCCTGTTCGCTACCCTCGCTGACGGCCGTGAGGTGGTCGTGCAATTCCGTACTGAACCGCTTGACGTCGACGCGTTCAAGACCGCCAAGGGCGCCCTGAGCTCATTCGTCCCAGATTGTGAAGCTCTCGGTAATGAAGAGTTGGAGAACGCAGGCGCCTGGGCTTACTCCCTCGCCCGCATGCCAGGCAAGATGTGGCTGCATGGAGTCGCTGGCAAGGGAGCCGAAGGGCGTATTGCCATCAACAAGTCACTGGGCCGTGTCTTTTCGAAGGGTTATCTCGCCGATGTTAGCCACGAAGCTGTTGATACCAAGCTTCGACCGCACCTAGACGCCATCTTGGCGTCGCCGTTGGAAGAAATCCTCCCCTATAAAGCAACTGCCGGGAGCTTCGCCAGAAGGCTTGACGAGTTTGCCCTCCTCCCGCTGTGGGTTGCCCATTACGATCTCAACAGTGTGAACTTACTCATCGACGAGAAATGCGACGTTACCGCCTTGATCGACTGGGAACTGTCTACCCCGCTGCCGTTCGGGGCCGGATTCGGCCGTATCCACACCCTTGCCGGCGAATTTACCGGAGGCGAGTTCTGGATGCCGGATGAGTTTGAGGTTGCGGAAAGGGGATTCTGGACGGAACTGTTCGACGGAATGCCGGAACGTATTCGAGAGATGTTGGAGAAGCGCCTTGACCTGGTCCAGGATGTTGTCATCCTTGCGACCTTACTGAGTTGTTTCTTCTTTGAGGATGGGAAGATTGGCGTTGGCCAGGTTACTTTGAAAGCACTTCCCAAGTTTATGACCTATCGAATTCCTTTCGTTCGAGGGCAAGAGCAGCCGTATAGAGAATGATATATGATGTCTGGGATAGAATATAAAAGGGGCATGGAGAAATAGCTGAGAATCTTGGATCTGAGGGCGAGGAGAATTAAAACACCCAAGACACATTGGGACACACCTGCTCATTTCACACACACACACATAAAAGATTGCAGTGACGTGTGCAGTGTTTGAGCCACTCCTTCCAGATTGCTTCTGGCTCCGACTGATAAAGAACTGAACCTCGAATTACTTGAACTCTGCCTAAGGCAATCCCATCTCTCTAAGCATGTTGATGGGCGGAGCATTCTGAATCTTGAGGGGCTTTTCGTGTCCTCTTGGGGGCGTTTCTTTCGCCTACAACCTCCGTCCTGTAAGGGGTAGGTGCCACCTGTAGGCCGATGGACATAAAAAGGGCCAAAGTCTTAGCTTGATTGTCTTCTCCAACTACACATCAATCAAGCATCACGACCAGTCTCTCTTTTCAGTACTTACATACATGTCTCAGCGCATACTTCCACCAAACTCTGGCAACATCCGCGATAGGCGCCTTCAACGGACGACAGCCCTGCAACTCCAGCGGCGTCGCCTTCAGAGCAGCCACTGATTTTCGAATATGCCTGCTACCATTACGTTGTCCGACGGTGATTCGATCACTTACAAGGATGCAGAAAACCGAGATGACAACATCGTCCTTCACGCCGCCTCCTCAGTTGCCTTGCAAGATTTTATGTGGAGGCAGAAACATGTAATTGAAGCTCTCGCCCGACACCACCTGAAGCTCGGCGATCGAGATAGCTGCGTTGCCGCCGGTCCGCAGCAATGGATTCGAGGCGCCATCAATGTGTGCGTGCCCGTCGAGGTCAAGTCTGCCAACCAAGCCGCCAAACTCTTCATTTTCCGCTGCCCCATGCCACATGAGCTGGCCGAGGCCCGGGACCCTGGCACTTTCGACGAGAAGACGGCTTGTGAGGTGGGAACCCACGTGTGGATGCAAGAGCAATGCCCGTTGGTTCGCATCCCCCGCCTGTATGGCTTTGGCTTCTCTGACGGCCGCTGCGTACGTCTCCCCCCCCCCCCGGAGGGTCCCTCAACGCCGTCTGTCTCCTGCTGACCTTGGTCTTTCGGCGCTCAGTTTACACATGAAGAACAGCGACCCTTCTACGTTCGGGTCGCACGTATTCTCCAACGCTCCCTCCACCGATGTCTTCGATACACCACTGTCCTGCCGCGCTACGTTTCAAATCCGTCGGGCCATCGGCTCCCAACAGCTTATATGCTGCTCGAGTATAAGTGGGAAGAGATACTCGCCAACACATGGGCCACGCAGGGGAATCCGCCCAATTGGCTCGTTCCGATTCAACGATGACTGCACAATATCTCTGTCGAATCGGCCGCTTACTTGCTCTTTTATGCTATGGGAGAATAGCAATATGCTAAGAACAATACAAAGGGATAGCACGTATCCTTGTGCTCAGCCTTATGTAATGGACCTCATCACCTGCCAGGACAACGCATTCAGCAGCATTCGATGACGAGGATTGCCGTGGGCATATGGCTGCGAGAAGCCTGGCTTGTTTGCTATCGCATCGTGTCACTAAACAAGAACATCGTTACAGACCATTCTCACTCGAACTTACCGACGTAAACCGATCCAATATCTTCGTGGACCGTCGTTGGAATGTTACGTGTCTAATCGATCTGGAATGGATCTGCGCTCTGCCTGTGGAGGCACTTGCGGTCCCATATTGGCTTACAGGACATGCCGTTAACAAGATCAGTGAACCAGAGTTCGATAGCGTTCAGCGGAGTTTCATACAAGCAGTGGAGGAAGAGGAGCGCAAGAGGACTCCGGTGGGTGGCGGCTTACCCCTAGCGAGCGCGATGGAGGAGAACTGGCATTCGGGAGCGAGCTGGCTATGGACGGCAGTACATTCTAGTGCCATGTACTCACTAGTCTGGAAGCATATCTATCCTCGATTCCCCGTTGTGGTCGACAGAGTCCAAGCGGAAGCGATATTGTCCGGGTTCTGGCGTGAAGATTCTGCCCAGGTTGTCCAAAAGAAGGCCAATGAGTTCAAGGAGTACAAGTATCGGGTGGCGTCCTTGTTCACTTCGAATCCTGGTTCCGCCCCTCCCGCATCTTCCTCTCCTGCTCCTGGACCGCGCGCTTCATCTCTGCAAGCTCCCTCTTCTCACATGAAGCTTGGAAAGCCTTGAGTTGATCGAATAATTTGTGTTGGGCTGCAACTGGCAGACCGTCGAAGATGCTGCGACGGCTTGTAGCTTGAAGGATGACGGTGAAGCGAACGGCAGGACCCCGCTTCACATGTTGCAGCCCAGCCTCCTGTCTGGAATCCTTCGGGTTCTTGACGTGTTGCAGCCCAATATCTTGCCTTATTGACTAGCTGTGCTTAGCATCCTGATCTTCCTCGTCTTAGTAGACTGCAAAACTCCCACATCACAGGTGAGCAATTATCAATGACGACACTGAGCTTCACTAATCCCATGTCCATATTAGCCTACAGCATTCAACATTTATTCCGAAGCCTCAGGCCCGGTAATCTACAAATGTGGCCTTCGAGCAACCAAGAACTATGGCGTCGTGAACTGTGTGGATGCTACGAATAGTGGTGTGCAATACACTAGTGACAAGCTGAAGAAGAGTGCGATGGCTTCAACCAGAATGCAGGGTGATTGTCCAGTTGTAAAGAAGGATACTCGCGGACATGAGGTCAGGCCATTGCTGTGAAGGAACTCAAACCACTGCCATGCGCTAGAGGGAAAGTCTAAAGAACAGCAGAGCTGGATGTTTGTTCCTAGATGGCGGTGCGCCTCATTATCTCTTCTATGGAGTTATATACAGCGGTAGCAGCAGCATATTGTTGAGTCCAGCACTTGTTGATGATGTCTCCACAGACAACCCCTTCGACCCCAGGGAAATCACCATGGATATATCTAGCCTCGACCTCTTCTTCGTCAAGATCCTCATAAGGCTGCTGTGTGGTCATGATCTCGTATATAGTTGACCCCAGCGCAAATAGGTCGGTCAATACACTACTCTGGTCCTCCTGCCGGTTCCGGGGGAGGAAGAAACGTGCGTTCTCGACGACCAAAGCCGGTTGATCATCGATGGACGAGCCGGAGAAGTCGATCAGCCGGAGCCGTAGGTGCTCGTCCACAAGGAAATTAGACGGCTTGATATCACTATGGATGATGTCGCAGGCATGGACAAGCCCTACGGCCTCTGCCGCATCTAGAGCCCATTGCAATTGTAGCCGGCGGGAGGGCGAGGGCTGCATGTCAAGGAAGGTCCTTAGATCACGCTTCGGAAGGTACTCGAAGATGATATGATGGTCACTCTCCTCTGGAGAGTAACCGACCATTTGAATAAAGCGGCTATGCTTCTTTGGGAGTCGTTGATATATAGCAATCTCTCTTTTGATGTGCTCATGCATCCACTGCCTGTCATGGTCATTTGCTGAAGGATGTGGTGACTTCTTGACCTTGTCGCGGGAAGAGAGCAGTTCGATCCTGCCAGTAATGCCAATTCCAACAACGATTACTGCAGCCGGTTTGGATTGAGGTGTCGTATGGCCCGAGGTGTGGGCCATGCTTGACCCAGACCAAGGAGCTGTGGTGATAAACTGCAGTCGTATGTGAGGGAGCTCTCGGATCCGGGATGGGATAAACACAAGGTACAAACAGGGTGCGGGGTTTTGCGTGCCCATCTGGGTACGTCCCGTGTGCCACTTTGCTAGGTGTTTTGCGTTCTGAGACACTGAACCCCCTGACAAAGGCCTAGTTCTGTGAATGCATAGGTTAGGTATATACGTATGATTTCAGCCTTGCTATGCGCGGCGCTTCGGAATAGAGCTACCAACTGAGATATCCGAGGCTATCCTTCGCTTTGACAGTGACCCAGTAACATTGTTCCCTGGGTCCGAAGGCCTTGCCCATCTACAAGAGCATTGATGGACGAATGTGAACCAATAATTAGAACTTTTGGCCACTAGTTCTGGACGAAATGGTGCGCAAGACAAACGTCACGGCCACCCGAGCAGTTGATGGACTCACCCCCAAGGGAAGCTTCCTCAACGACGTCTTCCCAGGACAAGGCAACAAGCCAGACCTATCTAGAGAGCGAATCTGTGGCTCACAGGTCACACTTCACATACCACAAGAACGAAAATTGAGATGGCACAAGTTTGGTTCGAGAGGAGAAACTGGAATCTACCTGAGTATGGAAGGTTCGCAGATTTACACCTGCTGGGTGCCTTCTCGCGGGAACAGTCATCAGACTGTCCGCTCTGCAAACGTAACAATCTACAAAAGGGTCGGAGAGAAAGATCTCCCGGCCGAAACTACGTATGATGCTAAGCCGATGATCCACACGAACAAACCTCTCATCTCAAGCCAGTTACAGTCTGCCACAGAGCAATCAAAGACTTCAAGCCCAAACCAGACCGAAGTGAATAACATTCAACATACCGAGGTGCATAATCCCCAGTATGGACAAACGAAAGCATCAATGACATCAGCCAAGCTGCCGCCCGACCCCCGAGAAAGAGGGATCACTAAGCTCAGAACAATAACTGAAACGCTTCAAGGTCCACACAGGGAGAGAACTAGCTCAGAGCGACCACATAGTGAGCTTCCCGGCCTCCTCACGAAAGGAACGTGGCGCATATTGACCGCGACCAAGCTCGCTATCGGCCACTCACAGTCAAGGGGAATTCGAAGTCAAAAAGAGCAAGAACGGTAAGCTAAACAAGTTCAAGGCGTGACTGGTCGTCATAACAGGTTTCTCCTCCTTTATGGTCGATCTCCCAGAGACCATACTCGCTCGGGACCTCTCAATGTCGGTGGTGGTCCTTGACATCATCGTACCATTGGACCGTGCCGTCCGAATGCTTGTGGTAGTAATGGCCTTCGGAGTTCTTCTTCCAGTAACTTCCATGTTTGCTTGCGTGTGCGGAGGCTCCGTGGGAGGATGTCTGTGAGGATGAGGCTTTTCGTTTGTGGGTGCTGCTGTGACTGGATGAGTGGTGCGATGATTTGGATGAGTGGTGTGGCGACGAGTGATGCGACGAGTGGTGGTGCGATTTCGAAGAGTGTTGCGACGATGAGTGGTGACGATGCGATGACTTTGAGTGATGCGAAGACTCTCTGGGTGTCGTTGGCTGGACTATCTCATAGTCGTCTTCGTCTTCTACTTCTACTTCTTGCAGTACGTGCGGGCTCGCGTCTTCGTATCCATCTGTTGCGTGCGGCGGTGGTTCCACGTCCGGTAGGTGAACTCCTTCGGCGACTGGTGGGAGTTTATTGCGGTTTTGCTTCCAATGTTCCTTCAATTCGTCTCTCATGGCATATGACTGTTGCTTCGCGTAGTCCTGGGCGTTCCTGAGCTCTTTTCTGCCATTTTTGTGTCCCTGGTAGGTACCCTTGATATCCGTTGTTGAGATGGGATACTGGTGGTACTCAAGTGTGTCTTCGTCTTCGGCTGATGGGGCTGCATAATGAGCGTACAGGTTGAGCAGGGTACCATTCGTGGTGAAAGTTGTGACGTTTGCGTGGCCGGGAGGGTCGGACTTTCCCTGGTAGGCAAGGGCCTGGTTCCTTGCATAGACGAGAGCTGCTCCATCATAGGAGCTCTGTAGCGCTGCCTCTTCCATATCCTTTCCGCGGCCCTTCCACTCTCCTGCAATATGCGGTAGTGTTACAGAACGGCGGTCATCCTTATAGAGAACCGCCCCGCTGACGTCGTCGACTGGAAATGGTTGGAACTCTTCCATCTCAAGTCCCTCGATAAAGTCGGGCTGCGGAGCAGAGAGTCTATTATTGAAGCCGGCATCTTTTGGATAGCCTATGAATGCCTGATTGAATTCTTGATGATAACCATCGTCATCATATTCCTTCAACAGCTTCCCGCCAGCCTTGACGACCATGGTCGCTTCGCTATGGGCTGTCGCGACTGTGCGGGCGTACTGCCTGTACACTGACTCGGGGGGTGAAGCGGTCTGACGGGATCTGGCGAGCCGCTCGCGGATATCCTCGAGGTTTGTGGGCGGTTTGGAGCTGATGGGATCTAGGATACCATTTTTTCGGGCCTGGGTACCAAAGCCAGACGCCGTTGTCGAGAGGGTCTTTGTCGATCCCGAATCGTCCGAGGGGTCTGAGGTCTTCTTCCTGCCCATCTTGTTGAAGTGAGCCAAGTTCTTTCGCGTTAATCGTGCGCGCTTTGTTCGTGGCTCGGCGTCGTTGTCGTCTAGCTGTCGTTTCCGCGTCTGTGTACTCTGAGAAGCTTGCTTCTCCTCTGCGTGAGAGCGCGGTTCGTCCATGGCGACGAAAGCTGCGGTGTGAGGGAGGATGGTGTTGGTTTCTATATCGAGGCGCGGTCGAGAAATTGGGCCGGCTGGATGGGAGCCTTCTCAGGGGGCCTAGGTGGTCATTGAGTTGTCGCGATATTCCAGGCAGCAGGTAGTGGGGGCGGCTACGAGGGATTGGTCCTCAGCAGTTTGTTCCAGCCAGGTGGTGTGGGGTACTTCGTGTGGTCCCTCCAATGCAATCGCGACGCTAGCGCCGAATATGCGGTTGGTGCTCCTCGGCCAGCAAAACCCTCTCTTTCCTCATCACAAGGTGTGGCTTCTGCCTGTGTAGGCGGCCTTTCCGGTGTCCTCTGACGTGTTTCTTGGGCGAGCTGTGCCCGTGTTGGTGCTAGTTCGGGCAGCGAAATGGACAAACGGCATGGGTCTGCATAGTGATAGTGTGTAGTTGGCGTCTGAAGGTTTTTCTTGTTTGCCCCCGGAGGGTCAAACCCAACAGGTTCTTGAGCTCTGTGGTCTCGACGAGCTGTGTGTCTGTAGTGTTCTCTTCCGGTTTCGTCTCGGCGTAATAGTTCTCGGCGTCTTTTGACGTAGTTCGGGGTGTCCCGAGGGTCTGCTCCTGAGGCTCGTATTCCTCAGGTTATTGTGGGAACTGTAAACCTCAGGGTCAAGCTTGTTTAATTGCTGTCAATGCTTCCATGTCAGCCTTGAGGTCAAAGGAGTCATCCTCATAGACCCAGTTAGGGAAGAATGAAGGAATTCGATGCCCAATTCTACCAGCAAAGCTGAGATCAATCAAGATGATTTGCCCTGCTTCATTCACCATGATATTACTCGGACTGAGATCTCCGTGACAGAATCCGGCAGAATGAAGACGTCCAACACGCTTGCTCAATGTCCGCCGCCCGTGCGGCAAGGTCTTCCTGCCCGAGTTTAGAAAGCAACTCCATTCGAAATCCAGAAACAACCCCATGGTCCTTGACGGGGACCGGGTCGATTCTGGGAATAGGGAGACTCGTCTGTAGTTCCAAAAGACCTCGAACTCGGATGCGATGAGTTTCATCGAGAGTTCTGCAGCATGGGCCAATTTGAGGATGGGAAACTTGCTCTCCCCTTGAAGTCGAATCGACGCATGAGCACCATAATCCATCAGTTCCGAGCCTCTCCAGAGAAACTCCATGGCCGGCGTCTGTGGCAGAGCTTGGACTTTGGTGTTCGCAATGTCGGGGAAACTCTCCATCTCAGGATACTGCGTCGATCCAGACCAAGTTACGAGGAATGGTCGTTTGTTATATTCAACGGTGCATAAACACCTTGTGCTATGCGCTCAGGCGGCGTAATCGGCTTTGGTAAAGAGCATGCTGACAAGATCCGGCGGGTCTTGCTTTTCGTTGAACTATCGATATCAGACTCCATGGTTGAGTTGCAAGCGCTTTCAAAGAACGACAGAACAGATCATGAATTTGAGTCTGACTTGGTGCTTGAAGTCACCGGGCATAGCCGCTGACTAAGAATTGCGGCCAAAAGCGAGTAGGTAAAACGTGTACACCCAGCCTTGAGGAGACAAGAGACTGGAAAAACTGAACCCCTATGATCTGCGAGAGTGTTCCTCGTCATGGCCAAAGTCACAGCATGGGAAGACCTTGCATTCTTCCATGAGGAAGTCGATGACGAAACTGGCGAGTTTCAGCACGCAACCTTTGCGCTGGTCGACAACGACAACCTGGCCTACTTTGGCAAGACAAATCATCCTAGACGCAACGCCACCTTTAAACAACTCACGTCTGCCCTTGTTCATATCCCGGAACATACCATCTTTCCGGAATGGGCGCCGCATCGCGGGAATCTCACACTGGCGGAGGAGACCCAACTCAATACCTACTACATCAAACGCCCAAATCTTGCCATGTACGATGTCTTCCAAGAACATAAGGTTCTAGACTTGATTCCCAAGGGCCTGCTCGAAGAAGCCAGAACAATGGAAATGCTATCCCTACACCCCCACCCCAATATCGTCCGTTATCATGGCTGCCGAGTTCGCCGTAACCGCATCACCGGCCTGGTCCTCGATCGCCACCCCAACACGCTCTCTGATTATTTGAAGAACAAGATAGGGCCGATCAACAAGGAGCCCTTCATGCAAGCCCTCGAGTCGGCCATTCATCACCTACACTAGCTCGGTTGGGCTCATAACGACGTCAATCCGGGAAACGTCCTGGTCGACGTGGAGGGCATGCCGGTCCTCATCGACCTTGGTCCTGCGCGCGAGATAGGTGCTAAATTAGGAACTAGCCGGGGTACCAAGGGGTGGATTGATGGAGAGATGGAGGATTACCACACCTCGGACAAGCAGCACGATATTTTCGCTCTAGAGAAGATTCGTGATTGGTTGGATGAGCCGACATTCGACTAACGTTGCCTATTGCCTTTCTAGAAGCTTTCTAGATTTTATTTGATCAACAGCTAAGAGTTGTGGGGGGAGGGTTGAAAAAAGACCGAAATTATGTGAGATGCAACTCTATGAAATGCCTTCCCTTGCTTGGAAGTGCTAAAGATGTTTTGTCTACATGGATGTCTGTCAACAGTCACCTGACTCCACCTCGGCTCACTCAAGTCGCCTCCCCGGTACGGCTGGCTGTGCAGAATGTGGAATATTATCCACGATGGATGATATTTCACTCCCAACCACGTCATACTCTCAATGGAACCAGGCTTCGACGATACGAAACTGTTCAGCTACACAGATGCAGAGATCACCAACTTCATCATCTCTCTATCTCACCAGCCTGGTTCTTCGAAAATCCTACCGCTGTCCTCGAACCTTTTAGCAAAGGGCTATCGGGAGGAAAAAGTCAAGGATGCTATAAGATCTGTGGAATTCGCATCTTAGCTGGGAATTCCTGTCCCATATATCTATTGAAGTGTCAAGATTGATCGTATAGTTTATTGCATTATGGATCGAATTCCAGGGAAAACTCTCGATATGGTATGGCCAGAGCTTGGTTGGTTCGCAAGCCTCAGGCTAGCTTTCCAGCTTCATCGCATCATACACCGCTTAAGATCGGCCACTTCTACCTTCTCTGGGTCCCTAGTTACAGGAAAATGCAGGTCCTACTTCCTCTAAGACTCATTCAGCTTGCCACCTAGAGCAACATCTGATCAGGTCAACGCTTTCCTGAACTTCTAGGCCAATTTCGTTTCTATCTGTCAGGAGATCATAAAGACTGCTGCCAAGCATGCAACCTGCTTAAGGCCGGTATTTCTCTATGATGGCCCATTCGTCTTCACTCACCATGACTTGGCACCTCGAAATATGATTGTTGATCCTGAAGGACAGCTATGGCTCATCGATTGGGATTTAGCAGGGTTTTACCCGAAGTATTTCGAGTACGCTGGCATGTATAACTTCATCCCCACGGCGTGGGATAAGTTTACAACCTGGCGATGGGACCTATTCGCCTGGATTGCCGGGGGGTTCTACCACAAGGAATCCCGGTTGCTGGGATCGATAAGATACAGATCCACCCGCTTCCGGCCTGCACGCAGATTTAATATGAGAGGCGGAGGGTTTGCTGCTTCCGCCAACAGGGCCGACCCTGACTTGTGATAATCCGCTCTAAGTGCGACGCTTTGCGGAGAGTTGTTGCCATTTATACCTAGAGGAGCTTGCCGAAAAGTCCCAGCTTTAGTACACTCGTTGGTGTCCCTGGAAACTTGTTTAATTATGCTACATCATGATCTGACGGCCTACATCACTCTCCAGTTCATCTAGTACTCTGTCGTAGAGTCCCAACTTTCCTTCGCGATAAGCCGTCATGCAGTATGACAAGGCCAAACCTTTCTCATTACTAAGACACGCGGAGAGGGCATTGTCCTGGTGTTCGATCGATTTGATCATCTGCACATAGTCCTGTCGTTCCTCCCACCGCTGCCTTAGGCTGCCATCCACCGGCCGTCCGTCTTGGTCGTAATTCTCGGGCGAGTCGAACTGAGGAGGCATGGCGTCTAGGAATCTTGGGAACCTGAGAAGTTCTAGGGGCAAGGTACATGCCCCTTCCCAGTCGATGACACCAAGAACATTGAAGTTCTCGTTGACGATGATGTTGCTATGCAAAAAGTCAGGGTGGCAAAGTGGGAAAGGACCCTCGTCGCTGTGTAATAGCCAGCTGGCTATCGCCTTGAATCGAGAAGGGAAGACATTGATCGCATGAAGGACTTGTTCGGCCGGCCCTCCCTTCATCAGCTCTAGGATTTGGTCCTTTCCGCGCGGAAATCGAGCATGCTCTGCCCATGCCTCAAAGAATGCCGTTGCTGTGGTGAACGGCCCGCCAATATCTGGAAACGGGCCAATCTCGTATTCACCGCTTCGAGTCCTGTGAATAGTCCCGATTTTTGGAAGTCTCAGAGCAGCCAGTTTTACCTATGGTCAATTTTAGAAGAGGGCTAGGCAATGAAGGAATTAGAGATAACTAACATGGCACTCGGCCACCGAGCGATAGAATGTTGGGCGGTAAAGGGAAGGGATTTGCCCTCGATGTACCTCGTATCCGCCTGCAGCATCCATAGCAGTGTTCCCTGGTAGGAACTCCATGAGTATGAAGGGGACACCAATGGGGTTGTGTTCATCGGCCTCATATGCGAATACTTTGGGCACTGGTAGACTGCATCGTTCTCGAATGAACTGCATGACGTGGACCTCGCTGCGTAACTTCTCCGAGTCTGCAGCTGACCTGCGCAAAGCAATGCGGGCAACCCATCGAGTCATATCCGAGAATTGGAGTAAACGGACCAGGTTGTTCAAGCCGTTGGTGGTTTCGTTGAGCGGTATACAGGATAGCCCATTATTGAGGTCTGACGCTAGCTGGCACAGCTTCGGCCAGTCTGTTTCGCGCAAAGTGTCTTTCACAGAAGCCGCCGGATCATACTCCGTCTCCTTCCAGTTGAGCTGGTTGATGGGTGCTGGGGTCGATGGCATGGCGATAGAATCATTGTCAAAACAAGCTTCGGAACGCGTCCTACGAGCGGGGCCCACGCGGCTGCCTAGTGGATGCGACGTCTGTGTAACCATGTCGTGAAAAAAAATGTAGGTAGACCACAGTCTTCGTCTTCAACAGCGCCAATTCTAATTCTAATCATGCCCGAAGATATCTGCCTCTCCGAGCGGCGCTTGGACGACATCTACGTGCAAGCTTTCGAGACGTGGACCAAGCTGCACAGTACCGTCGACAAGGATCTCGCTGTATTACCTTCATTTGCACTTCGGCACGCATTTCCGGACCAGCCATCCTTTCCACGAGACTTGCGATTGCATTGCAAGCAGGTCGCGGATGAGAACCGAGTCTGCGCCCGTGGAGAATCAACATGGACGGCGGCATCAGTCTCTTGCAGGTACGGATTGCCGTCATTCAATCTGCCCGCCGAGATCGAGGTGGCAGCAAAGCAGGTGACCACTGTGACCGTAGGAGCTGCGGAGGGCGACTACTTTGGCGACTGGTTCCACGGCGAGCAGAACTTCGTCGCTGTCCTTGCCCTGGCCTGGGCGTACATCCTTTCCGCTCGGTGGGCCGAGACCATGCCGGGATGCTGCCTGATCGCCTACACCGGAGAACCTAACATCGCCCAAGAAGAGCACAGTCCATCTGAGCGAAGCGTCGTGGACATTGGCGATGCGAGCGCCGAGGAGGCCCGCTGGTGGTCTTGTATTTTGGAACAACACCAAGGTTGGATCGCCACTATGGACTTTGGCGAGGAGACGTTTCTGTCTCCCTGGTCAGTCCGGCAGGAATCTTGTGTGGGACTATGTTTGTCAGTGGACACACCGAGAACTCCGGTCCTGTGCCCAACCGCTCCTTGCTCTACGGAAGCGAGCCGATATCTGGCGAGGTTCTGTGCTCACCATCGTATCGGTACTCAGGTCTACGTTGCTTTAGCAGCTGTCTTGTTATTCCCTTGCATGGGCCGTGGCCGAAACATGCGATTGCCACTGTCCCTGGTGAGCAACTCGAACCTAGCAATAACATCGAGGCGGCTTGGCCGGGAGCGCGCGGCTTACTTTGATGATGACACGTTGGTGCAAGACGGCCACCTAGATAGGCTCTTGACTCTCAGTTGCTATACCAGAGGCATCCGTCCTATCCTTTTCAGCGTCTTCTACGATCCGAGCGTGCAGTGCAATGCGGTTGCCACATGGCTGCAGGGGTCGCTGACTGCGATTGACCGCCTCACCGGGCGATCGTCCCTCGCCCTTGGGTGTTTACTCGCGCGTCGGTCCCCAAGAGTCTCTTTCCTATGGCTAGGGGTCATCGCTCTGGGGCTTGAGGACGACCTGCTCATGGAAGTTCGACGAGGACAGCTACCCATCGATCTCCTCTCTGCTGCGTGGTCGGGCACGACGCAGACATTCATGCAGCTGCCAGCATCTGGTCCGTACACCTACACCGTGCCGAGAGCCGACGAATGCCGTCTTCTGTATCTCTCTAGGTCAGACGATCACACCCGGCTGCCCTTGGTGCAATGGAAGCCCTTTGGCTCGACAGCGATAGAAGATACGGACATCGAGGTGCGGAAACATGTCACCTGTCGCAGCCATAGGCTGGCCCTTGGGGCGTTCGAATGGGCTACGGACCAAACGCACACTCAAGCGACTACGACACCTCACAGGCTCTCCTCTGGATTGACATGGCTGGCCACACTCGAGCGCCATGTGGTCGACCTACCGTTTGCGCACCGGTGGCTTCGACGAGGTGGCGAGATTGCCACGACAACCGAAAATGTAAATCTGCTTGAGACACCAGACCGTGGGAACACGGCCCTGTCCGTGAACGACATAGAGCATGGCAATATGGCTATATCTGAAAACGCTACGAGATGTATCTTCTTATGGTTGAGACCAGACGGCTGCATAGGCCGTGAGAAGGACATTCTTGGGCATGAGTGGTTCGCTCTCTCGGACTCAGACTCAGACTCAGACTCAGAAGACGAGTTCACGGAGAGCGGGCATTCTCCTGCGCCCTCTTCATTCATACAGAAATGGATAAGCCACACTGTCAAGGACTGACTATGCTACATATGTTCGTCACTTGACCCAACAATTCTGGACTCATTTCAGCACAGCCGTTTTGTACCTTTGATATCGACCATACTGCATGAATAAGGGTGGTCTGCGCAAGCCTGGCAGAGAACATAGGCACCACTATCAATGCCAGTATGACTTGCTGTCTGGCTGGCCTGGCCGGCTTTGAGTCTTTTCCGGCAGCCTGCAGCCTCGCAGGTGTACGAGTTATGCTCATTATTGGCATGGCCGCATATGCGGCACATACCGGCCTTTCCAGAGCTCGCAGACATTAATTCTTTCGCGCAAATTGGCCTGAAGGTAGACTTAGAACAACCTCTTCCAGGATGATATTATATAGACCTACTTGATCTGACTTGACAATCTCTAGGAATATTTGGTGGAGGGATCGTGTCGCGCAAGAAGGTTGGGCTGCATTGAGCAAGAGAGGTCTTGCAGGCGAGGGGATATTTTATCCATGGAGATGGCGTATCATATAGGATCAGGAATTGCTCTGTGAGAGGACAGGGAGCTCATTGGCGAAGCCTTCGTGGGAGCTTGAAGCTGCTTACCTCGAACTGCGGTGCCGAGGCACCTGATGCCGAGAATGACCTTCGGAGCCAGGTGGTATACGTTTCACGAACTGCATGCTGCTCAATAGGCATCGGTTTTTGGTCTGCCTGACGACGGAAAACACACCCACCGGAGCCGACAGACAACTACCTTATTCAAGGCGCAAACAACAGAAGCATCGGCAGCAGTCGCGGGGAAGACCACATGACCTGAACCCCAATGCAACCCACACCCACCTTTGACTCGGCTGGTTACAAAGGCCTTGTCGAAAAGCCCAGGCCAAGGGTACTAGCTAGCTAGGTGCAGGCAGGTGGATTTGCGTTGTTTTTTCCCTCTCTTACGCCAAGGTGCATCTTTTGTCTGGGCATTACGTAGAAAGCCTTGGGAGCGCGCAAGAAGAATCCACTTTGGAGGAGCAAAGAAGCTGTCAAATGCACATGGCAAGGGAGGAGTGGGGAGAGGGGAGGGAAAGGCAAAGGAAGATAGACAGGCAGTCGGTCGGGCAGGCAAGGCAAGGGTATTGGCATTAGCATACGACATGCATTGCCCAGATCTTCTCTTCTCTTCTCTGCATTGCAAGCATGCTAGCAATGTGCCCCATGGAGACAGATCCCAAGCTCTTGGGTGCTTCCTGAAGAAGAAAATGCCGAGAAAATGACATGTCGCTCTGGGGAGGGAGGCGAAAGAGAAGAGACAGAAAGAGGGGCGAGGATGGTTGCATGTGCATCGCAGCACCAGCACCAACAGCATCAAGTTCAATCATGGAGGGTGAGATAGCTCCGCGGAAAGGTAAAGATGGAGGGTCGCCTTCGCGCCAGCCTTGGCAGGTGGGAAGCTCCTCTCTCTCCTCCCTGCATGAACTGGCCTCTCGGATAGGCCGATGTGCGCGATCTCCCTCTCGCGCGCGTCCAGTATCTGGCCATTTTGGTCCTGATCTTTGGGACCCAAAAAGATCAAATGACATACCACGTGTTTGCTCGCTGTCAGGCCCTTGGTCCGCGATAAGACAAAAACAAACAGCAGGCAGGACATGGCAGCAATGGACGTGTTTCCTCTTCCACGCTTGGCTGATCCGCTTGCACATGCAAAAAGAATGTCTTGCATCGCTTCCAAGATAGCGGGCATCCGGATGGATCGATCGATCCAGCGATCCAGCTTTGGGCAAGACCTGGAACTCAGGTGATGACCTGATCCCCAAGAGAACTTGCAAAAGAACGCCAACAGAAACACCACCGTACGTACGTACCAAAGAATAATGAAACCGAGAGAGAGCCTATCAATGGCCTCGCATCGAGTCCGTGTTCTAATAGTAGCAGACGCCGTCGCCATTCGCAACGGGAAGCCCGTGTCGATACCGCCCGTGCCAAACTCAAAGCAGTAATTCCAACCTGGGGGGGGATGTGCACCCTAAAGACCGCCGGCTCCAAAGCATAGCGTAGGACACCCCGAGTCTAAGAGGTATTAACCTTAGTTCGTAGGTTAGAACCCCCGTAGCGCAGTGTGGGGCCCCGTTCTCTCCCCCATAGTTTGTTGAGCTTCCGAGATCTCAACACCACGCCGGGTCCGTCCGGGGTCGGTCCCAACTTGTCGAGCTCCGGACGGGGGTACTTTCCCAGGCTTGACCCGATGCCATGACACATACCCTGATCACCCTAATGGCTCGTGTGTCGCGATGGCTTCTCCGGGATGCAGTAGCCGTGGGGGAAATCTGCTCTTTCAACACGTCACCTTGCCGTGCATCCCCACAGCTGTTCCAAGCCGCGAACCGGTCTGCCATCTCCTTGAAGACACCGACAGACATCCCACGGAGTGCACCTTTTTTCGACAGAAAAAGAAGAAAACATAAGGAATCTTTCCCCGGAGCCAAGATCTCGATGGCCCCAACCAACCCCCACGGGGTAAGCAGAGCCATGGGATGACTGGCCCCCGGAAACCCCACGATATGTGATGGCCAGAGGGCAATGCATCAAGTCCGAACGGGCAGCCGATGCTTACGCACGCTCGTGATGTGTGTTCCTGGCGCAGTAGTGTCTACCTGCCGTGAATGTCAAACATACAACGAAGGACTTCGATCGACACTTTGAACCACGATACTGGCTGGCCGGGTCACCTTATTAGCTAGACCCAGATCCAGAAATGCCCGAGCGACGGACCGGTGTGATTGGAAAAGGATCACAGAGTTCGCTGAGAAAAGAAGACCAGCGCTCGACGCCATCACAGCTGACCAGATGGGGAGGAAGAGAAAAGAAAGCACCTGCCAGGAAAGACTTTCCCGTGCGACGAGCAGAAGAGCATCTCACGTAAATACATCACCACCGGAACTCGGACAATTTTTCGAGCGTGCCCCCCCAACGCGTGCCTCTCCCATGGTTCCAGAACTCCCCAACTACCGAAGCCGGGAGCCCGGCAGACCAAGCTTTTTCGGCCCCAGGGCACGGGTGTGGCGAAGAAGAAGACTAGAAACGCAACGAGAAACATGCCCCGGAATCTTGATTTTTTTCTTCTCTCTATGCATCTCTTTGCACACTCTTGCGCACATCCGTTCGTCGAACGAAGGACGTGCATGCACCCCGGCTGGCCAAGGTCCGCGGACCAACGAAAGGCTGCCCGGCCGCAACAATCCCCCGAGTGGCTTTTCCCTGGGGCTCTGCACAACCACCACATACACACACACCCACCCCTGGCCTAGAACTCTCGAAGGGGGTGGCCAAGAGATGTACAAGTAGAAGATACCCATCAGGAGATACTTGAAGCCGTAAGATCACGGCCAAAAAGGGGAATATTGGTGAGGGAGGGAGGGGTGCGGCGTGTGTGTGCATCGCAAATGCCCGAAACAATAAGACCACACTTACATGTTACAGACCGCAAAAAGCAGAGCGCATCTTTGCAGCATGGGCATGAGCATGAGCATGAGCATGAGCGATTTAATGGCCTCTCCTTTTTTGCCCTTCCAATCCGGGATAACTATCAATAGTAACGAAACGCCAACTGGCTGGCTGGCTGGCTGGACGGAAACCCAAATTGTGAAACCAGCCAGGGTGGAGGGAGGGATCATCAGAGTTGTCACCGGCTTTTTTGACAGGCAGTCCGCGGCGCGGGGGATCCGCAACCAACCCTTGCAGGCAGGCAAACATGCAGCCAGCTGGACAAACATCAGCCCTGCATTGCAGCAAAGCAGCGAAGAGTTTTCACTTCTCTTTTTGCAGGTGTTTCCACTCGAACCAATCGAAAACAGCAAGTGGTAATCACCGACGTGCTCGGTGTTCGGCATCAGTTGTACTGGGAAGGTAGACGGGGCCATCCTTCATCCATGTCGTTGAGAGGGGAGCAAACTTGCAAACGCAGGCGGGCGGCCCCTGTCAGTGAAGAAGATGAAGCGAAAACGAAAACCCACTGCGGATCGAGCCGTAGTCCGTAGTTCGGGAACCAGCACAGCTAGGACAGGCAAGGCCCTGCGAAAGCGGAATGCAGTCACGCGAGAGGCGCATCCACCAGATTTGCTTTCGACGTGGTCTACCTAGTTACCCCTGTACTGTACTGTACAGTACAGTACAGAGAGGCTTGTCTTAATCACTCACTTCCACTTCCACTTCCTGGACTGGTGGAAAGCCGTCTAGGTAGCGAGATTGATATCCACCAGACGACGAAAATGTCCCGCCGTCCAGCCAGCAACCCCCATCTCACTGGGGGCATGTAGGACCCGTGCGCACGCACTGCACCAGCCAAACACTTACATCGTAAACTCACCGCTACTCACTCTCTCCCTCCCTGTGTCTGTTTCCATCCTCGGCTGCAAACGGTCTATCCCTAACGGACGGACGGGGTAACGGGGCGATATAGCTAGGGCTGGGTTTCACAGTTCTGCTTCTCCTCGAAGAGTCCCGGATCTCCCCCCGCGTGACCGGCCTTGCGTGCTTTTGCCGTTGGGGGAAAAAGAGGACTGGGTAACGGGGACACACACACACAAGATTCGCCCGTGTCGTCGCATCGAGGGCCTATACAGAACGAGGATAGTTAATGCCTCTCTCTGCCGTCCCGCGTAGCTGCAAGTCGTCCTTCCCCCTTCCCCCCGCCCACGGCCGGCCCAATAAAGATATATCCAGCCAGCCAGACAGCGTCGCCCGTCAACACGGGCTGCGCCAGGTGAGGTGATACCGCAGCGAGGGGGACACGAAGCCAGCTACCCAGGAGCAGGGTGCCTGCCGTAAGCCGCAAGGATCTTCTTCGTCCCGCGGGGGATGCCAGCCTGAATGCAAGTTCTGTTGAAGGGGGGGGGATGGCTCGTTGGCTTGCAATAATATCGATGTACGGTCGTGTGTCCTGTCATTGTACATGGAACTTGGAAACATACACGACACACACAACAAAAAGCGGGTAGTACGGTCTGGTTTCCAAGTCGCAGGCAGACGGGCAAGAGTTTGAGAAACGGGACT